ATTTTCATTTTCATCTATCTAATTTCTAGCAATTATTAAAATGATGACCGGAAAAAAGGAAATAATATTTGATAATTTTGATAAGATATTGAAAACAATAAATCATACAGATCAAATAAATGATAATATTCCTTCCTAGAATTAATCTAAACATTTATCTCATCTAAATCTTTCAAGAAAAAAAGATAAGAGTAAATGATTGCATTTATAATTAACAATTTGAGATATTTTTGGTTAAATGAAGAAGCAAAATTAGGGTCACATAGGAATCAGATATTGGTATCGTTGTTAACAAGTCTTAAATAAGACGAGCGGGTGGGGTGTAAAGGAGGAGGGGAAAATGAATTGATGCTATCCCTCAGACTGACCTCATGGTATGGATGGAATATGTATGTGTTGGTTGGTTGGTTCAAGCTGTAAACAATGAACAAGAAGTGCTCCTCTTCTCCTACACTTACAATCGCCAATAAGTAGCTATGACCTAAAGGTTATTCTCAATCCATTACCATTCGATAAACATATATCCAATTTCTGGCCAAAATAGAACATGCAGTTAATTGTGATTGTTTCGTTCAAAGAATTAATCGAAGATATAAGTATTATTAGAATTAATCTCTGGTAAGATAAGTGCTATTAGGGTTGATCTCTGATAAGATAAGTGATATTAGAATTGACCTGTGATAAGTCGATCCCATAGATATTAGTATGAAAATTCCAAGAAATTCTAAAATTCATTAATTTTCTCTTTTTTGTTTCAAGCTGATGTTGATTTTGTGTGAAAACGAAGAAAAAAATGATATTGAAACAAGGCAAGAGAGAAAATTAAGGTCAAGGATGAAGTAGGTCTCTCTCTCTCTCTCCCTCTCAAAGGAAATAAAAGAACTGAGAAGAAATGGAAAGGATTTCCTGATTCCCTTAATTGCTCTAATTTTTACCTGTTAGCATAATTATCGATTTTCTTTTCTCTTCCAATGATCGATCATACTGCTTGTTAATCTGCCAATTCATTTCCATCTATAATGTCCTCATTTTATAACGAAAAAGGAAAAGAGAGGGAGAGAGAGAGAGAGTGAGAAAAGGAAAGAATAAAAAGATAAAACAAAAAGTTGATCCTATATTTCAGCATTACCGAAATAATGTCTTTTAAATAAGTGAAATTTTATTGACAATGGACTCTGGCGGGTAAAATAAAAGTGAACTACGATAAAACACAATTGACTATGTTCCCTTTTAATTTCAAATTTGACCTAATATTTAATTTTTCCTCTAAAATTGATCACACATATATATTATATTATATTTCATACATAATTTGATCAACCAATCATTTATATATCATTTTTTTTCACACAATCAGAAATTCACCTTTATAAGGTTATTCAAGTTTTTATAGTAAGTTTTGCTTATATTATTCAAAGTAAGCTCAAAAATAATGCTAAAAATCTTCTCAAAAGTTTCTTGTCATTTTTTTTGAATCTGATCAAATCATAGTTTTATCATTGAAACCAAAAAGATAAGTAAGCAATTAGCATTACTTATATCAAATTGAAAACAAATTAGTAATGATTATAATTCAGTTTTAAGCTCCATTTACAAAGATAAATTAGTAAAATGTTTCAAAGTTGATTCAATAATTAAGCTAGTTGAAGATTGATAAGATTTTATGTTCGTGTTTAAATTATATATTATAAACGAAGTGTTCATTTGCTTATAGCTGTTAGGAGTGCTCAATTTTGGTGCATGTGTATATATGTGTATTTGGATGAACCGGTTTTATTCTTTAATAAAAGATCTCAGTAGTTAGTAGGACTTAAATAAGCCGAATTAGGGTCAGTAATTTCAACTTGTCTCCGCAGTACTCTTTTCCAATTGCCATACCGGCTCTTTTGAAAGCGAAAACGGATGTGTTGATGTTTGTGTGTTACATATATTTTCGATGTATGAATATCCGTGTACCGGTTCCTGTCACCATTATTAGGAAAGCAATTTTGGAAAGACAAATTCAAGGTGCATTTATTCGTTTCAGTAAAAATAATCCCTCAAGAATCGTATGGATTTGCATCCTATTGCCAGAAGGTGGAAAAGAAAGAATCTTTGACCTCTGCTCATTTTCATTGGAAAAATATCAAATTCAGAGCTATTGTCTACTTAATTTAGTAAAAGGTAAAATATTACTTGGGACACTGTAAAATTATAATGCAATATAACTGACATGACCTTTTTGCTAACTACCTTATCCAAAATTATCATGCTTACTGCCTTACCTAAAGTTATCATGACAACTGCTTTATCCAAAGTTATCATGGTAATGCAGTTATCTGCTTTATCTAAAGAAAATTGAAATTATTTTGCGGTATTTCACTATAATTTAAGAGATGACTATGATAATTTTATGCTATCGCTATTGATTTTTAGTTGATACGAGCATTTATTTCAGTTGATAGTTTCAAAAAATGAATTGTTTCAAAGCCGATCGTTAATATTACTATAAATCAACCAAACGAATGATATTTTTATCGCTGGCGCTATCACGAACAATCGCTTCTATTTCTTTAACTTTATCCTAGTTGACGCTTCTACATGGGCCTTAGGTAACTAAACGCCAATGCGGTTGTTCATTACAGGATCTGGTTTTAAAAATATAAACAAATTTTTTGAAAAACTTAAACAAGTAAGGATTTCGATCCAATCCACTGTCGAATGTTTGCTGAGGAGTCAAAATTAGCATTTCTCAAAAAGTGAAATAAAGGAAATTCTACGATGCAACATCATTTATCATAGCTTTCTTGTTTGAATGTTGAATTCTATTACATTATTAATTTTAAAAATTCAACAACACATTCTTACAGGTTCAGATAAAAATTGACCTCTTATCTTTATAATAATTAACCATTTTGACCCGAACTTTTTGCTTGTTCTTTTTTTGTTTTAATTGTAAAAATTTTGAAGAAAGAAAAATTAAAGAAAAGCAAGTTGAAATCACGGAGTGATAAATTACAAATATACTAAAATAATTCTCATAAATATTAACCAAAATGAGCAATTGCATTTTGTTTCCGGTTTCATAAGCTCTAATAATATATAATTGTTTTAACTTACAAATTTTTTGCAATTGTTTGAGACAGAATTAAAAGATCTGATTAATTAAAGTTTCAAACAAAAAAGTATTTATTAAGGATTTTTCAAAATTTCAACAAAATTGGTAGCAAATTATTATTTTTGTTACGGAAATAAAGTAAAATGAAAATGTTGCTTCAACAATATAGTTTTGTGAATGGACGGACCAGTTTCGGAATAATCCGGTTCTTTCCAATGCTTCCGGCTGGCTACACAGTCCACTTCTTGCTACTACATATTTCAGCCTATTGAACTCTATCAAAGTGCATTATTTTACACATTTTATCATTGATATTACAATAATTCCTTAATCATTATTTCACTATTATCTCTAAAATGCTTAAATCTTACCCAAAAAACATCAACATTACAAAAAAAGGGCTAATCTAATCTGATCACCTACAGTATAATTGTTAATTAAATTATAAAGTAAAATGTTGTGGTAATAGTTACAGTATCTTATCTTAACTTACCTGAAATAATGAAAACATCGAATGATATTAACTCTTGCCACTACTCCTTATATCATTTTACTTTTAGCGCAAATTAATTGTAATTGAAAAGAGGAAATGATAAATTTATTTTGTAATCTTTTATCATAATCAAAAATGCCGCCAAAATGATCGGAATTAATAGATTTTACAATTTTTTGGGGAAATAAATGTCATATAAGTTTTTTAATCATTTAAACAGGACAGTTTGATCATTTTAAGCATTGAAATTAAAGCCGAAAATGCAGTAACTATTCAAACTTATCCAATCTTCGATGTTTCAAAGCTGGATGTTTCAAATTATAAATCCTCAAAAACTTTAAATGATTTTAGATTGCGATATCGAAATTCATTAACGATGGATAATCGCACTGAAAAATACAACCATATTGAAAAATTGGAATGTAATCAATATTCGATCAATTGGCCAATTTTTCCGGCATTTCCGATCAAGGTTTGATCTATAAATGGTGTTAAAAATTTACCCATTATTGCGGTTTTTGATTTTACTACAATTTCGTTTTTTTATCAATCTTAAATTCTAATCTGAATCTAATCTTAAACTATTTATATAAACTGATAAATTAAATTGCCTTCCGTTAAGAAATTGCCATACGAATATTATATATTTATCAATAGCATATGTTAGACTTCTAAAATCATTTCATGAGTTATTGTTAAACACATACTTTTTATAATCCATTCCAACACAACGATGAACAATTTAAAAAAAGTGCAAATTGGAATTGATGAGAAAGAAAATACCGATTACTCATCCATTCTAGTAATTAATTATTTTTATAAGAATTAATGAATTCTTCATGGATAGACAATTATTTGGACTAATTTTCCTTTCCATATTCAATTATTGACAGTCATAGGATTATTCTATCATAATTTATATTAATGCCGGAAGAAATTCAATCAAAAAAAAACAGAATGCGAAAAGTTGTGTTGCTGGTTATTCTTTTTGTGTAATGAAGTCATTGCAAAAGGTCAAAGGTCATAGATTTTTATAAAGGCTATTGGATAATCGCTTCTTTCTCATTATATTTGCAAATACTTCCATTTGAAGATATCATATAATAATGCTCATTTGATTTAATCTCATTTATTCCTAACAAATGCATTATGTTTTGGCTTAGTTTCTTGGCACCAAATAATTGAATTTGAAAATTTCAATTTGAAAATTAGAGGAAAAAAAAGATTATTGAGCGTGGGCGTTGGCTGTCGAAAAATTAATTGGCATTCTTCTCAAATGGTTGCAAATTTTATTCGAGAGATTTCTTCCTTTTCATTTTTTGCATATAAAATAAGTATTACAATTTATCATCATTTAAATGCAATAATTCTGTTTTTTATTGAAAAAGTTTTCAGAGAAAATTATAGATTATGTTACCATTTCTGAATCTGAATAGTCGATTAGTTATTTTGCTAACAGAGCTAATTATATCAAATCAATTTGCTTTATTTGATAAGAAATTTTATGATAAACAATTAAAGGATGGACAGTTATTACGTTCATATCAAAGCAGTGATCAGGAAGGCAATATTTTGTTGATTTTTTTATTACTATAAAAATTGTTTATAAGTTTAGCGATTAGTTATAAAGAATTATATTAAATAGAAGATATGAAAGAATTTAAGAAAAAACATTTGAAATAAATGATGGAAAGAATTAAAAATTCATGGTATGAATTTTTGGTTGAAATAAAAATTAGAAAAATTTTTTTCTTCTTTTTCATTGCAGATGAGCATCTTTCATGTCAGCGGAATTGTACGGAATTGAATCCAGAAACAGTACTTCAGAATTGTCCAACATTAAAACGTGGTCTTACATGTGGCAAATATAAAGTATACCATTATCATCGTCGTTGTTCAATTGCAACAGTTTATTGTCGACGAAATATGACGAACGTTAAGGAAGTTGCGGTATATGTAGCTGTTACAGGCATTGATTTGAATGCTAAGTAAGTTATAATTTCCAAAAATTTAGTTATCAAATGGATTAATAATATTTAGAGAATTATTTTTAAACTTTGATTTATTTCAATAAAAAAATAAAAATATTTAAATATAAATAGAAGAAAGTGTTAAATAATGAGAAGAAATTTGATAAAAAGTAAATTGAAAGAAATATTTGACAAATTAAAATCATTTAATTTTAGCAAAACTGGCTTATTTGTGTTACCATATATTGATAGAGAAGAGATGTCCGTACCACAAATAGTTGTTGAAAAAGCTCATCATGGAAATGGTAATATGGGTGAGCTTGTTTGTGATTCAAATGGTAATTGGATCTTATATGATACAAATTATCGATACATGGTTGAACATCTATTTTGTTTAGTTGTCGAAGCAAGAAATTTGAATTATTTATTGGATTTACGACGTCCTGAATTTGACCGTGCGAAATCATTGATACCATATCAACTCGGTGATCCCGAATTTTTTGATCAACCGTGATTAAATAAATAATAAATGGTTGAATTTGAAAAGCATAAGTATTAAACTTTGAGAAAATTTAGTAAAAAAGCGTGTAATAATTTTTCGATGATAGCATAATACATGAACTAAGCATACAATAATATTTCAACGAACTTCATGTATTACTAAACTTGATACTTCTTACAACAATTGTGAAATATCGAACTATAAAAATCATTTTAGTTTTTAGTCTTAAATTATATTGATTTATTGCAATAAGCTCCCATTTAGAAATTAAACTAAATTTGATTACGCACGATGGCCATGTATTATGAAATCCTTTAATTCAAATTTCTTGCTACATATTTCATTATTGATGGATATTTAGAATGAGGTCAATGGTCAAGTTAATTTAAAATCATAGACTATATTTATAATCACATATTTCTTGCATTATATTTTTGGTATGAACTGTTTTACAATTAGTTTTAAATAAACTTAAATAATTTACTACTATATTGAATACATGAATTAAATATTATTGTTTACGTCTGAATGCTTTTGATAATAATGAAGAAAATGATCAAAGGAAAGAATAAAATTTATCATTGAAATTTCTTATCCAAGGAAGATATCAAAATTTAGTATCACTTAGCATGCAATTCAAAATATGCACTCCTTCTGTAAAATATCCTTTACAATCTAATCGAAATAAATTGGTAAACATCCTGAATGATTTAAAGTTAAATCTAATTTTATAGCCTTTTGTTACTAATGATTTATTTATCTTCTGCTAGACATATTAATCTAAAAGTAGATTTTAGAAGTTTCTACTGTTGATTACAAACATACCAATGCAAATAATCCTGTAATTAAAGGTATTTTGACTGAGATGTTGATCATAATAATAAATAGCCAAGCATATTTCTGATATTGTTTTTCGGAAGGAGCATAATGTCATAATACTTCAAACAATTATTAATCATTAATCTTACAGAAGTTTTTCAATTTGCATAGTGCAATCTTTTCTCTGATATGCTTTTATAGCATCTATTACCTAATGATTAGCTGCATATATACAAGTAGATATAACATTACCGGAATTGATAGATTGTAATTCTAGCTGGATTTATTCCGTTTATATCCAATGAATGCCATCTTTCAATTGTACTTCTATATTATAAGTTAGGTAAATTTTTGTTGTGCTTAAGAATGAGTAAAAGTTTTTACAAACAAAATTTTTGATGCGTCCCAAAAAATTAATGAATAGGAAATGCTATTATTGAAAGTAATAAAATATTAAGATTAGTTGTAAACAATTAATTAATCATTGTTGCGAAATATTATTGAATGAAGAAATTGGAAACTGAAAAGGTATTTCATTATATTCAAAGTAATAGAAATGGATAAAGTAGTTTCCAAAATCACATTAAAATTATAATCGATAAGGATATTAGCTTAAAAGCAGATCAATTAATAACTTCACTGCAAAATGATTCATAGCATAAATAGCACTTTGATATTAACTATAACTAAATACTTGCTTAAGGTTGAATTTGACAAAGTGTAGGAGAACTAATACAATTTTGAACAAATTTTAAAACAAACTAATTTCAACTCATCTTTTATTGTTAAAATCCAAATGACCGATAACTTTTAACAAAAAAAACCTGAATTATGCACAAATTAATTGATGAAACTGATGAAACGAATTTAATCACTTTACGAGTATTATACTCTTAAATTGTTTTAAATAACTTGCGTAAACCATGGCCATCTAAGTGAAGTTACTAGTTTTAATTAATGATCGTTTTTTAATTCATTAAATCAACTTATATTTTCTTTCAACTATATATAAGCAGAGTTTTAGAGTTAAAATATTTTGTTTAAATATCAATAAAGAATGATTAACAAAATACTTATTCAAAGCAACACATCTTTAAAACAATAATGATAATACAAACGATGTATAAATTGACATATGCGCTGTAAGATATCATTTTCCATTTATTCGGTTTTATCCAAAACTAATGATTTACAAAATAAAGATCATAGCAGCTATCATATCTGACAGACAAATTATAGTCGGAGATTAATTATGTGATATTTTATTATACGTTATCATCAAATCACATGTAAAAGCCGGTGTGGAATTTTGACAGAGATTTTCTAATTATTTCTTACTGGAATGAAATAACAAGTAACCAGATAACAGATTATCATTTCTATCATGCCATTACAATTATCATCGATATTTTCTTCTGTTATACCAATCATTCTATCACAAATAAACTTTAACCAACCTTCTTACATACCCCACAACCTTTCGTGAAGCAGGAATCTGTATACCAGAACATATTATTCTTACTCATGTAAGTACAATAATTGGTACCAAGTGGGAAACCAGGAAAAAAATTTTTGAAATCGACATTACTTCCATCCAACCATTCAAATTGATCGCTTGTTTGTCCACGCAAACCGATAAAAACCCGTTCGCAGCTGGCTAACCCTTTAAAAAAAGTCTTTATAAAGATTTCATTTAAATTTTCATTTCCAAAAAGTAAACATTTATGCTTTCCTTTTCGGAAAATAAAAATCTAAAGAAATTACCGATTTTCACGATCAAAAATGTTATCAATTAATTTCAGAGGTATGATACATCTTGCATCCTAACCTCCATCTTGTTCATTCTATAATATGGCTCGGGTGGGGATGTTGAATTTTCGATGTTTTTTTAGTAGCGATATATCTTACTTTTAAAGTTTCACTGATCGATCATTGAGACGTTAAAGTTAGCGACCTTCACATTTATTCGATTATGATAATATCAATAATTATTAATACTTGGTGTTTATTTAAAGTGTTAAGTTTATTAATAAATTAAAAAACAAAAAGCAACTGTGAAGTTCCTACCGTATACAAATGCATTTTCTGCCTCGGAATGTATTGAAACCAAATGTGCATCCTCCTCAGCACACATTCGTTCATATTTTATTGCACTAATGTTTTCGTTTTGAGAAATTGCATTAATATACTACAATTAAAATTAATTAATGTGGTAATATGGTAATAGTTGATAATAGTTATGGTAATAATTAATTAATACGGTAATATATGGTAATAATTGGGTAATAATTATAATATGGTAATAATTGGTAATAATTATGATAATAAAGACTATAGTAATAATTGAAAGAGAATCAGGAAATGAGGAAATCCTTTGCATGCCAAACATCTCAATGTTACTTTCTTAGAAAGTTCAATCTTTGGTTTAATGAGTAATAATTTTGGATTTAAATATCCTCTTAAAAATTCATTTTATTAAAGTTTACATTTCGAAGAAAAAGAGAACATTTAACAAACTGACTTTATAATGAGCATTTGTTTCTTCGTTATAAATCCAACCAGGATATTGAGTATCTGTAAAAATTATCCTATATATAGTCCAATAAATAATGAAGAATGAAGAGAGATATCTCCTGAGAATTTTTTACTAAAAAAGTTTTTCCACTTCAATAGATTAATGAGATGATCGAAAGAATTATAAGTGTTTCACGAAAGATTAAATTCGAAAGATTTTTCCATCTCCCCTTTTTTCCTTTCTATTCTTCTACATTGTCGTAGTTACTATTGCATAGTGCTAAGAAAGCAACAAATGTAATAAGTAATTGAAGCGAAAATTGAACCAACCAATAGTACATAAATTACACGTACGCCTGCATTTTTTTACCATAAGTTCATGATAATCTGATAGTTCACAAAGTTTCTGAAGCATAGAGCATAATAAATAATTATTATCTGCACATCCAGCATGCCGACATAAGCCACAGCTACCAGCACATTCTGCTGCTAGGATTGCTTTAAATGTGACATCTGCTGTAGTACAATGACCGCTTTCTGCAATCGTACGGCAATTTAAAGCAGAGTCTGAAAAGATAAAATGCTTGAAATAATCCTAAAAATAAGACTGAGTAAAAGTTAAACTGCTAGACTAGTCAAAAAATCTTACAATATGTTCAATCATGTTCTATAAATTGAAAATTATATATTGATGATAACGAAACATACTTATCTTATCATCACAAGTGAAATCAGGATGTTGACAACAACTGCGACACTGTTTCCGGCATTCTTCGGCTATATGCGATTTGAAGTTCGTACAGCGTGCATTTATTATTGGACTAAAAAAATAAATAGAACCGTCTTGAAAAATATAGCAAATTATAAAAGTTGATCTTACATTCGCACATATAATTGGATAAAAATTAAAATTGAAACCAACAAAGCTTCGTTGACTGGAAATGCTTCCTGACAAATTACATCATCCTGTTCATTGAAACACTTTGTTGCGCTAAATTCATCGGAACATGGAGATACAGCTGCTTGAATTGTTGAAGCAAAGAAAAGATAAAGTAATCCGTATTGCATTTCCTGATTTATTGAGGAAATCTCATAAATTGCAAAAACAATAACATATTTCCTTTAAGACTAATTAACAACACACAAATATAATTTATTAATTTATGCTAATTATTTTATGATTAGAAATTATTATATTAAATTTAGAAGGAACTCAGTTGATATGGGAAGAAGGTATGATTGAATTGATTTCATAGTATCCAGTAATAATATCATTGCCCGACAGATCCAAAAAAGAAGGAAAAAAAATTCGTTGAACTCATAAATATAATGGAAAGATGAGACATTGAACCCAATAAAACTATTTTCCAACATTCAATTCTATATTTTAGTTTTGGTGCAATTAATTCCTCAGTCTAAACAATTCTTCTTGATTTGTTTTCACAATGGCGATCATAATTTGGCGATAATAATAATAATGATAGTGATAAATCAATATTGAGAAATCGTCATTAATCTTCAATGATGCCTTGCGATATTATCATTATTATCATGTCTGCCACCGACATCATAACTCATGCACTACCTGCCGGAAACATTCCGTGTGAGCATGGCATTTGCATAATGGTGCAGCGAACAGTTTCAACAGTCCACTATTAAAAACAGATTCGGTTGGAAAAAAAGTATTTTCTTCCACTACTTCCTCATTTTTTAGCTCGATGAGGGTGAAGGTGTTATCGCGAAATCCAAGTGATTATCAGCGAGAAACGAAAAATGATATTTATAAAGGTAAACATATAGCTTCTTTTATCTGATCATATTTACCTGATTTGATGAATGCGGCCATGCGAGTGAATGCAGTAAATGACTGCTGGACAATATAATGAAAATGAGTGCTATCTGGAATAGGCCGTGAATAAGCATTAGCTAGATGGATATAGTAAACGAATTCATTGTAAGATTTTCATATTACTAAATATCGTAGAATACAAAATAACTGAAGGAAAGTGATATCAGGTCATCCAAATGAGATTTTCTTATAAAAATTTGAGATTTCAGCTCCACGGAACTTTAGTTTGCCGGAGGATCCGTTTCAGGTTCAAGTGGAGTACACACGAGCGGTGAATGCTGCTAAACTGAACAGGTAAATACATACCAATTAATTATTTGTTAGCTGATTAATAGTTCACGTTCTTAGTGAGTATAGGGTATGTATTATTGTTTAAAATTTCCAACGTAGTTTAAAAAAATAACACATTTTGAGGTGCTGGATATTACTTCATGTTCAAGCAGGGTAGGCGCTTTTTTCTACCAAAAGTGATATCTTTGAGGTCTTTTCATGTGCAGAAAGACTTGTAGGACAGTTATTAACCACTACTAGAAAGTTTATTTTATTCTCATTTTTTATTACTGAAGATAGAAATATTTGTGATTTTATTTATACTAGATATCTTTTAGCATTTGAATGAGGTTCTGACAGCTCATGTTTTTAGGGTCTTTGCAAAACCATTCATTTCAAGTTTAGACGGTCACAATGACGGTGTTTCAGTGCTTTGCAAACATCCTCTTAGGTTTGTCTCTTTTGTTTCTTTTCAAATTTGAAATTTAATTTAATTACTCGAATAAATTTAGCACCATTTTTGTAAGTTTTAAAAATAAAATACTACATTTCAGATTAACAACGATTTTCTCTGGTGGTAGAGATGGTCAGGTACGGATATGGAATTTAGCGTTGCATAAATGCCTGACAACGATACAGGCACATAGTGGGCCTGTTAATGGTGAAACTTTTTGGTATTTTCAAAGTGTGGAGTAGAATTTGTTTTACAAATTTTATTTTCTATAGTTTCTTTTAATTACTGGAGATGAGGGATGAGAAAAAATAGTAGTTTGTCCTTTTGTCCTTAATAATCTGTGACTTAAGGGATCTCATGTGATAATCTTTCGGGTGAAACCTTTGTGACAGTTGGACACGATTCACAGTTGAAACATTGGAAATGTCCAGATCCAGTTGAAGGCGATCTCTCAGAACCGGTACATTCGATACCTCTTAATGGTGTTGCTCATGCTGTTTCACACATTGTGAATAGTACTGACTACGTTACGTGCGGCGATGGCATACATGTATGGAATAAGTTAAGGTGAGTTAAACAAATGCTAAAAATGTTTTGACTTCTGCTTCAAGCGATTCATTAAGGATATTTGGATTCATTAAGGATATTTAACCAAAAAAATCTATGCTTTAGGGATTCTCCGATCCGAATATATAACTTGGGGGTAGATTCAGTTTATACAGTAAAATGCAATCCTGTCGAAACAGAAATTATAGTGGGTTGTGGTAGTGATCGGACGATTGCATTACTGGATACAAGGCAGAAATATCCATTAAAAAAAGTGAGTTATTTTAATTTTTACCTTAGTAATTGAATTCAATCAGAAATAAGCAGAAATCAATCTGCTATTATCTGCTATTATCCAATCAGACTGATGTTTTTTGATTGGACTTGCTTTAAAAAGACACTTCCTTTAGGTGACGATGAAATTGCGTCCAAATGCGGTAAGCTGGAATCCAATGGAAGCTTTTACATTCACAGTCGCAAATGATGATTACAAGTATAGTTAGCTTTCATATTTCTGCTTCGTTAATTATTGAACACTAACTGTTATGACTTCGGATTTCTTTTCTAGCTTATATACGTTCGATATTCGGAGGCTAACTGATCCTCGGCGCGTATACAAGGGCCATACAAATGCAGTGATGGATGTTGATTATTCACCTACAGGAACTGAATTTGTTTCTGGAAGCTATGATCGTTCATTAAGGATATTTCCCGTCGAGTCATTTAGTAGCAGGTATAATTTTATTTGGAGCTCCCATCGTTCTTTTTTTAATCGTCTTATTCACAAATTGAAAACATTTAGTAGTTACAATTTCGTTTAATATTTAATGGAATTAAAATAAACGAATAAAAAAATGTATATTTTAAGGGAAATATACCACACCAAACGAATGCAGCAGGTGCTTTCTGTGTTATGGTCACTAGATAACAAGTTTGTGTTATCTGGTTCTGATGAAATGAACATTCGCTTATGGAAAGCAAATGCAAGTGAGAAATTAGGTCCGGTACGTGTTTTATTGGTATCCTCGTTTTTTTAAATTATTTTTTTACACTCGTTGAGATTATTTCGACCCTTTATATATGTTCCAAAAATTTCGTAAATTTGAGTTTCAATTGATTTTACTTCAGTTACACCGACGTGAGCGTGCAGCATTTAATTACAATGCGCGGTTGTTGGAAATTTATGGTGAACATCCTGAAGTTAGACGAATTGTGAAGCGTCGTTTCGTTCCTAGATCAATTTATACGTATGTTTTCTGTTTCCTTCTTAATAGATATAATATATTTATAGAGTGTTGCTTATTTTCATTTTGCAGAAAGAGTGGGGAATTCTCGAACGAGTTTATGTATTATTAACATTTATGCTTTTCGTCTTTCACTATTCACCAGAAATTTTCCTAATTTTAGAGCTACAAAGGAGCACCAAACAATAAGGCTGTCACAGCGGCGTAAAGAAGAAAATAAGAGAAAGCATTCGAAACCTGGCGCTGTTCCATATGTCCCCGAGCATTTAAAACATATGGTGAAGGAATCTAATATGTCGTGAATTTTGTTGGAGATTGTTAAGATTCATTTTTTTTAAAGTACTTGCTTCAGTTGTTGAGAAATCACCAATGTTATATGGAAGCTTCAAGAAGTGAAAAGAATATATGATTGAAGAGGAGAATGAATAGATTTTTTGTTTTATATTTAAAAATGCAATTTTCGGCAAAATTTATTTTCCCTGATCATTTTACACGAGTAATTTTTCATTTAAAAAAGTAAATTTCTCTTTTTCCTCACTAAAAATTAAATCTTCGTATTTTCTGCGTTCATAGGATATCAGCGCATTTGTTCACCACATTTTGTTATTATGCTAAATGAATTGTTACCTGCAATTACATTAATTGAACATGACAGGTGTCTATTCGCAAATTTTGTGTAAAAAAGGTGATCACCATGAATTTGCACCTTTGAAAGCAGAGCTGAACAACAAGAAAAAACGGTAAAAATTAGACTTCCATCATTTGGCGTTGACAGTTTTTACTATCACATGATAATATAAGGTTGAAATTTAAAATTCAAGTGCAATATGCACACTTGGTTATCTTATAAGTATCTTTATAGAGTGCGAATAATTTTTCACAAAAAATATATTTTCCGACTGTTAGCTATTCGACATATTGGGAGGATTGCTGGTTAAATCAGAGTCGCCGTCTTGGCAAATCATACTAATTTTTCGCAGCATTTCTGGATCTTCTTGCCATTCGAATGGTTTGACCTTATCAATCTAGATGTGGAAATCAAGTCTAAAAAGAATGATGTTGATTTTCGAAAAAATTATCCTCTCAGGGGATTTTCATGCTAATGGGAATATTTCCCACTTCGAAAATTTCTTGGTGCTAAAAACTTGTATACCTTTAAGCGATCCATGGCTTGATTGATGAAAGCATGAATGATACGATATCTTGGTCGGGCATTAAATCTAAATTTTTCAAAGTTCTTTTTTTTCAAATATTCCCGTGATTTTGTAAAGGTTCTCAGAAAAAATCGAAGGATGAAGTCTTTTTTTGGGTTTTTTTTGAAACAGAAGACTAAAAAAATACGCTGTTTGATCGATGATATCAAGAATTTTCTCAAATTCCTGAGGAGAATCTCCAAGTAATAATTGTTTGCCGGGACCACGCGTAAATTTTTTCCATTCGCCAACTAACAAATACTCTCTTTTCGGGTCATGTATGAACCACGGCAAATTTCCTGAAGTGAATGTTATCGTTTTTTTATGATTCTCTCCGGCTAAAAAGAAATTGGAAATTTAGTTTGAATTTCAATTTGTTATCATATTTATTTCTGTTTTAAGAAGTATCGCATTCTTTAACATTCTTCATACTTTGATCATTTTTTTTATACTGATTTTAGAGACCTATTGTACTATTTTTGTTGATCGAAAATAAAACTGCATTAATAAACGCAAGTAAAACGGCATGAGGCTGCGTGATGAATAAAAAGAATGTATGATATGTGAAATCGTTGAAGTTCTCTTACCAACGATCATTTCAATGATCATATAAAACCATGATTCCAGGTCATCTTTCCGACATTGTTCCGAAAAATTGTGTGCACTCATCGGTGCATAATATATTGTACCCATTAAACTGGCCGCATTTCGCCGCTCAACCAGTGTGCCATTTTCACGACTAAATTGTTTTTCGATAATTCTTATGTGATATAAAGAAGAAGCAATTCTATTTGTTTTAGGAATAGTATTTGAAAATAAGTTAAAATACTAATTAATCTAAGTAAAAACTAAGATTAATTATCATAAAGGTGAGATATTTATTGTATTGCACTAACATGAATCGCCGTGCAAAACCAAAATCAAGCATATAAATCAATCCCATATTTTTCTTTCCAATACAAAAATTATTTGCTTTAACATCACGACAAAGCCAGCCGCTATCATGAAGTGCTTCGATACGTCTTAATGTTTGAGATGCAAGTCTAAGAGCTGTCGAGAGACTGAATCTGAAAAAGAAAAAAATGCAAAAGGTTGTCTTAAATGTGACTTTTTAAGTTCCTTAAATTGTAAATAAATTCGTAAGTGTGATGGAAGTTATAATCAAATTGAATAATCAAATTATCAAATTGAGAATGGAAAACTATTACAAATGAATGGTTTTAAAAAAAAATATTTTCGAAAAAATATTTTCTTTACATATATATGATGCTTCATATGATAGTTTGTTTATTTATACTACTTTAATTCAAGGATGCGTTGATAGCCTTATCACAACAAGAAAATTTGAGGAAGAAAATAATGAAATAATAGTGATTAAATATATCAAATGTTTTAGTATGAATTTAGAATTTCCACTCACTTTTTTCCTGGTGTCGAACGCCTCAAGCGTTGTAAATCTGGACCTACCAATTCCATGATAATATATTTGTAAAGTGGTGTTCTACCAGCAGCAATTAGACGTGGAAATCCCACGGTAATATCTTGATGATTAAGTTGCTTTAGCACTAATGCATCCAGTTTCAATACAGGCCTAAAATTGGTAAAACTTTTTTTCACCTTTCACCCGTTTTTCAGTTTTTTTTTTCAACGAAAACCTATAATTAGATAAAATTATCTTTTTTTAGCATACATATTTGCTAGCATTAAAATCAACATGCCATGGAAGAAGAGATTGGTTAGATCATAAACGGATAATGATCGCAAAGATTTCCATTGAAAAAGGAAAGAATGGAACCTCCGTGTAATTCATTTTGTGAAAACTTTGAGCTTGATTAATCAAAGTGCTCATTCGCGGTATAGATATGTATTATAACAAAAGGAGATCGGCCCAGCTATGATCAATTTCAATCATTTAAAGCTTATTATGTCACGGCATTTACTGTGCTTCGTTACTTTACTACTTAACATAGGATAATCCAAAAATAGTAAATAGCCTTGTCTCAAAAATGACCTTTTTGCTCCTGTTGTGCGCTCAATCTTCATAGCATATTGCATACAGCCTTCACTGATGGAATAAACCTTGCTAAAAGGTCCATCATAGAGTTCCGACTGGATATGATATTGCTTACCCTTCAACATAACCGCCGAACCAACAGCTGGCATTTTATCATCGTTATCCTCACTTTCCATTAATATTAATACTTCACGTTATGGCACTCAATAGCTATGCGACACCGTTTGGGATGAACACAAATGATTAAAATGACTGCTTAAGAAAACTTTTCAGCACTTTGAAACCAAGATTATGCACAATCAAGTCGTGATTTCCTCCCAGGAATAATACATTGTCTGTAAATATTTCGAGACCATGAAGACATGTTCATTTGACCGACTAATCTCAAAGGACGACTTAACCAACTAAAGAAACTGACTTCAAATTACGCGTTGGAGTTACAGAACAACAGAAATTAACATAACTGAATGATTTCTATAATGGATGCTATCAGAAACAAAAAAATCACACTTTTAGGCGGTTGAGACCTAGAATAAGTATGAATATGCATCGGGGGGGGGGGGTTGAGACCTAGAATAATTATGAATATGCATCGAAGTGTCCAATTAAAATAAAAAAATTTATTTTTGCAAAAATAACAACGATCGATAATCAAATAGTAGTATCTGAACAAAGTTTCAAGCAATATGTCTAAGCATTTCATTAGAAAAGAAAAGAATGAAGATAAGGAATTCAAAATGAGTGGGAAAAAGCGATCAGATGGTTCAATTCTCAGATTAACAAGTTTTCGGATTCGAAAGTTGGATTGTTCGTTAAACTGATTCTTTAGATTTACTATTAAATTACTTAGCTTACATAAATTTTAGCATTCAACAAACAACAGAAATAGCTTTTGTCGAGATTTAACAAGGTCTACGATCGCGCGCTCGTTGTCGTGGTGCGCTTTTGATGATGTTATCCACACGAAGAATCTGAAACCATACACGAAAAAGTTCGCTGTCTTCTTAATTAGAGAATTCAAGTCTTTATTTCCTGTGAGTTTCGATGCAAAAAATGACAACATGCACATAGCATGTTGGTCTTTCGATAGAGTTGGAATTCAAATGTCTTACCTGCTCCGCTGCTTCTGCTGCACTGGAAACCATGAATAACTTAACACTCAACGATTCGATCAGTCCCTTTTCAATAACATCCGTCGGCTCGCCTTTTTCAATATCTAGAAATTTGTATACGGCAAATATGAACCGTTATTATTACCAACTTCGATCGAAATCACATGTTTCGTAGTATGCCAAAACAGCTAGTCTAAACCTTTCATGTGTGCATATTATTTTCGAAGTGATGCTTTATGTACATAAATGAAAAGGTTAAAGTTATCTTGCCATATCTTGTTATCTTACCTATGATATATTTAAAAGTCAAAAATTGCCACCCTTCATGATGATCAAGAAAAAGACACAAACTAACCAATTCCCATGGAATGATTGCCATTGCTGTGATAAGCACGTAACTTTGACACGATTTCTGCGCTATCCAGACCAGCATTATCGCAAATGTAAGTTGGTAATTGTGCCAGCGCACGAGCGAACGCCTCAATAGCAAGCGATTCTTTCCCAGCAATCTTAATTTGAGAACTTTACTTCACGAAACATTTGAAAGAGCATCCATAATTTTGAAACTGCTGTTTCAACTGGTAATTTAACAGATGAAAATATTACTTTCAATCTAATGATAATAATTTACCTTTTGACTCTCGGACATCGCTGCAGTGCTCATCAAAATTTCAGACGCTCCAGCACCAGAGACCGTGCGTGCTTCTTTAACATGAGTCATTAAGACACATAATGCGTCATGAAGCGATCGTTCTGCTTCATCAAGAATTTGCTGCGTAGAACCACGGAGAACAATACTACACGCCTCACCTGCAAAGATTAATATAGTAGGGATAATTCATATAATCTAGTAAATCGTAAACTAATAACTAAAGGCATTTTCAAAAACCTGTTTTAAAAATAGAAAATGAGTTGATTACGAAAATGCAAAGTAATAGAAAAATTGCCACAGATATTTCATCTATTCTTACCAATAGGAACACCAGAAAATCGAAGCAGCCGATCCTCACCAACCATAACTTCCTCAATAAGATTACAGGAACCAAGTTTGACGAATTCAGGTGAATCAAATGTTGACACAATTTCACCACCTATAAAAAAATGATATAATAGAATCATAAATGCAGATAAGAATAAAATCGATTGATTAGAAAAAATAGGAAAACATGCCAAGAACAAGAGCAAGTCTTTCGATTCCCTCAAAGTCAGCATGCTCAATGGCCATGATGCCGGCATCTGCAAAGAGCTGTTCCGGATAGTTGTAAATCAATTGCCGATTGATGAATACGTTAATTTTGTGCGCTATGATTTTATTTACCTGTAACGAAATTTCAGATTCCTTAAATTAACTTGAACAGTTTCCGAAGTTGTTATTAGTAATAGCACAAATCAAACAATTTGATCAATAAACCAACCTTGTCTTTCATTTTCTCTTTCTCAGCAACTTCCAGTTCTGCAACTTTAGCTACAGAATCCACACGGACTCTTGAACCGAACACTTTCACCTAGAGATCAAAATGTTTCCTTTTATATAAATTACTCACAATTAAAACAAAGTCTCACAGTAATTGAAGGATGTAAGCAACATTAGCAGTGCACAAGTATGTTCTATGAATCAGAAGTCTCAAAAATCCGTCTAAGCAAAGACAGACTCAACTCAAACATATACAAAAAATTGTCACACTTAATCAAAAGATAACGAAATCATAATTTGCGTATCCTATCTACTGCATGTGCAAACCTTATCGGTATCCATCGGCGTGTTAGCAATCAAAATTTTTGCATTTTCAACTTTTTTTGGTTGGTACATGCCTGGACGTTTCTCAAGCAAAAACCCTTAAAAATCAAAAATGAATCACATGATAGAAAATTAGATAAATGAAAAGAAACTGCTGGAAAATACGAATATTACTTCTGTTGAGCAATTACTATCCCTTTGATAGGGTAGCAAAAATGATGAGAAGTATACGATCTACCAAGAGAATCGAACTCGTAGATGAATTCATAAACGAGGGTCTGCTCTTGGAAAAGCAATTAAATATCACTAAGAAAAACAGTTCGATGCTAAAACAATTCAGTTCCTCAATATCTAAAATAATTTTTTTCTCAGTATATTTTTCATTCTAACCTTCATCCAGATAACTGTCATCCATCGAACCACCTAATTTTTTGATAATCTGAATTGATTCTAGGCATCCAGAACCTTTCAAACGCAATATAGCATCGACAGCAAGTTGAGCAAAATGTTCTTTATGCTGTGCTAAAATTTTGGAGCCTAGTGTTGTTCGAGCTATTTTCAACAAATCATCACGCATAGCTGCTGGGGAGGAAATTTTCGCCGATGCTCGGAGTGCATCTTGGGCTATTCTTAAAGCTCGGCGATAACCAGCAATGATTGTTTGCGGATGAATTCGAGCAGCAATCAATCGTTCGGCTTCTTTCAATAACTCAGCAGCAAGAACGGTCACTGATGTTGTTCCATCACCCACTTCCGAATCTTGTGTCATCGATATTTCTAAACAACAAAAAATTCTTACAGCTAAGAAAAGTGATCAGTTCAAGACAAAAATCAGTGAACAATTATAATTTTCACCTTTCATCGAACCTCATCTTCAATCATCAGTACTATTAGGTTCGATGAGTGGCCGCAGCCTTATCGGATTTGCTTTCTTGAATTATAAAAGTGCTCTACTAAATGTTAATATCTTAATTTCTTACCAACGAGAACTTTCGCAGCCGGATTATCAACGCCAATAGCTTTCAAAATGGTAGCTCCGTCGTTCGTTACTTGTACCTGCTGTGAATCACCTTCACCGCATAGCAAGATTTTATCCTTAAAAGAACTGATGTTAATGTTCGAGATTTAGGCAAGTTTAAAGAAAAAATCCTATCAAACAATTAAAGTTTGGAAGCCTAAGTATTTGGTGTTTTGAAAAAATTACAACTCATGTTATAGGAAAAACTTTACAAGAAGTGCTCAGTATGCGTTTACACAACTATCGGAACAGTCATAGATGGTGTTGAAAAATTATCGACATTCAATAAATTTCCAACATTCGCATAAAAGTGAACGAACAAACAACTTCATCACAACATAACAATTCTTCTACTATTTCGGATGGAACAAAAAACTTACCATTCCTTTTGGTCCCAGCGTAGACTTCACCAAATCACCAATTGCAATAGCACCAACAAACGACGACAAACGTGCTCCTTCACCTCGTTCTTCCTGAGCATTCTGTTTTAATATCTGCACTGGAAGCATAGCTGTGTGAACTTTGTCCTGAAATATCTTAATAGAAGCGAAAAACCCCCGACAGAGGAATGAAAACTACGAAAAATAAGAAGAGACCTGAATTAGTACAGTGATAAAACTTTGACTTGTTCCTAAGTCAAACACAACTTCCTACATGAGCACACTCGATACAGAGCCATAAAACATAGCATAATTCTTTCGATCTCTCAATGAATCTGTATTTTCAAAGTCACAATGACGTATTCCTGAATCCTAGCATCACTTATTCTTTCTGCAACTATTGATCTGTGAGATGTCCAAAATTCTATGCTAAGCCTTGTAATCTAGGTCATCCCAAACTTCCAGTAACATCACCTACCCCAAAGGGAATTAAGGCCCATAGAACCTGAACGGTAGAAAGTCCAATGTTTTCATTATACCCATAAAGACGTGGATCAAAGTTCTTCAGCGAGAGCAAAACAGTGAAGAATCCTGGATTTACTACTGGTTTGTTAAAAGTTATTGAAGTAATGATGTGTGACGCTGATGCTACTGTAGCACCTAGGACTGTTTCAATGCAAGTAACATTTCTTCTAATTTCAAAGGTTTTGAGAGTCGGAAAGGGACTGGTAACAGTTGCCAGGAAAAGGATCGGGGTATACTTTAAAGCAGTTTGTACTGCCTGACTTATGTAATGTATGGTTTCTCTTATGTAATGTATTTATGGTTTTTCTGTATGGTTTCTCTGTATGGTCTCGGTGTGTCAGATTCCATAAGCATTTGTGTTTATAGAGCACTGTATAGGACAACGCTATGGAAGATTGTAAAGGGTGTAAGCTTCAGTAGTTGATATCATTCTCAATTATAATATGTAATACTTGGTACTTAAAGTACAGCGCAGAAATAAATTTTAATAAATTTATAAAATGATTACAGAAAGACGAGAAGCTGCAGTGAAATATGAAGGAATTATTTGAAAAGTATTGTGCAGTTACCATAAATGCTCCTATGGGCGAACATGGTCCACAGTTAGTTAATGGGACATTTACATTCATATAACACCAAAACCGAATAAAGAAAGCGTCGTTGTTGTTGATGTTGTTGAGAAATAACAACAATTAAGCAATATGTATTAGATGCCAGCATGGTTTTTCCCAATGTTTTTGGGAGATAGAATTAATTGTTATTTCTCAAGAGAACAACAATACTTGAGTCTTTTTCAGTTATATTAATCCTATCATTAATTGATAGGGGTTTCTGGAAGGGATGATTTATTTAAAACTTTTCGTTTTATAAATTTTCTGGATTAGCTATAACGATTTCAAAAAATGCATAACTTCTACTTCAGAATGACACGACATATCTTTTGGAGAAAACGATTTATTGAACAAGGGCTTCATTTGAACACTGCGGAATCTGCTAATGACACTATAGCAACTTCTAGAGTCGAAACCAGTGATGCACCATCTTCGTCAAAGGTTTTTGATAAGTAGATTACTTCTTTTCCATTGCTATTAAACTTTCACGGTTGACTGCTTTTTTGTAAGGTTTTATAAGCATAAGGTTTGAAAAGTCGTCTTTCGTAACTTTGCTCATGACGGCTTATATTGACATACTGCTGTGATTTCTACTTTACCTTTCGAGTCGATTTATGGTACAAAATATTCTTTTAAAATACAGAATCGTACAGGAGATCATGACAAGCGGTGATATTATATCAACTATCAACAGAATTTATGACGATCCAGAATCAATCACTCGTCATTTGTTTGATTTCTTACGCTCTCCAAATGAAGATGATGATTTACAAGGCGAAGTAAATTTTACCGTCAAAATAAAGCAGTAAATTAGAAGTTATGAGAATAAAGCATTTTCATTTTGTAAATATGCGGTGCATTGATTTCGAAGAAGCACTTAATGCAGTGCTGAGGTATGAGATGAGACTTGCCATCAAAGACTGCATGATCCTTTTTAGCAGGCTTGGCAGTCGCGTATTCCTTTAATACGAAATTTTCAAAACACGACTTGATTTTCTGTGCCTGAAAATTAATTGGCACATTCATAACATTGGATACAGTTACATGAAAAGTGCTCTCTTGTTCCAATAGACTTACTATGTCAATAACTGACTTGTTTTTTCAGCTTATCGATTTACTTGGATTTGAACAGTTTGACTTAGTCACTAAAATCTTGTCATCAAGGCAAAAGCTATTGGACTGTTATAATTCGGTTCGTCAGGATGTTGCTCGAAGTACGAAACTGGAGAAAATATTGGTATGATATTAATAAGAGAAATTTCAAATTAAATCTAGTCGACTTAAGAAAATTAATTAGGAGATAAAATTTTCCTTCTCTTTTTTCATCTGTACATTAGTTATTTATATATCTGAACTCTTATATCCTTGCAAAACAGTCTACCTATTAGATTCGTAATGCCAGCTACTAAAATAACTTAATAACCACGAAATTTCATTTAAATCTCCAAAGAAAATCCTAACAGTTCATATCCATTTCAGCAAAAATCACAAAAGCAACGGGAACAGCCGTCGTATTGTCAGCAGGTAACAGTTCAGTCAAGTGCCGACATGAACGTACGCAAAATGACAAGGCGAGAGCAGAAACGTGCAGCTAAACAATTAAGTAAAATTACGCAAAATTTAACCGAAGATGAAAAGCTTGAGTTGGAACGAGCCCAGAACGATATGCTGAAGGAGAGGTCTGTTTTTTGAGGAAAACCATTTCAGTAGCAATTATACACAGAAAGGGATCTATAATCGTGGCAAATACTGAATTTTATTTTATCAGATTTCGAGATCTGGAGGCAGAACGGCGGTTGGAAACACTGCATGAAAATAGGTCAACTGTTCCGCGTGAACGTTTTCCATATGTATACGATGCATTAACTGAATCCGACCATATTTTTATCACTATCGACGGCTTAAAGGTTTGGTTTCGGATATTTTTCCATGATTTATGGTTGGCATTCTGTAGCCAATAGCTATAGGTATAAGTAGCAATGAATTAGCAAACTTTTTCTCCATTTTGTTTACTTCTTTTGCACAGTTAACATTTTTTTTGCACATTTTTAGGATTCTGAATTTTAGGACGCTTATTCAGAATCGTGACAGCTTAGGCTGGAGGCAGAATCCTAAAACTCTGTGATTGAGATGTTAAGTGTGCTAGTTAACTCTTAATTTTGCCTTGTGCGAGTCAAGTTGTCATCCAATTAAGAAAGGAGAAGGATTAAAATAACATGAATTTGCTATTTTAAGCGATGTTTACCAGCTAACTCTTCCCGTGCAGTTCGCGACACTTATGAAGAGATTTATGTTCCTGCAGCAGACAGATCTCGGATTACGGGGGTGCACCAGATAAAAATCGAGGATTTTGATGAGGTCAGAAATATTCCTGGTTTATTTTGGTATTTTGTTCAAAATATAGTATACCTAAAAAGTGTTTGCACATTGCGTGAAAAATTGATTTTAGCCCTGTTTTTCATGAAATTTGATATTTCGCTTTTACTTTTTCAGTTAGGAAAAAAGTGTTTCAACGGTTTTGAAAAGCTTAATGTCATTCAGTCGTTGGTGTTTACGCAAGCTTACAAATCACAAGAAAATTTGTTAATTTGCGCTCCAACGGGTTCTGGTATGATATTGTTGTTCGAATATGAGAATAAATTTAGTAGAAATGGACTGTTTTATTTAAGGCTTGACCTATATCATCAGAAATGACGAACTTCCAAAACTTCAAATCTCTTTTTAGAGTCAGCTTTCAAATAAAGCATTTAGTCAAAGAGCCATCAAAAAGATTAAGAAAACAATAAGGTTTCAATGTCTCTAATCAGATGAGGTTGAAATAAATATTTAAAATTTAGGGAAAACAAATATTGCACTGTTGGCAATTTTGAACACGATACATAGCTACATGGATAATGGAGTGATTTGCAAAAATGATTTTAAAGTACGCTTTTATTAGCTAATAGCAAATTAAGAGTATTTTCAAAAGCTAGGCTTTTGAAAATAATCCAATTTTTCGGTCGAAAATTTTACCATTACATCTTAATCATTTGATTTAGTTCACTATTCTTGAAAATTTATGCATATATTTATATTATGCGACGTACAATCGCAGGTTATTTACATCGCACCAATGAAAGCGTTGGCAACTGAAATGACAGCGAATTTTGCTAAGCGACTAGCTCCATTAAATTTACGTGTGCGTGAACTAACCGGTGATACAACATTATCAAAGAAAGAAATTGCTGAAACACAGGTAGAGAGGCATTTCTATATAACTCCTCCAAATATAGATTACACTCAATATTTAAAAGAAAAAATGTGTTCTTTTATTATATGATAAACATGAGAAAACAGACGTTGAATGATAGCATATATTGCACTTAGGAGGGAATTAGAAATCCACTGTTTGTTATTTAAAAATTTTTTCATGAAATTACAAAACCTAGAAATTCATAATTGGGAAGTTAGACATCCTTGGCATGATTCCCATAAAGCTGAAGGAGTCTTTGCAACACATTGTTTATTTTTATTTATTAGGCCATTTGATACTAAGAAATCCATGTCAATGGCATGCATTCATGCCATTGACATGGATTCATGTGTCAGAATTGTCAGTTATTTTTTTATATGACAAGGATTTGTGTGGGAAATATCCATTTTCTACAGATGCTTATTCTAACTCCTGAAAAATGGGACGTTGTGACGAGGAAAGCTATTGATGTACCACTTACGGAAATGGTACGGCTACTAATTATTGATGAAATCCATTTATTACACGATGATCGAGGACCTGTGATTGAAACCATTGTTGCGAGAACGCTTCGACAGGTTCGCATGTGCAGTAATTCCGCTTTTTCTCAATCTCATGTACAAGTATACAGCTGTTAATTGTTAAAGGTGATACAATTATGAAATTCATTGAGATTGGTGACATGAAATAGCTGGGTCAGGTTTGCCCCGATTTTGATGAAATTTACATCATATTTAACTGGAACTTCTGCTCAAATTGAACTTCTGCACAACAATGGGCATTACGTATTGGTATAATTGTTTTTCTATAATTATTTTATCTTCGAATTATCGGGTACATACCACTAATTTCAGGTCGAAATGAGTCAGCAAGGTGTTCGAATTATCGGACTTTCTGCCACACTACCCAATTACACCGATGTTGCAAGATTTTTGCGTGTAAACCCCCACAAAGGAATGTTCTTCTTCGACGGTCGCTTCCGGCCAGTTCCACTTTCACAAACGTAATCTTTACCAATTTGGTTTTTTTATTACATTTTTTTGGAATTGAAACTAGAGGACTGAGATGCAAAATCGAGACCCACAAATATTGATGTAGGGTCATTAAATTATTATGAAAACTTATGATATAGGTGCGGTAAATTGCACAACTTCTAAATGTTGAAGCCTTATCTGTGCATTTGGCTCATATTTGGTAACATTCTTTTTAGTTTTATTGGCGTTCGTAATCCACGAACTACAGGACCAGATCTGATGCGTGAAATGGACGAGGTATGTTATGATAAAGTGCACCAGTTTGTGAGCAAAGGGCATCAAGTTCTTGTTTTCGTAACTGCACGAAATGCCACCACAAAATTAGCTATAACCTTCCGAGATGAAGCTGCCAAGAAGGTTTCTTTCCTACTGCGTTTTATATTTCTGTGCTGTTTACCTCTCTCCAGCATTGTGCGAGACATAATAATTATAAGCTAAAACCGTATTTCTATCCTTCATTGATAATCGACTGTTAACTTTATAAATTCCGAGAAATAATGCTTTTTCTTATGGTTCGATTTCAGGGAGAATCAAATCATTTTTTGCCAGCAAGTATTGGTTCACCCCAGTACGTTAATGCAATGAAATCGGTGATTTACAAATTTTCTATTTCATGTTTTAAAAAATACTGCATTAGTTGTAAATGAATGAACATCTGAATAAATAGATACTGGAATGGGAATTAGATAGATTAGATAATGGATAATAGTTAACAAGCAGTCGTAGGGATAAGCTTAGGACATGGAAAGAATTCAAGGAAGGTACTATCAACAGTAATGAATCTCATTAAAGTTTTAACATTGGCAATCGGAAATTAAAGAAAAACATAAAGAAAATATATTTTTTCAGGTGCAAAATTGTCGGATTGGTATGTTAGCGGAATTCTTTCGCCTTGGATTTGGTATTCATCATGCTGGCTTACCGCGTCGGGAGCGTTTGATGACTGAAAAATTCTTCTCCAATGGACACATTACCGTACTTTTTTGTACTTCAACTCTTGCATGGGGTATCAATTTGCCGGCACATGCTGTTGTCATTCGCGTAAGGTTTCGATTCTTTATTTGGAATCAAATTCTTTTATATATCCTGGTGGAATTTTGAAGTTTCCTATTGTGTTATGTTAAAAGATTAAAAACTATGCGAACTATATTCTAAAAAATTGAAGTCGAGTAAAAACTCAGATTAAGTGCTTTATGCAATAGTCAAGGAATTACACAGTTTATATAATGGTATAAAAATTTTAGGATTTATGAGATTTTCATAAACATCAAATCCATGGAAAATCGTTTAGGGCACGGAAATCTTCGATGTTCAGAAAGGCGATTTTAGCAACATGGGTGTCCTCGATGTGCAACAAATTTTTGGTCGAGCAGGTCGCCCACAGTATGAAAGTTCAGGTAATTAGGGAATCAGTTTGATATTTACGAAGCTCCTTATCTTTAACATGAATCAACCGAAAACTGAACCGATACATTATACATACTTACAGCTTACTCGCATGCAGTCTTTCTGCAGTCTGATAGACGTTGTTCGTTGATGCTGTTCTCTAATTCCATTCAGTCATTTAGTAAAAAAATTATAGGACATGGTGTAATTATAACGTGGAAGAAAAGTATGCCACAGTACTTGAATATGTTACTTCGTCAAACACCTATTGAAAGCCAATTCATGTCGCGAATTTACGATAATCTGAATGCGGAAATCTCTTTAGGTTTATTTTCTTTTTATTGGCATTTCCTAAATATAAGTCTTTATGCTGTAACAGTTTTTACGGATACTTTTAAAGTTTTCTCATTTCGATCCCTTTTTTATTGTCCTGCTCATATTGTAAAATTTTTAGCTTGATTCGATTATTTGAGGGAAAGTTTTGTATTAATACTATCAAATATTAATGAAGTCTATTACTTAATGAAGGGCTTTTATTCTTCTTGACATTACAAGGCAATTATTTACATTTATGATAACTTTGACTTCCTTCTTAACTCAGAGGGTGGATTTGAAATCTAAAATGTTTCAGGGACAGTGTCAAGTATATCCGAAGCAGTTGAATGGCTCAAGTACACATATTTTTTCATTCGAGCTAAACTAAATCCTCTTGCTTACGGAATACCTCGAGGACAATTAGAGCGCGACCCAGATTTATATGAGTATTTTATTCAAATGATGACGGAAGCAGCTGCGAAATTAGACAGAAATCAAATGATTAGGTTTGACAGTATGTAAGTTTCGATACTGAATTTTCTCAGTTAGCTAGTGAGTGGCATAATAATATGAAAAGTATGAAAGAATAAGCTTTTTTTTAATGCTACGAAGTACAGAAATGGGGAAAATTTCAACATAATATAGTAAGGAATATTATGTAATCTTCAGAAACGGTTACGTAGCATCAACCGATCTGGGGCGAATAGCTTCAAACTATTACATGAAATATGAAACAGTTGAAGTATTTATGAATGGCGTGGGAGGACTAAAACTGGAAGCATTCATGAGCGATGATATGATACTGTCATTAATTGCATCAGCAACAGAATTTGATCAAATTAAGGCTAGTTCTATTCTCTCAGTATATTATATAAATAATCTTCAGGAATAATATTACAACGCTTCCGTTAACATTTATTCAAGAGTTGATAGTGATTTTCTTGATCTATTGATTCTTATTGCATCTTCCGACTAAATCGGCCAAAACTCTTGGGAATGTCAGATTTTGCGAAGTATATCTGAAACTTTCAGCAATCCGATAAAATCTTGCTTCATGGAAATGATTTAATATCATTTTACGCTTTTTCCTGATGGAAAGCTCTCTGTATTTCATTCTGCTGAGCAATGTACTGCACAATTATTGAAAACCTACATTTCAGTACCTTATACAGAGTCATTTTATGTTTGATTTAACTATTCTTTTTATTAAGGTACGGGAAGAAGAAGCAGTGGAACTGGAGGAACTTGTTTGTACTTCCTGTCCTTTCCGTTTTAAAAGAGGTGCCTTGGCAACCGTACCTGGAAAAGTAAACTGTTTGATCCAGGTAAAGATAAAGAAAATCCTTTCATAACAGAAATATCTGGTTTGCTGGATGCTGAGTGGTCCGCGTTACTTCTTTGCAGGCTCATATTTCACGAGCATTCATTCGGAGTTATTCATTGGTTTCGGAATCAATGTTTGTTCAACAAAATTGTGGACGACTGTGTCGTGCAATGTTTGAAATAACTTTGAGAAGAGGATGGGCTCAGGCAGCGAATGCAACGCTCAATATGGCGAAATGTTTTGACAAACAAGTATGGCCGTTCCAGACACCGCTGAGGTAAAACTTTCGTCCACAGTTATCGCGGACTAATCCTTTCATTCTTTCTATTGCTATATTTCCCAAGTGAATTATACTTTTTGTCTGAGCACTAGTATGGAAGTGATCGTCAAGAATACAAATTATGCTGATATAAATGGTAATGAATTTTTTAAGAGCTTTTACAGTTTGTTTTTTAGACAACTCGGTGAATTTATTCGAGCGGACTGGATTCCAAAAATTGAACGGAAGAAGCTTTCTCATTATCAACTCTTTGAGATGAGTGCAAGAGAACTTGGTAAAAAAGTTGAATTTGTACTTTTTTTTTAATTTCAGTGATTCTGTTACTTAAGTAAAAAATAAGTCTGTTCTTTATGAGGAAATGGAAAATCTGTTGTTGTCGTAAATGATTTTATTTAGGAAGTATGTTAAGTTGTGATGGGCAGAAGATGTATGAAGCAGTACGCATGTTACCGGTAATGTATTTGGAAGCATCAATCAAGCCCATTACAAAGTTTGCATTAACTCTCATTGATTAGCTAGATGATTTTTGCATGTTTTGGAACAGGAAAGTATAATCAGTTACCAGTTTCATCAATTTTACTATAGTTTCAGCAGATTATTTTGCAATCATTTCTTATTTGCAATTTTAAATATTTCTATTAAGTTTTTTTTGCAAGTTACCGAAAAGTTTTCTTCTTATCAAAGGAAATACGTTTTCAGCAAACATAAAAAGAACTCGCTTGATATGGTTGCAAAAATGTTTCCGAGCAATGAAAATTTTTTATGTTCACTTTCTTTACATTGTTAGCATCCTTTCTAATGAGCATTAAAGACACAGTATAAATACTTTTTAAAAAAAAGTTATAAATGAAAAATACTTATTCTGGCACTCTCAAATATCTATATTTTGTGAATTATTTGATCACTTTGCAGCACGATTATCCAAGTGGCCGTAACTTTAACGCCAGATTTTGTTTGGCACGAACGTTTTCTTGGCTCAACTGGTGTTCAGGTTTTCTGGGTTTTTGTGGAAGATATCAATGAAAATATGATCATTCATCATGATCAAATCGTGGTTAATAAGAAAAAGGTTTGTAAATTATCTTATATCTCTCTTTTGATTCTTAGCTAATTTCAAATTACTATTTGATACAACCAGTCAAAACTGATATGTCATAGTGACATCTGATATGTTTTTTGCAAGCCTTTATATATTATCTTGAATCCACCCTTGATTTATATGCAGTATTTTCACGGTCATTTTTTCATTTGCAGGTTCGTAATCATGAACCACAAAATCTCATTTTCACAGTACCAGTCAGAGATCAGCAATTAACTCATAATTATCAGGTTCGGGTCGCAAGTGATCGGTATGTAGTTAATGATAGTGTTGTCCCTATTTCGATGCATAATTGTGTTTTACCATCTTCTCATCGTCAGCATACGGGTATTTTCCTTTCAAACATTATATTTTTCTTGCATACATTTTTATATTTTTTGCTGTAAAACTGTATATTTCCTTTAGTTATATGCTGCCCTTTGCTGTTTTTTCTTTTTCTCATAGGAGCTGAAGTATAATTTGGGCCTCAAAGTTGTAAGTAACATGTTTTTACATTAATTCATTTCGCTGAATTATTTTTTCACTAATTAAAGTAGCAATATAGTAAATATTATAGATCTGCTGGATTTGGATCCGTTACCATTAACGGCTTTAAAAAATAAGGCATTTCAGTCGATTTATAGTTTTGGGTTCTTTAATCCAATACAGACACAGGTTATTTTTTATGTTTTTTTGAGGCTTTTCTTTACAAGTTTTTTTTATTTTCAAATTTTTTTCCAATACTGTTCACAAACTGATTTCGTTATAGGTTTTCCATTGCTTGTATAATACAGATCAAAATGTTTTGATAGGAGCACCAACAGGTTCTGGTAAAACTCTTTGTGCAGAACTGGCAATGTATCGTATTTTTCGCGAGTATCCGGCTAAAAAGGTTTAATTCGTTAAAAATTCCTTCGAATACTTCTTACTTCTTTGAAGATGTTACATTTGCAACAATAAAATCCGAACTCTTCAGTCGTTTTCACGTACTTCTGAAAAGCTGAAGTTCTTCCTCTCAAAACATGAAACTATTAGTTAGCCTACAAATTTGATTGTTTTTCTTTTCTGGGCGATAAATGGATTGCTTTTTGCAGTGTGTATATATTGCACCGTTAAAGGCTTTAGTGCATGAACGCGTTTCGGACTGGGACGAAAAATTTCGAAGGCTGAATATTAGGTTTACATTTCTATGTTCATTGATCACTCTTTATTTTTTCGGAATTGTTTTCATTTCTCCAGATTGAAATTAATTTTCGTGCTCACTTTATCTTCTATTTTGATCGTTCATTTGATTTTCTTTCCATAATGCATTGGATATTTATATTTTCTAGAATCATCGATCTTTCAATTTTAAATTTGTAAAGTTTACTTATATTCTGTTCAACGTTAAATTTTTAGGACAGTTGAGCTTACGGGTGATCACTCACCAGATATTCGCTGCTTGAGTCTAGCTAAAATCGTGGTCACAACACCTGAAAAATGGGATGGTATAACACGTAGTTGGGAAATTCGTCAATATGTTAAAGATGTAGCGCTTGTAATTGTCGACGAAATTCATCTTCTGGGTGTTGAAAGAGGCGCCGTATTGGAAGCAATTATAACAAGGTGGGCTGGATGACGATCTATATCACAGATGGTCCTAAATCCTTTATTTTCGATTCCTGGCATTGAAAGTTCACTGATTAATGCTTGAAGATGTCTAGTGTTACATCTCAAATGTTGGCATGGAATTACTTCAGGAATTTCTTTCAGATTAAAATTAATGGCTGGAAAAAAAGAATCTCAAAGTCCTGTTCGTGTAGTTGGTCTTTCTACTGCTCTTGCTAATGCAGGCGATGTGGCAGAATGGTTAAATATTGCGGATGTGAGTTAATTTTGTTAATAAGTTTTAATGTTTTTCCTTATAATTATAATGCCATAGCAGTCCAAGTAGTTGATATGCCTCTTTACGAAAAAATATTTAGGCTGGACTTTTCAACTTTCGACCAAACGTGCGGCCAGTACCCATTGAGGTGCACATTGCTGGTTTCTCAGGTCAGCACTATTGCCCTCGAATGGCTTTGATGAATCGACCAGCTTTCAAAGGTGTTTTTTTGCCTCAAAAAATTTTCTTATGTCGCTGTTCAGTCTTTTTTTAAGTCAGATTATAGCTTCATGGGTAATCTGGAAAATTTTAATTTTTACGTTATTTTTGCTAATGTAAGCTGTGTTGTTTTTCCTTGTTCATTAAAGTTTCTTTTAGCAATCAAAAGTTATTCTCCCTGTAAACCAGCTCTGATATTTGTGGCATCACGGCGTCAGACGCGGTTAACTGCAATGGCATTTGTTTCGCAGCTCGTTACCGATGACGACCCACGTCAGTGGCTTCACATGGATATGGAGGAGGTATATGAAATTTTCATCCATTCAAAATGAACTTATGACGCAATTATTCCATTTTATATTTCATTATTTTATTAGAGCATTATCAGAGATTGTTTTTCAGCATAAGATGAAGCCATTCACTATGAACATGAAATTTTTGCAACTTTAAGAAAACTAAGATTATTGATGATACATTTCACTGTGTTGGTAAAAAGAGCATTTCAGAAGAAGCGTTTGTTTATGTTATGATGAAATGTAAAACATCTCAAAAAAAAAATTGATTTTCTAAGATGCCAGAATCTTTTTTTACTAAGTTGAATGCCTTAAGAGTGATTTTATTACAGCTTGAGCAATTGATCATAACACTAAAAGATGAGAATTTGAAACTAACGTTACCATTCGGCGTGGGAATGCATCATGCTGGTTTGCAGCAGTACGAAAGAAACATTGTTGAACGGGTATTTTGGACTTTACTTTTTGTTAAAATTTTATTTTGCCTTTTTAACTTAGGTTTAGTGATACTTTTTTCTATGATATTTAAGAAACAAGGATAAAGGATGACCTTGTATTTATCGTTTTCCTGCAACAGAATAACATGAAGTGATTTGCAATCAAATGTTTTATAACCAAAATCATAAATCTGTTAAATTTGTTCAGCAGGAGAAAAAAGTAATTCTTCATGGTAGTACAATCTTGTTATTTTAGACTCAGTGAAGAGAGAGTGAGCTTTATCTTTAATATTTCTTTCTACATTGCAATCTTCAGCTTTTTGTGGAAAAGAAGATTCAAGTCATGGTGGCTACAGCAACCTTAGCATGGGGCATTAATATGCCGGCACACTTAGTTATTATTAAAGGGACTGAATATTACGATGGGAAAACTCACAAGTATATTGATTTCCCGGTTACTGGTATGATCTTGATCTCTTATATTGAGCATATTCCTCTTTTAAATTGTTTTGTTCGAAATAAGCTTTATTTCTGTTTCAAGTGATATTTGAAAGCATTATTATCAATTAAGCTACTCCTGACGAATGTATGAAAATAATTTTTTTTTCAAGGTTTCTCTTTCTCAAGAAAAAGATTAATAAGCATAATAAGGCAGGTAGAAGGTTTCGTGGATTCAAGGAGAAGGATGTGTAATAATTTTATTTACTGAGAAACTGAATTTACCGAAAGTGAGCCTTTAGATGTTTTGCAAATGATAGGCCGTGCTGGTCGGCCACAGTTCGATGATTCTGCTGTTGCTGTTATTTACGTTCAGGATGTTAAGAAAAACTTCTACAAACGTTTCCTCTACGAACCTTTTCCAGTCGAGTCAAGGTAAATCGTTCAAAATGCTTATTTTTTTAAAATTAATATTGGCCAAGGTAAGCTATTGTAAAGAAGAGTTAGATTATATCATGGATTTAGTGCACATACTTTTGTCTCTCCATCGTTTTTTTGAAATAATCCTGCCAGTTATAAGTGTACGTGAAATACTTCTATGCTTTTCGACTCGTGCCTATTTATTTAATGCTTCACTGCAAAAACATGAATCTTGCTTCAAATTCAAATATATCAAACGATCACGTGATTAGCAATTCAATAAAAAAAGTGTGCAAGGAAATGTCAATACTCACTTGCGCGCACTCTCTCCAATGTTCCTTATAATTTCAGTTTACTCGCAGCATTACCAAATCATGTCAATGCAGAAATTTACGCTGGAACCATTGCTTCACATCAACATGTAATGGAATACATTGCTAATACTTACCTTTATCGACGTCTTTTTGCAAATCCAAGGTGAAAATTTATATGAATAGGTTTCATAATAACAACACTTCTCCTTGTTGTACCGATTATAAAAACTATCCAGAAAATTATGAATTGAATAAAAACTTTTTATTTCTTGAGCTTAAATAATAGCAAATAGTTTTAACTGTTTATAGTTATTATGGTATTGTCGATACGACACCGGAAGTTTTGACTCAGTTTCTTGTGGAAATAGTTGATAACTGTATTGAAGAACTTGTGCTTTCCAGTTGTATCACCGTTAATGAAGTATGTTTACTTTGAAAAAAAATTCCTCTCTATTATTACAAAAAGTCTTTTTCTAATTATTTCGAAAAGTAGCTTTCAGAATAGAAGCTTCCTATCAAGTTGAATTAACACTTTAACACTTCATTACTTTTTCCTAATAAATTGATATAATAAATAAAGATTCTGAAATTATTTTCATGAGGACGTTGTTTTGAATAGTGTTTTTATAGATTCGTGACTTAAATTTATGTATTAAATTTCAGGAAGAGCAATCACTTATTTCAACGCCGCTTGGAACTATCGCAAGTGTTTACTATCTGAATCATAAAACTGTGCGGTTTTTTGCTAGCTGTCTTACACCCACAGCGACAGTGGAGGAGCTTATGAAAGTTTTAGCAGTACGTTCCAATTCTTTGATTTTGTGCTTGTATGAATCTTTGTATGACTGCTTTAAGTTCCAGAATACTGCATTGATGTCTTTTTCCACAGGATAGAAAGTTTCTGGAGGGAGTTTTGCTGTGAGAGTGACGTTAACAGAAGGCTATTTCTATATGAAGATTAGAAAAGCTATTTCAGGATTGTCCAGAATATGATGAAATACCTGTTCGACATAATGAAGACCAAATTAATGGGTCAGTTTTCTTTCTCTGATTATTAATGTTCTACTTTAGAAGCTATCATCTTTGCCCGTTTTATCTTTCCGTTGCATATTGTAACACAGACTCAAAAATAAGCTTTGATTAAGCTTTTTGTCTCTCTTTTAATTTCTTATTAGTTTCAATAATTTCAGGCAGCTACAACAAATTATGCCGCTTAAGTTACCAGCTGATGCTGCCTTGGATTCTTCACATACAAAAGCATTTCTATTGTTGGAGGCACATCTAAGTCATATAAAGCTGATGACAGATTATATCACTGACCAGCGCTCAATGTTAGATCAATGTTTCCGAATTTTAAATGTAATGATTTTCTAAGTCTCGTTAAACTTCACTTGAGAATATTTGTTAAGGTATTAAATAATGAAGTAGATGGAAACGAATAGTTAGCAGAAAAGTAATGCACAAAGAGCATAATTTGTCACTAGCTCGTAAGGTATGCATCTATTAAATCTATATTCGGCGTGGTTGTCCGCTAAAATTAGTATATTATGCAAGAATTTTTTCTAAGTTCTAAAATATTTTTAAATCTTTAGGCAATGTTGGATATAAGCCTCCTGCATAAATGGTTGTCAACTGCTCTTTCGGTTGTTATTTTGATGCAAATGATCGCACAAGCTGCTTGGCATACAGATCATCCTTTACTGGTCGTACCTCACTTCAATGAAGACGTTATTGATAGAATTGGGTAAGTGCAAAATCTAAAAAATAATGTTCAATGTTCAATGCAAACTGTTCAATGTATATTAACCATCGATCTTTGCACTACTGCTCCTGATTAAGTTTAAAATTACCAAAACTTGACTAGGCTGTTGATAGTGAAAATAATATACTGACGAATACCCAGTATGACATTGTTTATAAAGGATAATTGATTAGTATACTCTATCGCATATTTTGTTACGTAGGTGTATTATTTTAGATGAATTTTCGGTTCCTTGTAAAACAGAAATATTTTTAGACTTTTGTTTGTTCAATATTATTAATAAATTTCCCTTGTTGATGTATAGGGCCGACTCAACGATACCTACACTTAAAAATCTTTTTGGCCTTGATAAAGCGAATGTCGAACAGACTAGAAAAAAAGCGATCAAGAAACTTCTAGATGTGACAGTTATCGATGAGCATCAGGCAGCGGAGGTTTTTGCTTCTTTTTAATATCTTTTGTTTGTATGATGCTGATCTTATTTTTTTCAAATTTGGTTCTAAATCATTAGATGCTATAGATAAGCATGGAATGTAATCTTGAAGAAAGAATTTTAATTATCAAGCCTAGAATTTCTTGAGTGAAATTAGCTATGCGCGGTTTACGTAGGTTGCTTTAGTTTATTACTTTCATTCCTAATTCACTCTTTTTTTTCCTTATTCGTATTTACTTTTAGCTTATGATTTTCCGCCAACATTTTGTTGTGTATCTTTCTGCCCTTTCTAAATTTGTGTTGATATCTACTTTGTCAACCATGCGACAGCAGTATTTTATTACTCAATTTTGTGTAGTGTTATAACTGCAGGCTGTTGATGCTCTTTTGAAATGGCCAGTACTACAGCCGAGGAACTGTGTGTTATGTGGTGCAAATCAGGTTTTCGAAATCGATTATTTGCAAGATGAGCGATGGCCAAAGTATATGAATGTTGAATCAGATACGTCATATCGTATGTTATTCACTGTCGAATTGGTCGGCCCATATAGGGTATGTGCATACTAGTAATTAAGAATCAGAATTTATAAGGATACGCTTTCTTTCATAGATACTTTTTGTTTTCAACATTTTATGAATAAAAATTTTCACTAAAATAAAAAAATTAAGTAGCTGAATGAAGCAATGATATTTTAGCTCGAAACGAATGCGTTTTGTCCACGCTTCCATAAAAAAAAAACCGCTAACTGGATTGTGATTATCGGTGAAAAAGATACAGATGTAGTCCTGTGCTGCAAAAAGATACCACCGATTACCGGTTCTAAGAAACTTAATGTGCCATTCAGGATGCCCAAACGACTGTAAGCTTTTTAAAAATCTAAAGAAACAGAATTTTTAAACAGTGATTTTTCGTAAAATTTTACATTTTTGACAAACTGAGGGATGAATTACTGAATAAAAATTCCAATTTCAGCTTTTCTTATTAGATTTTAAAGTTTGTAATTTTGCTTAGGAAATAAAATTTGAATGTTTTGAGTAAGTCAGCTTTTGTTTTGATGTGAGGATTAATGGTGCATTCTCATAAGTAATGCACATTATTAGGCATCAGATGGTATAGCACTGAAACATGCATTATTTTAAATCAGATAGGAAAGGAAGGTGTAGGTAGGTCAGTTTATACATATTGAACAGTTATTTGCTTTCCGCTTTCTAGAGGTCGACATATTTTTACGGCTTTCATGATGTCCGATTCTTACATTGGCATCGATCAAGAATACAACCTTCATTGTGAAATTATCGAAAAGAAAGTGTCAAAAAATTCTACAAATGGAAAGTTGTAACATTGATAATAATGTGATTATAATCACTGTGCTCTTTTTTTCTTTGGGCTGATAGTTTATCAGTTTGTTTAAACTTTTTCTTTTATCACTGAAGCAATGTATTTTATCCTTCATTTGTTCTATAGTTAGTTTCGGTAATTCTCGCGAATTTTTGGAAAATTTGCTAGTCTTTATGGGTAAATTTTGAAACAGCTCTTTGATTTTCCTCTTAAAAGAGCATTTCAAGTAACTTAAAATGTACTTTTGTTAATTATTTGTATTTTTTAAGAAGCGTGTTCAAATAGCAACCATTGAAAATTACAATGCAAAAATAAAACTAATGTTTCATTTATCACATATATTTTGTAATAATTGACAATTTGAAAAACAATTTAACATATGACCTCCAAAGTGTAGTTTTGTGTTTTTTAGTTCAGTGTAGCAAAATTCGACATAGTGAAACGGCACATCGCTATTGGTTCTATTTCATTCTTATGTGTTTAGTTTTTCCTTCTTTACATATTGCCGAGCTCTGAGCGGATTGTGCCTTTATTAAATGCTATTCGGTTACTATATTTATATGACCTTACGGACTGGAATAGAAAAAGATATATCTGCTATTTCAAGTCAAAAAAAAGGACAAATGTAGAAATTTCCACTTGTTCTTACTTTTTTGGTTGGTTATAGATTTTTTCATATAGTCATAAATTAAATAAATTTGATGATGGACGATTATTTCTAGCTATTTGCACACTTGAACCGCAATTCGATCTATGCGGAGGTAATAGGTTGGAATACGAATAGGAAAACAAACAAAAGTTCGCTATAAAAATAGGATGACCGCAATCATCTAATTAATGTTGAGCGTTTCATATGACGAAATACGATCTTTCATACGCCCAGTGGTATATTTCCGTGTTTAAAATTGTGTGTGGTTAAAATGCTTTCGCCAATCATTTTGCGTTTGGTTTGAAAAACTTGTTCTTACACTCTTTATTTCTCCGTTTGTATACTATTTGAAGTTTTCTAAATTCTTAAAGTTTGAGAGAGTATCACTGTTATTAGTTTTATCGATAACTCTCTCACGGATTGTTTATCGAAAGGAAAACAGACATGTTACAGTGTACTTTAATTTTCTTTTCGGTAACCAGTCCTCCAGAGAGTTATTAAATGCTGAGATGAGACATTCGCTTTGAAACATTGATTGCATGACTCAATATATTTCGATGTGTGATGGCACTATGAGATAATCTTTGAGCTTAATGATGTCAAACTTATAAGCTTTCAATTTTACTGTAGAATTTTTTCAAAGTGGGAAAGAGGAATGCATACTGAACAGATTAAATCCCTTTGAGCTCAAATTTTAAATTTTTTTAGCGTAAAAATAAAAGGTGTTTAGTGTGGTTTGTTCGTAGGAACGTACTGAACTATGTCGTTAATTTTTCAGAGGAAATTTTAGGAAATTCAAAAGCTTATCAAATTCAGCGATGGGGAAAATAGATATTCAGCAATTAGATGATGTGGCAAATCGTCTACGTATTGATTCGATCAAAATGACTTGTGCGGCTAAATCAGGTCATCCTACAAGCTCATGCTCAGCTGCGGAAATTGTTGCAACCCTTTTCTTTAACGAAATGAAATTTGACAAAGCGTTCCCGAAGAATCCATCTTCTGATCGTTTCGTTTTATCAAAGGTTTACCTTTTTATTTTAAAGGAGAGAAAAGATATTGTGGGGAATAAACAATAAGTGATTATTAAGACCTAAATGTGTCTCTGTAGTTCATGAATAACTTGAGATTTGCAGTAAACTGTTAGAATTGAAGTAGTGTTTCTTTTTCAAGGGTCATGCATGCCCGATTTTGTATGCTGCTTGGCATCAGGCAGGGCATATATCAACTACTGATATGATGAATTTACGGAAGATAACTTGTGATTTGGAAGGCCATCCAACACCAAGATTAGACTTTATCGATGTCGCTACCGGTTCTCTCGGACAAGGTCTCTCATGCGCTGCTGGAATGGCTTACGCTGGAAAATATATTGATAAGGTATCTATTCAATTTAGTTCTATTCAAGAGAGAACGAAGGTCTGTGATTCTTAAGATCAAAGGATAGCTATTTCGCTCTGCTGACATTTTCACAAGTGTCTATGTCTCCTATTTGTTTAAGCTGTAAATTATTTTATAGAATGGAAATCAAATTGAATTACTCGACAAATTCTATCTCTTTTCTTGGGAAAAGTTCTTTCAATTTAGGCAAGTTATCGTGTGTACTGTTTGTTGGGCGATGGTGAATGCGCAGAAGGTTCAGTATGGGAGGCCGCAGGCATGTTTTGCTCTGAATTTCAGCTCTTCTTGATTAATCGATATAACATATGTTGTTTAATAGCAATGAGAAATCAGGTTTTTCTAGCGAAATCGCTTAATTAATAACATGAATGTTCGATGTTCCAGCATTTGCATCGTACTATAAATTGGATAATTTGGTTGCAATTGTGGACATGAACCGTCTAGGACAAACTCAACAGACGATGCTAGGGCATGACGCTGATACCATGGCAAAACGCTTTGAATCATTTGGATGCTACACAGTCGTTGTTGATGGCAGTAATGTCGTGGAACTTCTGAATGCTTATAATATTGCACGGTTGGAAATCTATTTAGAAAAGAAAATGATAGGGGAAAATCGATATTCACATCTTTGTATAATTTTCATTTTCATTTCAATCACAAGAAGGCAAAGTCGGATACTTAGCTTCATTTCAAACAATGTCAAATAGAAGATGGTATCAAGATATGACAGATATTTCGAAATTTCTTGCCAAACTCAAAAAGCAGTGTATTCTATTGATCATCCATAGCTACAGTGTATTACTACTAACATAAACTACTAACATAATTATTTGATATTCGAGATCAAACTAGAGTTGAAATAGAGCTTAATAAAATTAAAGCCTTTTTAATTTATTCAGTCAAACAAAAGGCAAACCAACAGCCATCGTTGCAAAAACATTGAAAGGAAAAGGCATTGTTGGAATCGAAGATGAAGTAAGTTTTCCTGTTTATGTTATTGCAAATTGGCAAGACTAGTATTTCTTGAAATACAAATTACCGGAATGAAGTCGATTCCCAGATTGTTATCAGTAGTTACTCATCCGTTATAGAAAATGGAATGAGAAACTGTGTAATCGTTAATAATTTACTGTTGATATGAAGAGTACTAGACCATTCTAATGTAGAGAATGTCTTGGTGTAGAGATAAGTTTGGCAATTAGTAGTATTCATTAGGAGAGAGTTTGGGACCTATTAGACATCAATCGAAACCAAAAGGATTGTAGAATGGAGATGATATGCTCTGTTCGCTGCAGAGCACCAGCTATGACCGGTGAACTAAATGCCGGAAATATCCTAGATTCTCTGCTAAATAATGAATGTTGGCTGTTTGACTGGATACATATACTGTTGTGCTGTATCACGATTGGTAGCCACGTACAAACGTTTGGTGCAGTAACTTCTGATTATTTCTCCCTATACCAATATATATATATATACTGATGAATAGATTATTTTTCCTTTTATCAGTATATGCATATAAATGAATTATTAAAGTTATGACGATGAATGTGAACACTAGAAATTTGTAAATACTGAAAAAACTTGAAGTGTAAGTTACGTAACTCCTTGATGTAAGGATTTTATTGCAATCGCCTGTCTTAGTTCTTCGGAGGCATTTATGCAAGATTGAGTGATCAAATCTTTTTTTAAGTTGATTTTGCACTTGGCACTAACATTGTATTTCAGTTTTTATTTACTTTAGAATAACTGGCACGGAAAACCAGTACCTGAAAATACTGTTGAGGCAATTGAGCAGCATCTTATGAACAAAGCGGATATCGCTGGGACATTTCAAATAAAGCTTCCAGTAAATGATGTTCCAAATGTTCAGCTCCCAATTGGCCATATTAAAATGGCACCACCAACATACACACTTGGCGACAAGGTTTTCTTATGTCCGCTGGACGTACTTTTAGCAAATTCATTTAAGCTGATTTTGATTCGTCTAGAAAAGATTATGAGTAATAGCTACAGCAAATCAAGATTCGAGTTTAAGCACTTTTGACTCTACTGTAGAAATGTGACCTACACCCATTAAAACTATTAAAACCGGATCAGATGCAGACCTGTACATTGCACATTTATTTGTGTGCGATGTACAGGTCTGCATCTGATCCGGTTTTAATAGTTTTTCAACATTACTTCTTCGAAATTTGGCAGGAGTCATAATTTTACTGTTACCGCTGAAAGATAGCTCTTCGTCATGATCTGAAGATTATTATAAGTAAGTATTCATGCGATATCGACCTGTACCATGACACCTGTACCATTATTTGTCAGAAATATGCTTGTGTACTGATTCTATGGCTGTACGTATTTTGATTTTGATACTCAAAGTTGATTTTTAAGTTATCTGTTTTTTTTCAACATTACTTCTTCAAAATTTGGCAGGAGTCATAATTTTACTGTTACCGTTGAAAGATAGCTCTTCGTCATGATCTGAAGATTATTATAAGTAGGTATTCATGCGATATCGACCTGTACCATGACAAAAGGATTTATTTATTATTTATTTTTATTAGAGGATTTCTTTTTGTTTAAAATTTATTTATTTTAATTTTTTAATAGCTTTTTTCTGAAATCATTTTTGTGAAGTGTTGATTATTTCAGGTGGCAACCCGCCAGGCCTACGGTGCAGCATTGGCAAAATTGGGTGATGCATGTTCACGAATAATTGGCTTAGATGGTGATACCAAAAACTCGACATTTAGTGAGATGTTGCTTAAAAAACATCCAGAACAGTTTGTCGAATGTTTTATTGCAGAACAAAATCTTGTTGGAGTTGCTGTTGGTTTACAGTGCCGTGATCGTGCAATTCCATTTACAAGGTTTGCTGCATTGATTAGTTTTAGTTTGGCCAGGATTTAGTTGATTCCAACTTTTATATATTTTTTAATGCTTCATTTATTTGAAGAAGATCCAACTTGTTGCATTTAAATTGTAACTTCAAAGCGTGGACTAAAATCACCTTGGTTATCCATATTGCCATACCTCAGCATCTCTTGTAATCTTTCCATGGTTATACCATTAGTATTTGCATTTCGATGGCTTAATGAATTTAAAGAAAATAAATGAATATACCTCTTAAAGGAAATAGATAAGTGGGAAAAGATAAAAGCCTCTCAAATATTCAAGTGTTTCAATATTTGGAAGGTATCAATTTTTTGTATTACTGTATAATCAGAATTTTTCACAACGAATTATTGGATTTCTCAATTTCAACATTTTTATAGCGTTTAGCGTTGTGTCATATATACGCATACACAACAGACATACACACGCAAACGTTCATTTAGCGGTTATTTGAAGGTATTTTTGTAAGTTTATGGTGTGCAGTCTTGTACTTCTATGACACTTAGCTACCAATTCGGTATATTAACAAAAAGATACTGCTGAAGATTACCAGTCCTTGGACGAGCTGATATTAATTCGTTTTTGTTTTCTAACCTCACATCACATTGGACTAATTAATGTTTTCGCTACTGATCACTTTTTAGAAAATTTGTTTTTGCTGTGATCATGATGTGATGAAGATGTATATTAGTATTGGTTTATTAATATTACATTTGTAATCTAGTTGTACTGTAGTACTGCATGCGACTTAGTTTTCGAAAAGAACATTAGTAAAAAGTGAAATGATGAAGTAGACATTTTTGAGGAAAAATTCCCGAAGCGTTAAGTGCATTGCACTGATAGTCAAGAGGTTTTAATAATTTTGTGAAATTTGTTAATGCAAAACGAGAAGATAAGATAGGAATTTATTCCTCATAATGTTTATGACTATGGTGTGCTATCGTTTTCGAAGCACCAGTAATTTTGAAATTTTTTGAATTATAGCACATTCGCAGCATTTTTCACACGTGCTGCTGATCAACTTCGTATGGCTGCGGTATCATTTGCAAACATAAAATGCGCTGGTTCGCATGTTGGTGTGTCGATTGGAGAAGACGGTCCGTCACAGATGGGTCTGGAAGATATCGCACTATTTCGGTATATTCATTTTGATGTCACATATATTCATAAAATTTGATAACCAAATTAATAAGTTCAGAGCAATTCCTGGATCCATCGTGTTCTATCCAACGGATGCAGTGGCTGCAGAACGTGCGACAGAATTGGCAGCTAATACGCGTGGTATTGCATATATACGTACGGGACGTCCTGCATGTCCTGTTATCTATAGCAACGATGAAAAGTTCGAAATTGGTAAAGGAAAGGTGGGTACTGCATGTATATTCCCAAGCTATACAAATTAGATTACTTTATTATTGTTTTGAATCCGATGCGTTTAATTGATCTGTTTCTTTTTTTTCTTTGATAAGTAGTAATTAGTATACACATGTTTTCTCTCGTGGTCCGTATTTCCCGCAATACATCTGCCGTCTTAATTTATTAAACCCAGAGAAAGAAACATTTGCCATCTTTCGTTTTTTTTTTGTAAAATTTACAGCTTACTTCAGATCGTACATGACGCAAACAAACCAAAAGCATTGATAATCGGCGCAGGTGTTACGCTTTATGAAGCAAAAAAAGCAGCAGATAAATTACAATCAGAAAATGTGGAAGTAATTGTGATGGACCTATTTACAATCAAGCCGCTTGATAAAGATTTGATCGTAAAATCGGCCAGAAGAGCAGAAAACCGTGTCATCACCGTGGAGGATCATTATCAGGCCGGAGGTATCACTTTTCAGTATTTGAAATATTAAATTGAATTCTCACTTTTTTCCTTTTGTTTTGTTCATTATATATCTTCTTTTATAGTGAAGAGGGATTTTTGCACCTTCGCTTTTCACCCCTTATCTTATCACAGTATGTAGAATAACATCAACCTTCTTTACATGCTTTATGGCTACGATTTGACTGCAGATGTACAACCCCGTCGCGGATTTATGAAGCGTATGGCAAACTTTTGTCGAAGATTTCATTAGATTTACTGAAAATTTTAGGCATTGGTGAAGTTGTATGTCAGGCTGTTTCTGATCAGAAGGATATTCGTGTCCATTCATTGTTCATTCTTGATGTTCCACACTCCGGACCACCGGATGCTCTGCTTGAAAAATACGGAATTTCAGCAAAATGTATTGTTGATGCCGTTCATCAGTTCATCCACCCACCAAACTAAGTGAATTTCAAAAAATTCTGGTAAAGTCCTTTCTAATCTTTAAAAAAGCCTTTTTGATTTAACTGCTTTTCCCAACTCCATTAAAAATGCAATATTGAAATACTATTTTTAACCTATTCACTTCCCAACTTTCACATTTTTTGATTTTTTGAATTTGTTCCGTAACATTTATAAGTTACTTATTCCATCATTAAATGATACGTTATATCGAAATTTCTTTTTTACATTCTTTTATATTTGTAACAAAAAAAAACAATCAACGACAACAAACAAGGCACTTAATACCGCAGGACAAATGTCAACATGGAAGTAATGAAATAAAGGACTATAAGTTCCCGTCCACATGATGTTTTTATTATTTTAAAATATAGTTAAATTCGAAAAAATCGAGTTCAGAACCCTCAATGTGTTATTTCCGAGCAGATTATATAATGATGACATAAATTTAAGTCAAACTACTCTAACGCTTTTTTCTGTATTGAACTTCGGGGCAGCAAAAGAAATAGAGAAAGAAGAAAAGCAAGGGATTCACGAACCTAAGGAAGACGGAGACAAAGGAGAGAGTTATGTGACTTTTTATAGATAGATATTAATTAAGCAAGAACCTCTTGCAGCATCCGCTTAGGGTCTTAGCTAAGATGGCAAAATAATAAGTGATAGGCATGCTCAACTTTTTCTTTCACCGTATAAGTGTGATATCAATAAAGAGCAGCTCGGATTTCTTAAGTTCCTTTTTTCTGAGGTGTAAAGAGGTGACTGAGTAAGCTTTTATCAATAGCTGCGGCCAAAAAGTGCATAAAATTTGGGTTGTTCCTTGCATTTTGGATGTATACATTGCATTGGTAAGTGCTCCGAAGGCTAAAAAATGTATTAGTGATCAAGTAGAAAACGATTTGTCTTACTTGCAAATTATATCATCAAAAGTCAATTAAGCAAGTATTCCATTTATAATGTTATGAAAAAGGGTCACCTATTTTCAAAAGGATTTTTTTTCAAAGAAAACATACAAACTTTTATCACTCCTTTGATTAAGCATAACTAATTAAAGGTAATATAAACCTGTTCGAGTGGTATGCATAAAGCTTTAGCGCCCGTCAGTGGTGCTCCTACTTCACCGCATTCCTCACTGAAACTGTCCTTTTTGATGTTGTCTTCACAATTTGGAAGGCCACAGAACGCAGCCAAAATTAGATATTTCTTATCTAATAATTCTTTGAACTCCGACCAATGTGTGATAATTTTCTGATGCTCATCACATATTCTTTTCATGCTGCAAAAGATATTTCTAAAAAGTGAATTTATGCTCCATTTTAGCTCGCTTAAGATTCTACCATCATTAAGGACATAAATAAATTTTCTGATGCTAAAAACATAATAAAATTCAAAAAAGTTCAAATCATAGCAGTTACCAGCATTTCAAATCACGGCAGAAATGAATCACTTTCCTCAATAATCAATTAATACGCTCATGGAGTAAACGTCGAAGAAAAAGAAACGATTCAAATTAAATGAATCAAAATATGAGGAACATAAAATACAAGACTATCATGTGTTGAATGTGATTAAAGGTGGACATTTAGAAATCTTTTTTTAAAAACTTACTTAGTATACATGTTATTATGTATCTCGTCCAACAATTCGAGGCATTTTGCTGATAAGTTATCGATCGCAATGACTGATTTTTGTCTGTTATAACGAATAACGCAAGTGACCTGCAAACACGTATATAAGTGAAATGAGAAATATAAAGGGAAAGCACAAAAAACAGAAATACGACCTTTGTGGGTAATAAGTGGAACAGTTTTAAGCAAGTAACCGATCAGAAAAAAAAACATTACACCAAACTGATTTCGCCAAGGATTGCAAAAGAAAAAAAAATTGTTTTTCGATCAATTAAGAATAAATTAACAATTCCTAGATCATTCAACATTTAAATTAAAGTTGCAAAATGATTGATTTAAGCAATCTTAATTACATTCCTTATCATCACATACCTGAGATTTTTTAATGTCCTTCGGTCCAAGCTCAAGTCTAATTGGAACACCTTTTAACTCCCAATGATTAAATTTCCACCCAGGAGAGTAATTATCGCGCAAATCAATGTCGACTCGAATTTTTGATTTTTCAAGAATCTTTACGATTTCTTCCATTTTTGTGATTATTTCTTGCTTCACTTTCTTATCCAATTGGGAAGTAATGCCAACCGGTATGATGATCACCTAAATTACATCTCTCATTTTTTTCTGTAATTTTATTCTCGCAACGAATTTCAGCATATCCGCCACTCCGACTTGAGTTTAAATATCTCAACAAAAAATAATAGAGTTGTTTAGTAAACAGAGCAGTTTTAACTAAAATTACAAATCCGAGAAATATGTATCGCTATCATTCTACACCAGTAACCAGCTCAGTTCTCGTATTATATATCTAAAAGGTTTTCCATACATACTTTGATTGATTTATTTGATAACCTGATAAATGAATTTCTTTGATATGATTTAAACTCTCTAGAATGCCATTTATCTAACAGACATTAAACTACTTTAACAGAACAGAAACCTGGACAGGTGCAACTCTCGGAGGTAACACAAGACCATCATTATCACCATGAATCATAATCATTGCACCAATTGTTCTTGTCGTCATACCCCAACTATTTTGCCATGCAAATGTTTTTGCGCCAGTTTCCGGATCCTCGAACGAAATGTCAAACATTTTGGAGAAACTCTGTCCAAGATGATGAGATGTAGCTCCCTGCAATTCATCACCGAGTTTCAGTTTTGATGGTATATTCATTTAAAAACATATTTTACATAAAAGCATACAAACTAACAATCGGAAAAAATAATGAAGAAAAATGTAAAGATCTGCTGAATTATCTAAGACAATAATAAAGATATAAAAAATTCTAGATCAAAAAGTATTATTTGATAACTGTCACCATTTTTCAAATTATTCCATAACTTTCAGAAATCTACTTGATCCGAAGTTACACGGACCTGAATACCTCGTCCATTAATCGGGACATACGCTTCAACGGTAGTTGTAAAGTCACCACCAGCAAATTTTTCTTTTTCTGACTTTCGACCTTTCATTACCGGTATGGCAAGCAAATCTGTGTAAACTTTCGCATACAAATCTAAGATTGTAAAAACTTCTTTTTCAGCTTTTTGTTTTGTCTGAAACACTGTATGTCCCTCCTGCCATAAAAATTCGCGTGTTCGTAAAAATGGCGTCGGATGCTTGAATTCCCAACGCTAAAATGAAAGAAAATCGTCTTCTCATAGAAATTAGTAGAATCTAAAAAATTCAAAATTTGACATCATGCGAATTTTAGTGAACCTCATAATCTTATTTTACCATCAATAGCTACAAACGAATATTAAAACATGATTCCAGTTAATGTTTTAAGCTAAGTCATTCCGTGACACGTAATAAAATGTCTGTCAAAAAACCAAGAGTAACCAACGCGAAGATAAAAGCGGATAGTGCCTTGTAGTCAATTCTAGCCATCTGTTTAAGTCAGAACTAAAATAAGAAATTTCAACAAAGGAATGGAAATATAAAATAACTACTTACCACTACATTGCACCATTGATTCAAACGAATGGGCAAATCACGGTAGGACTGAATCCATTTCGCATAACTAGGATATATTACCGTTTCACTCGTTGGACGTATAGCAATCGATTCACTCAAATCGGAATTTCCAGCTCGCGTTATCCAAGCGACCTGCAAGTCTTTACACATGATAACAGATATCAGTGGCACTCTTGATAAAGACGCTGCTAAAGCATTGCTATCACCCCAAATCAACTACTAAAATCATTGATTTGTATTTTTAAATGTGATATTGCCTTTTCACTCACTTGAAACTTATAAAAATATATCCCAAGTATTCCTATATTACTTAGCTGTCACTATTGTAGCATCATAATCGCCTCAGATTGAACTTAGCATGATGACAAACCTCTGGAGCAAAATCAAGAATGTGGTCCTTTTCTTTTTGCAGCGCATTCTGTGAAACGAACATCGGAAAATAACAATTGCGTACGCCAAGCTTCTTAATTTCTGTATCGAACCATTTTTTTATTGCTTCCCAAATTGCAAATGACCATGGACGTAGTATATAACAACCTGATATATCGTAATATTCGATCATATCCGCTTTTGTTATGATCTAAATTTTAACACGGTATCACTGCTGACACATGTTTTTTTTAGCTTAATTCAACTGTTTCATACAATAGTTTGATATGTGCCATAAATTCATAAACACTTTGACTAGTATTGCTTAATAAGGTCCAAGATGCCAAATCTCTCTTCACACTTTTTTATTCGTCTTTGTTTATAGCAAAAGGTAAGGTACACATCAAATGAACCAGAATTTAAGAAGACATAACTCCACAACTAAGTTCTAAAAAACAATTCTCTTAATATCATATAAACGAGATAAATAAATACAACTTTATTTGTTACCACTACAATTTTCAAAAGGTACGCAATGCAAAATTAATTTCATAATAAAGCGATTTCTTTTAGTTGAAAAAAAGAAACCTGGGAATACCACTCCGCTAAATTTTCTTCCTTTTTGACATCAAGGCCCAGTTTTGTTTGCTTCGCTATCTCTACTGTCTTCGCCGTTACTCCTGCCACTTTAGATTGAACTCCTTCCTTCTTTATTTTTTCATCACTTTTTTGATTTCCTTCATTCTTAACTATCGCAATCTCAACAAAAAGACAATGTTTAGATGTTCCACAACTAAAAAATGCGAATGGTAGGAGAAACACACTGCCAGATACGTATAGTTCATATCAGCTCCCCTTACAATTCTACTCAGCAATTTATTTAAAAATGGCCAAGCCTACATTCACGATCAAAAGATTAAATAGAATTTACATGATTGTACACTGAATGAGAATTACTTTGACAAACAACAGATATTTAAAGCCAATGAAATCTGAAAGAATAGAATTTCTCCTCGAAGAATCAAACAAAACAAAGGCAAAAAATGGTTCGCTCTAAGCTTAGGAATTCTGAATATGGAAATTCTATACTATACCTTCGGAATGGAAGAGTTCGTTTTAGCAGTATTCACTATATACTCCTCATTGAAATCATCCATGTACTGCTTCTTCAATCTCAGTAATTCCGCTATCGCATTCTTCGCTTCCTGCTACAATAGAAAATCCAAAATTCTTAAACTTTTTCCAATTAAACATTTTAATACAATATATATTATGAAATTTTAAATTTCTTTAAATAACTGTTTGGCGATTACATTTTTTGCACTGGAGTGGGCAGAAAACTACCACACAAATGCAGAACTTGCGATATACCCCAAACGGAATTCGGATCATGTTTTCATTTCATCTTAGCTACGCATATATATTTCTCATATCTTGAAAATTAATATCGACAAATCTGTACAAGAATTTGAAGTTGTTGCGGAAAAAATTATTGATAAACGAATAAAACACACCTCTTTTGCACCTTTTGCTTTCAAAGACCTCACCAAATCGCCTTGCTGACTTATTTTTCTCGCAAACGCTTCCATACATTTTGTGCTATCATTTCTCAGTTTATTATCACATGACATAACAGATACGGTTTCCGATTTATATTCCGTCCCTGCCATTTCCATATATTTTTGTTTTAAATTCAAAAGCTTCGCTATAGCTGCCTTCGATCCCTCACTTTTTGGATTCATACTTTTCAGTGTACGGACCACGTTACCTATAATTAAATTTTCGATCCGGAAACTTCAAAAATGAAACAAAATGACAATCACTGCTAAAAGTAAACAACGTTCAACAGAGTAATTTATAAATATAGTAGCGCAGGTTTACAAAACGTGGGCAAGTTATTTGAAAGTCAATTCCAACTGCTAAACAAGCACGGAGTCAAAATTAAAAAAAAGCGTGAGATTTATATAAGTGATGATCCATCACATATATTTCGAATTCGCAATTACAATTTGTGATTTTCTCTTCCTTCCTTCATCAGTTGCCCTTATTCTTGGATAAAAAACTGCAGAAAACAGAGCGGTTGTGAAAATTTTGCAAAACTTTTAGGAAAATTTTAGAAAAAATCCAAAAAAAAATCTAATAAGAACATTCGTTTATGGTAGGAAATCACTAACGAAACAATTCCGTTATCCTATTCCTACATATACAAAATTCGGTAAAATTAGGAATAAAGGCATCAAAACATTGATTGGCTTCACAATACCTTGTTCCTCAATCTGCTTGTACAATTCTTCTATACTTGTCCTTTCCATCGTCTGTTGTCCTTGTTCTTGAGATGAAATTATTAACCTCGGCTTATATTCCGAACCCGTACTTTCCTTGTACTGTTTTTTAAGGTCTAGTAGCCTTGATATAGCAGCTTTAGTCTCATTACTTTTAGGATTAACAGCTTTTAAAGATCGAACAAGATTTCCTTGTTCTTCAATGCTCTGATATAAGTCCTTGACATTATCTGATGCGGGTAATTTGTCAGTTTTGTCATCCACCGCGGACAATTCCTGATAAACCCTTTTCAGATTCAGAAGAACAGCAATCGCTTCTTCAGTTTTTACGCCTTGCGGATCTGCTGCTTTCAAGGATTTGACCAAGTCACCTTGCTCCTTTATTTGTTGATTAAGCTTGAGTATGTCCACTTCACATGGAAAAAATTTCATATATTTGAGAAACTTTTTTATTAAACTGTATAAAACATAAAAAAAGACAAAGAATACCAAAGCAGGTAGGAATCACACAGTAAAGATTTCTTTAAATACATACACATATTTCAGAATATAGAAATCTCTCATTCCCAAATGTATAAATTTATTACATAAGATAGCTTTAAAAGAGAAACTAAAAAACAAAGTTAAAACTAACTTGTTGGTGCATTTCCATCTATTTGAATGTTACCGTTCGTTCTTCCCTCTATAGTGGAAGAACACTCTTTTGCAGTCTGAAATATTCCAAAAACATATTAAATAGTATTAAACATTAACTCAAACCTACCCATAACATATTCCCTGAAATCAGAGATCACAGAAAACAGTTTTCATTTCTGTTTGTTTTGTTCTCCAAACAATACATTCCGTTTTAAAGACACTTCAATTACCGTTTTAGTTGATTTAACAGGTTTATTGCTGCCATCTGGTATTAGAATCAAAACAATCGGCACTTCGAATCCAGAGTATTCACTTTTGGATGTGTAGGCTGAATCACATATATAGTATCCTTTACGTTGCAGTTGAATAATATCACCTTTACGTATTTCCTTCATTGCTGGTTCACCGATGAAGTCGAAATATTTCTGAATATTCACGTTGATAATTATTGAAAGTTTTACTAATTTTGCATAGTTACACAGAAAATATTTAAATTCAGAAAATACAGAAATTCTAAGATCATAAAATACTCTTAAATCTTAATTTAATGGATTAATGAGGTCATATTAGTAATTTTCTCTTGCACCCTTCTCGCTGTCGCAATAAAAAAAATTTCCAGTACTCTCAAAAACAAATATTATACTAAATGTTTGAATCATTCGATTTATTCATTAAATGTAAATAATGAGTATTAGTGAAAAATTATTCGTGATGTTGGAACATAACTTACCATAGAATTATAATTAACGAATTGCTTCCAGTCTTCATCTTTCCCCATAACAGCTTTATTGATAATATGAGAATACTCAATGATTTTTACCGGAATTTGTGGTCCTAGTTTTGTGTCAGCAATCCACGTTACTTTTAATGTCTTCTTATAATCCTGAATTTTCATTTAACATTTGCATGATTTTACTAAATCTGATTTCAAAACAGAAATTCATGACTGAACTTAAAGTTAGTTCAACCCAGAAGTTATAACAAATATATTGATCAAAAAAGCGATGGAAATTTCATCATCTTACTTAGTTCATCTCATTTCTCGATAATAATAAACCAACAATAATACTCTCAGGAAAGCACGCCAGCTTGCTTCTTTAAATGGTGGTCAACTATCGACCACCGGAAGACGTCAACTAGCAACCACAAAATTTAATTCATGCTTTCGCTTGCATAAAAAGAATAAAACAAAACAAAAATCTGCAACAAACCTTATTTTCCAAATCAAGTTTTGCTCTAATTTCTGATATTTTACCACCATCTTTCAATATGTCGCAAATTTTTATATTTCCCCAATTGATAAATGTCACCAAATCACCAACTTTCATTTCCCGTGCATCAACTTCTTCTACCAGCACCTTTTCACTATACCAAACAGTTTTAGTTCCAACTTCGATATTCTGAAATAGAATTTGGAATAGCTAAAACAATCACAAAACAAGAATCTATGACAAATTATGAAAACTATTATTTCATCTTGAAAGGCTACTTCATTAAAATTCTCCATTGAAAGCCTTAACATTTCTACATTAAAAAATAATCAAACATAGAAATTGTAACAGATGGTATATGATTCCGCAATAAGTACTAAAAGACAACTGTAGATAAGCAGGATGTGAAAATCACATTCTCTTTTTTAAATCGAGTAATACATTAAGACCGACGCTTTCAAACCAAAAGTTTGATGATCAATAAAGCAACCTTCTGATGTAGTGATACTTTCTTTGATTCATCAGCGAAATTATCCATGATTATTACTTGAACAAGATTTTCCGTACAAGCAAGAGCGGTATAACGAGGAGCAACTGGATCAATCACCTAAAAATCAGTGCGGGATGTTAATTCTTCACTCCTCCATCAGGGGAAAAATTAGCTACAAGAATTTCTCTTCAGTGTAAAAAAAGTACAGTTTTTAATAAAAAACAATATTAGAACGTCTGCGCCAAATTATGTAATGCTCATGTAAAAAACAGAAATTTCAAGGATAAACAGACTTTTTTATTGAAGGACCAGATTTTATCCCATTCCATCATAACAATGGCACGGCTACCACCTTGGGCAACAATAAACTGCTTCAAGCCTTCAATTGTTAATCCGCGTCGCATTACACCTCGCACAGTTGGCAGTCGTGGATCATCCCTTTGACAAAAGTATAACTTATGATTCACGCAAGTTATACTTTAGTTCCCCACAATTTTATTTATTGTAACAATGGATATTTTGATTCATGTAAAGACAACTTCTTAAAAAGTGCAAAAAAAATAGAAAAAACGATCATAAGTTAGTGGAAAAATTGTGAATGAAGAAAAGAGAAAGATAATGAATGAAATATATATAAACAAAAAAGAAAAACGCAGCAAGTTTATTGAATGATAACAAAAACTAAAATTCCTTTAGAATTTCAAACGATTACCTCAAGCATGATTGAACTTGCTAACTTTATAGGATGTAGATGCCCGGTCATGACAACAAAGTAGCATCACTAAATGGCTAAATAACTTCTAGCACTTTTTGGAAAAATTAGAAAGCACATTGGAGTTTAAAACCGCTTGTCTAAGAATGTCATGCAATTAGTTTTTGTTTCGAAATTTTATATAAGCAATACTTAACAGGTTTTGAAAATAATAAGAATCCTTACCATCCTTCCACATGATGTTCATCGACAAGCCATGTAAGTTTTCGCTTACTCATCACGGTGTTTGTCATATTTAAGCGAGCATATGACCAAATATATGGTTTTCTTAGTCCTAGTATATCACAAATAAAATAGTACTGCTCATCACGATCTGTGTACTCTGTAGTACGAAGAGCATGTGTAACATCTTCAATACTGTCCACAATAGGACAAGCAAAATCGTATGTCGGATAAACCCTGTAAAAAAAATGATGGCAAAAAGTCCTACTTTTTTGGGCCTTATTAATGGCAGAAGACTCAACTTTCCGTCACAATTTCCGTCACAGAAACGCTCGGCTACGTATCAAACCCCAAGATGTAGTTGCTGTAATAATGCAACGACTAACTTATACTTGTTCCCAGTTCGAATATGAGTTTCGGCTCTACAGCGATAAATTGTTGGATCACGCATTGCACCGTTATTGCTTTGCATGTTAATTTTGATTCGAACGCAACATTTTTGTCCCTTCACAGTCGCTTTTTTCATTTCTTCCCATAAAGCCAAATTTTGCTCCGGGGCTTCAAAATTTAAGCGAAATTTGATTGCCTATGACATATTTCGACTTCTTTCTTAAACTTTAGAGCATGATGCTCAAAAAGTATGATGTAAGACGAAGTTTTGCTTCATTTTTCACCAGACAACGTGGATTTGTAATATTTATCTGAGTAAAACTATCGTCACTTTCTGAATTGCAGTTAATTTATTGGCGGCTAACTTAAATTAATGATAAAGTCAAACTTTCCGATAAACTTACGCGAAATAATAAATTATTAAACAAACAGGCTTACTATTATTCCGGCACCGACTTTCCTTACGTTCTTCGCGCTCCTTTCTCATCAACTCACCGTCCGTATCGTCTACATATGCTTTCCCTTCTTGTAATAAACGTTCACACATTTCTAATATCAAGTCAAAATAGTCAGATGTATGCGTCCATCTGTCCGGCTTTACTTGCAACATTTTCAGATCATCCAAAATCACCTAAAACGAAGTTTGAAAGTTCCTTTCGCAATGTAATGTTTGAAATGTTTGGTAATGATTCCGTGTTTCGTTCAATATAGTGTCGACTGGAGTTCACAGTACATTCCCGATTTATATTTGTGCAGTTTCAATTTACTAATGATAGGTCCTCTGCTGAAAGTTCTATCATGTGTAACGAATGAGAAGAAAAAATTCTCAGAGTTTTAAGGTGCTGAAACTTAACTAATTAAAATTTCAAATCAAATTATTTTCACCAAAGGATAATCAAAGTCGCTATCATAGTATTACCTGCTCAAAATGAGCATTCTCTTTTGCTGGATTCGTATCATCAAATCGCATAATCAACTTTCCTTCAAAAGTCTGCTGATAATATTGATTTAAAAGAGCTGCTTTAGCATGTCCGATGTGCAAATACCTGAAAAAGGAAAAGATGTATTTAAAATCTTTTCTTATTTTATAAATATGTAATTTTTTGTCATTTATAACATTGATGAAATTACTTACCCACTAGCTTCAGGTGGAAACCGAACTACCACTTTTCCTTTTTCTGCACCTGGCAATTCTATAAATTTACCTTCATCTTTTACTTGATTTTTCATTTTCTTCTCCTCAGCATTTTTCGCTGCTTTATTTTGGCCTTCGATAGTCGTTCTGGTTTTCTGGAACTTTTAACAGCATAAGTAATTCAAAAACATTAATAATTTTTGGTTTCCCGCAATAAATGTCGATATTCCATAATTAACAAAAAACTGAAGATAACATCAAAAGTACAAAGATTTCAGTAAAGAAAAGACTATGAGACCATATGTCGGTATTGGTCAGTAAAAAGAGTTCATAATTATTCCACTTTCTAACAAGGCTGTACTTAAAGAGTAAGAAATTATGTGAAAATGTTGTACTTCCAACTCTATTTTCCTCTTCTCTAACTTTCTTGGAGTCCCTACTTCAAATCTGCCAACAGCATTATGCGCATCAGCAAATAAAGGATCGTTCAGCATATTTTCGAAGAAAGACGAAAAAGGCTTTTGTTGTTGGACCTGCAAAGAATTTATTCTCTTCTCTAAAAGCTTATAAAGAAAGAATATAAAGACATTTCCATTCTCAAAAATCAGTTGAAATGATTGATTTAAATAATATAAACGATGTAGTGACTTTGATGCAATAAGCCTCATATCAACGAAAAAAAGCATGTAAATTTTTCGGAAAAGCTTGTTAAAAAATATATATATAATTTACTTGTTTTAATTGATATAACACAAAACTAATACCTTGGCATCTGCAGCTATAATTGTCCACAACATAATATCCGCAAGCGTACGTCGATTTAGGCACAGATATAGACTAGTTTTTAATTTTTCTTCAGCTGATTTCATCAAATCTTTCAAGCTACCATGCCGTAAAAACTGTTCGATCATTGTCACCCAGCAATCAACCTAAATAGAAAATTGAAGAACCGTATAACTCTTAAGCTTTAACTCCATCACCCAAAAGACTGTTTTTCAGAGATTTAATTGAGAAAATAAATTAGAAAATTTATGAATGATTGGTAACAAATCGCTAATGCGAATAAGATAGAAAAATAGATGCAGAATGAGCGGTAAACAGAATACAGAAAAATATATTTGAAAAAAAAGTAGAAATTACTCGTTAATCGCTACAAATGACAGCTTTAAAACAGATAGAAAAAACACCAGTCACTCGACATTGTTTTTTTATATAACATAAAAAAGTGATTACCTCAGCTTGCTCAATAATGTCTCTACCAAACAAATCACCCGCTTTATCAGAACTGCGTACAATGAAACGTGCAATGGAAGCATCATTGGTAAATTTCACCCCATCTCTGGAAGGAGAAACAGAATGATGCATGATGAGGAAATAATTATTAAATCAGTTTTAACGTTATTCGAAATGTTACGAATGTTGCGATGAACATAAGCATAGAAATGATTCCTATAAGCTCATTAACTATATGAACATGTGAATTCTCGAATAGAAGAAAGATGAAGCATCTCAACTCCTAAGTGACCTTTTAATTCCTCTGTTTCTCACTGGTAATAACAATATATAAATTTCATTATGAAATAGTAGTATTTGCTCTATAATTTGCTCCATAAAAGTTCTTCGCGTTCACAAAGAACGTAGTAAAACTTAGCAACTCGAAACATGACTGTAGATCACTTCCAGTTTCAGTTCTCCATTCAAGCGTCCCTAGTGCTGAGAGATAAGTACCTAAATTAAAACTCAAAAAAAGAAAAGCACAGCTGTACGTTTGAACTTACAGTTTCATCTCATTGAACAATTTGTCTGTGAAAGTCACCGATTTCTCAATACTGAAACCGGATGCAGAAAGAGCAAGAAGTGTTCCATAGGCCGGATTCTTACGTGAAATATTGAATTTAACCGTCCTTTGTTCAATTGATCCCAGAGATGCATCAGTGGTAACCATTTCATCAGATCTCACTAGGAAGCACATTAGTTATACATCATAACGTCTACCGCTTCACCATACCAATGCATCACTTCAGTGATGTATTATATAGTTCATCTTCGTTCAAATAAAATGACATTAACAAACCTTCGCAGAACAATACAGATAGATTTCTTCTGGCCAGACTAAAGATTACAATAAATATTCTTAAATCCATCCAAACAACGCATAAAATGGGAATAAATTAATGCAGATGAAATGCAACTGCAGAAGCAATACAGGCGATCACAGAAACTTTTATATATCCACACCAAAACAAAAAGACGTTGCAAAAAAGCAAGAAAAATTGTATAAAACATCATTCCAAGGGCTATTTCTCGCGATCCTTCTGTTGCTTCCGTAAAACCGCACCTGGAGCAGGATAAGGTCGTTGTTGGAACAGAGGACCACTAGCCGTAACATCGGCACCTGTTTTATCGTGGGCATGTAAGCCGGAACTCCATGTACCACTGAATATATTTTTTAGTGAAAAAGAAACATATGAATAAAAATATGAAAAGAATAATTTAAATTCGATGCGTATGTGAAATTGTTCTCATGTTATTTAAAACTGTTTTATGTGTAATACCAAAAAACACCTCGCTATGTTCAATTTAACAATTTTATTAGTTAACTTTTTCATTTCTCTAATTGGAAGGTTAGATATTCCAGAAGCTTTGATTATTTTCTGAGTGCTCACTCCAAATGGATACACAAACGATTAGTGTCTAGAATAAGCTCCTAAAGTTACTGAATATCACTCATTACTGAACTATATTTGAAGTCCAGCTACAGATCCTGAAGAAAAATCCAGACTTGAACGCAAAAGACAATAGGAAATAGCAAAATGAGCATTTTGATAAAACTAGGTTAAAAAAAAGAACTTGCAACTTGAAAAATACATACACAGGAACGTTGTCGCCGTAAGCAGCTGGATCCATTGGGTCAATTCCTTTTCGTTTGGCGCGCTCTGAAAAAAATATATATTTTTTCATATGAAGTCCAACTTAAAGCTTAGTAAAGATGATTTCAATTAATATTTTAGCCAGCATGTACGTATGATTTCACATCTTCATTTTCGATGTAAATCATTATTCTCATTAACGCACGAGCAACTTTAATTTTGTTTTACATTTAATGTTTAAAACTCAGGCAAAATGCTGGTGAAAATTACTTTCGCTACATCTGAGTTTATTGAAAATTACGGAGAAACACATATTTATTTCTGAAATAAAACCAATGGAACTTACTCAATTTGTCCCTGTCATTCAATTCAGGCCTTTCTTCATCGCTTTCCGAAGCTGATAAACGATCGCTAGCTTCAGAATCTGATAAAGAACCTCGTCGCTAAAATGAAAGCAAATTACTGTTAGAAATTAACCTTTAATCTCAAAATTCATTAACTAAAAATCTAAAAATTTAACTTAAAAATAAGCTTTAACCTAAAAATCTCGTGTTTTACTTTTTATTAAAAGAGAACAACATCCCATCATGATAACTATACTTGACTGTTACTAAATGCAACCTTTTTTTTCGACCTATTTTCATCATAGCGTTTTATTGTGCCTTCACGATCTTCTCTGTAAATTTCTCTTTCCACATTATTCTTCTTTTCATCACCATCCTTTCTACCCTCCCCAAGACCATTAGTGTTTTCGCCTTTTTCGAATAGTTCTAAAAAAATAACTATGATAGGTCTCAAAATCAAGCAAGGAAATTGTTGAATTAGTTGATTTATACATTTTGCTGAGATGAAGTCAACCAAATCGGGCTAAATGAAGCAAAATTAAATTGAAACAAATCAAAACCTTTCGCAACTTTCGGTGCAGCATCACCAATTACAGCCAAAGGATGTCTAGGAGGGAGCCAAGATACCTCATCAGTTCGTGGGCACCAGTAATAATGACGCGTGCAACCAGGGTCGTAAACTTCTTTCCAACCTACAAATAGCAAAAAAAATCAACGTTTACAAAAAAAGCCCACAGGAACGAATTTAACCGTTGTTCTTATATACTTACCATTCGGCAATGGATATTTCTTTAGGATTTTGGCTCTTTGATCAAGATATTTCTGCGTAAGTCTAAAAATAGAAAATTGTGACTAAATTTACGATATAATCATTTCTTCCGCATAGAAAGGTTTTCAACTGCATTCGAATGTTATCGCATCAACAAATTAGTTGAGAGATCTGGTAAAACGAGAAAGTATGAGAAAGATATTTTTTCTATTTAATTAAAAAATCAAAATGATGGAAGGTTTCACCCTGCTGAGACGTTTCTGCTCCTTCAAAATCTTACCACAGTAGCTCAATCTCCACGATAATTTGAAACACATCGTTGAAACGTGAAACAGTTTTTCACTTCTCTGTTCTAACCATTATTAAACCATCAGTAAAGTGAATTTAAAGGAGTAGAACTAGAGAAAATAACAAGCCTATTTTCACTTGTGCCATCCTTCCAATGATCATAACAAAACTGCACGCAGTAATGATACGGATTCCATTTATTCGGACATCCACGAGCTCCCGAAGCATTCTTTTCCGTCTTTTGACGTGTGTTGCTTTGTACTCCAACAGGTGTTTCCGCATCATAGTTCTCAGCGATCACTTCTTCAGCGGCATCTGCAAATCATCACTCACAAATATATCATTTTTCACCAGTACCAGATAACTTTTATACGCTTTGCTCAGAGAGTTGCATCCAATTTCCTACATTTCAGCATACTATCAGCAGAAAAAAGAAATCTGTCCATGATTTTATACCATAAAGAAAGAGAGAATAGAGCTTTAGTTTTATTTTTTTAACTTTTTACGAATCATCAAAATTTATCTCTTTTACATTATGAATAACTTTCTACTAACAACATACTGAAGAAATTCATTCGGTTTAATAAACTTAATATAATTTGAACTGAATCATCGAACCTTCGTGTATAATTCCTCGTCGTTTAAGTCGAGCTAGAAGTGCCGGTGGTAAAGGCATCACAGTAATAAAGAGATTTCGTGCTACCTGAAGTTGTAAAGCGTAAATTATTATATCAATGAAGTGCTACGAAAGCTGCACAAGCATACACGAACTGGCATTCCCAGCCAATCCCAACTTTAGACATTAAAGAATAATCATAAATGACCCAACTATTGCAACGAAACGATTAATGCCGGCTAACCGTAAAATACAGAGTAACTTTATGTGCAATGTGGGATGTAGTGTACTGTTTATTGAGATTCAAATGTAGCTAGGATGTTGCTAGTAGGATGGAGGTGAAAGATTAGGAGGCATTCATCAAATTCATATGATATTAATACTGAACAATAATATAAAATATTGCTTCTAGAAAATTCTCCGGGGGTAAAAGAGTCGTGTAAAGAAGTTTTAAATTTTGAATTGTCTTCTGGTAATATTATTCAGAATATTTGTAAATTTTGAAAAAAAAGTACAGTAAAGTACTGTTAGTACAGTTAGTACAAAGTACAGTTAGTAAAGTACAATAAAGCAAGCACAGTTGATGAGAAATAACCAATGATTTTTGTCCAGCCTGCCCAAACATTGCAATTTGAATTATTTGTTCTTCTGGGACACCCCAATTCTTACCTCACTATTTCGTTTAATACCATATTCTATAAGCTTATTATTATTATATTGTTGAACAGCATTTAGCTTCGTTAGAGAGTCATTGGAAGTTGTCAAGCTCAAGTTTTTATCGATATTTATCTGTAATTGCCAAATTAACGACATCATTGTTCATCCAATCATTAAATTTCAATTTTAGCTCAAATTGCAGGTTCCTCTGTTTATATAATTTAAGGTTATTTCAATCATTTTTCAAGCTTTTCAGAAAAAGATTAGAAAGAGGACAAGTAAGTCATATAAACCAATGAAGAACTATCCGAAAATAACATTTCATTATCATTAGCATCTGTTAAACCTATTCCTTCATGAAGTGGTTGTACATTCCCAATTCGATGATAATTACTGGTTGTTGAAAAATCGTGAAGAATTTTTGATGAAGCTAAAAAGCTTCAGATATGATGTATGAAAATTTTACACCTTTATTAGAATAAAATTTTAAATTGCAACAAGTCTGAATTTTCAGATTATCTGAGATTCAAACTTTTAAATATAGATTTAAAAAGGATCTGTTGAGGGTTTCAAAGAGAAGTTTTTTAGTTTAGAGTGCGTGTCATATATCTAAAGTAGCATGAAGAAGTTAAGACGTCAAATTGAACTTCATTTTTTTTACAGAGTAAAATTTCAGAAATTTCAGTCGCCGATAGGTCTAATCGACGTGTTGAAGGAAGATCGAAATGTTTCATTATAATAAGTCGAATAAGAATAAGAATATAATAATGGTAGTACGATGACAAATGTTAAAGCGTGTTGAGATTTCAGAAGCTTCAACCACGCCTAAAAGCAATCGTTGTTTAGCGCTCCAAACTAATAAGTCTTTTCGAACTATTGGCTGGGTTTAACTTAATCAGTTCTGTATCTCCAACATGTCTCTGAGATAACTTTCATCAATACTTCTGTCCATCATTAATACTATATGCCTTTAAAACTATAATGTTGCAATTTTGCAAGCAGAAGAAACGATCTTACAGAAGTTTTGTCTTAACAGATATTTTCACTATTAATATGATATTTTGCATTGATCAATTCAAAAAGTTGGTTTCATTAAAACTTTACGAAAAAGTTTTCCGTTAAAATTTATAATAATATAGTTCATTTGAATAGATTCACAAGAAGCTCAAAATGAAAAATAACACCAAATAACTATGTCAAGGATTTGTTGTAAGAATAAGATAAAAAGAATTGGCTTCTTATCTAGTTCGTACTTTACTACAGCTGTCACTTAAAATTAATTTTTAAATAATTATAAAAATGAAGTGGTCAGATAAAAATATAATTTCTTTGGCAACGAATAACTGGCACGCAGTACAATTTATCAAATCCAAAAGAAAGCAACAGATTTCAAACAGCCAAGGGAGCCAGCGATTTACATAAATAATGTCGTGTGGCAACAAAGCAATATGCAAGAAAAGAAGCAAAATGGAACAACAAAGGTGAATTAATGTGAGCAGAATAGAAGCGCCTTTCTTGACTGGCAAATTTTCTCTTCTGATAATTCTTATATTTCTGGAAATTTCCATGCAAACAATTTATATCACTACAAAAAAACTTTTTGATAATTCATTATTAATTAATTTAAATTAATTAAATTGCAAAGCTAAAATAATATATGAAAGCGTTGCAATTTTCTCTCATTTCTCGATGTGTATAGTATTAATTTTTCTTTTTCGTTAGAAAAATTGTCACAAATTAGCTTTTCAAAATATTTTCAGTCAATTTTGGTAAAATATTTTCAGGAAAAAAGAAACAAATAAACAAACAAAGAAACAAACAAGTAAAATAATTATGAAATAAATAAAAACAATATTCAACAAATAGGTAAGGATGAAAATAAATGTTTTATTCATCTTCCAAACCTTTCCCAATATCCTGAAGTTTTTCCAATAGCTCTTTACTATATGATATACTTATATCGATGTTTGCCACTTCAACATCATTTATATCAACAACTGAAGAAATGAAAATTGCTTATCATTTTCAAAATTTACTATTATATTTGAATAAGTTGTAATTTGCAAAAAACAAAATTGATTGTTTAAATGTATAACTGTAAGTGAAATTATCATTTTATTTTGTGATAAACAATTATTTTTTCTTTCCTGCAACATTGCTTTCATTTTATTATCAGTGATAAACTGATAATCAAAAGATTTGCTTTGACCATTAAAAATTTATTTTTACAAAAGCTCAATTAGAAAATTTTATAAATTTAAACGAACAATTTAATCATTTTTATTTTTTATTATTAAATAAATTTTTAAATTGTTTCAGAGGAAAAAAATTCACTGACTATACTTACAACGTATTAATCGTTTTACTGCATTATGTTGCGCTCCTAATTCAGCATATGCAACGCCTAAATCTTCACTTGATTTCAAATTACTTCCATTACTCACCAAATTTATCTCCATCCTAAATGAAACATGTGAGCTTATTACTATATGATAAGACTGATAATAAAATGCTAATTTTAGCGATAATTTTTCATACCTATTTCCATGCTCGATCCATTGGCGTAATAAATGATATTGTCGATCATTTAATGTATAAGCTATAATAAATTCTATTTGTTAATCATTTTTAAAATTTATTGTGAAATGACAATTATCTATTAGAGTCTATGAAAGCATAATAACATTTTTGAAAGTTAAAATCTGCCGTAGTTTGTATATCACGCGGTAGTGGTAACGGTTCTCCAATTGTTTCACATTCTTCTAATGGAAAATCCAAAAATTTCCATTCTATGGTAATCGATTGGTCATCGTATAAGGGATTGACCAATTTTGACAGATCACTAATACGAAGGCTTCCAATAATTATTTCCACAGTGTAAGCATTGTTTTGTAGGAACTAAAAAGAATTAATTTGTTTTCTTCTATAGTTCTATAAAATAAAATTTACATTTTAAAAATTGGAAAAGGAATAAAAATAGAAAGTCGAAAATAATTTATAGAACTAAAAAATCATTTAAATACTTTTATTGTTTTGAAATATTTTCATAATTTTGCTATTTTTCAATTTAAATTAAAGAAAAATACGAATAAAGAAGTGCAAAATAATTTTTGCCAATTCAAATATAATCGAGATATCGCCCGATGGCATTCATTATTTTACATAGGAATTTAAATATTCATTACATTTTTCCAATTATCTTTTTGATGTTCTAAATGTTTTTCATTAAGTATACTAAAGTAAAAACAAATTCTTTTTTCAATTGTTTAGATGTTAATTAGAAAATATTATTAAATGAAATAAAACTCAGAAATGCTAATTAAAACGGTAGAAAATTTACTTTATCAAAGTTAGCATTGTTGATGAATGAAAATTTCCCATTCAATTGTCCACATTTAGCACTGATAATTGGAATATCATCTTCAATAATTTGTCCTTCATCAGTTGTCCAACTATTCGTCGTTTCATCCGTACTACTTACACTTGCTAAAATGAAACGCTCTTTTTATTTTTTCAATTATTTTGAATTCTTAAGTGAAATGAAGAGAATTAATTAACCTGAAAATGATTGCTGAATAGGATCTGCAAATTCAACAACGTGCGGAATTTTTCGTCCTTTTTGTGACAATATTGATGATTTGTACTGTTTGTTCATTTCATCCTAAATTTAATTACAGAAATACAAATAGACGAATACTTTGATAGAAAAACAACGATAATGCAAACATTAATAAGTAAATATGATTAAAAAATGTAACATTTTTGGTGAACTTCTAATGAAACAAAGAAAAATAATTGAAATTAATAGAAACAATGATAAAATAAAACATTTCAAATTGAATTTTTCATACTTTGGTAAGTTTGAAAAAGAAATTTTTGGAAAGTATTCTGTTGACTAATTTGATGAAAAGAAATTGTAATTAAAACTTTATATGATAAAAATTATTTGATATTTTAGTATATTTGTTGCATTATCAATTCCTTGTAATAAAGTAGGAGGAAGTATTGGGTTCACTTCTTTCTTGCTCAATACAACAATTGCATTTGTCGCATAATTTGATACTATTTAATATTGTAAATTGCAAATTAGAAATATAATAAATTATTCATAAAATTATATTTAAATATAAAAGTAAATTCTATAAACTTTTCTTTTATCAAAACTATCACAAAATATATTATATAAGGAAGAAATAATATTTTAATGGAATTTTTGAAAAATAGAGAAGAGAGAGGTGGAGAGAGTGAGAGAGAGATTTTATTTCGATTATTGGTGTAAATTCTTTTAACTTTTTCACTATACTTCATTCATCTACTTCTGTAAAACTTTTTAAAGTACTAAAATTTATCGTTTACCTATAAAAATGGATAAGATACAATTTCAAACAAATATAATACAGTTATCATTAATTTACCGAAAGAAGAAAAAGAACTTAAACCGAACCATATTAACAGATTGATTTTTGAAATTGTCCAGTTTGTTACCATTATCATTTTCCATATCGCCCAAAATATCGACAGCTTTTGGTTTAATTCTTTCAACGTCATTCTTGAAATCTAAGTGGAAGCGGAAATTTTCAGCTTCAACATTAACAAATTCATCATTTACAATTGATGACTGTTCCTTGCTTTTCATGCTGGAAAAAATAAAAATGATTAAAAAGATATTTAACTTTATATTATTCAATAGAATATTCAAATTTACATAAATTATTCAAATTTAAGTATTTTCCTACGAATTTTTATTGTTTCTCATGACAATTTTTATGTCATAACTTGTATTAAAGATTCTTTTTGTAATTTATTTCTTCGCAACAATTTTAATTCATAAAATTTTCTACTAAATTCTTTCCTAATTATACTTTCGTCATTATCATTGGAGTTATTTTCTAAATCAGACCGTTTATTTACTAATTTTCCTTCAGGCAATATATCAATCGTTTTGACACTTCGTTTAAAATCTTCCTGAAAATAGTTAATAAAGAAATTAATACAAATACTTCCATTTAAATTTGAGAGTTAAACTGTTTAATTAATGAAAAGTTTTAACATAACGATGATTTGGGAAAGTTAAATTTCATGTAATTCTTTGAAATTTTGACAATAAAGTTTTTGAATTTTTTGATTTCTTTCTATATTGATTTGAAAAGATTATAATAATACATCAGTATGTGCCAATTTCAATTCCGATTCAGGAGGATGATATGGAAATTTCCATCGTATTGAAATATCAATTGATGCTTCTGTTGGTACATCTTTTATCGCCTGCAAATGATAAAGACATCCATCATACTGCCTCAAAAATATTTAATTATTCTTATTGGAATCGAAATAATATTGAATTTATATGCAACATTGCGACTTACCGAATGAAGTGGAAATGTTCCTGAAATCTCATTGTTATGAACAAGTGGGTAAAGCGCAATATTAACGTAACCAATCTGACGTTCGTCACCACTACGTATTTGTTTCTCCAACACAGTTATTGTTAAATGCTAAAATGAAAAAGTTTTGCGAAATTTTGTTAAAATCCATTTTTGAAAAATTTTATTTTGAATTTGTTGAATTCATTCAACTGAAGTCATTCTTTTAATAAAAGTGAGTTAATAAAATTTACAAATATCTAAATGATATTTAAATGATTTATGTGAAATAAAGTAAGCAATCGAAGATAGACATATGAAAGCTTCTCAATGCTATATGGTCTTTTAACTATTTGCAAATTTTGATAGGCTGTAATTGATTGATAGTATCAAATGTATATTATTTGGGAAATTGAACAAAAGGAAAAGGATATTTAGATTCTACCGATGAACGTAAAACATTGTATAAATCGATTCCAACTGGTAAAATCCATGTTTTTACGGAATTATATTCTGGATTAGTATTGTTCGAAACCGGTTCAGTTCTCCATACATCACAATCATACAATTCATAAAAAATCAAAGTTGTTGGAGCATAATTTTCTAAATGTGCAATTATTTTAAAAATTGATATCGGACATGCATATAAATATGTAATCATATTTGCAATACCGTCAAGTCCAAGAATATGAACATTTTCAGAAAACTTTAATGAAATCTATGGTAAGATTCAGAAGCTCTAAGCTATATACAGCAGAATTTATAATACGATGCAGAAAGCAGAATTTCTTTTTCTTGTCCAATAAATGAATGAATAACCATTGATAAGCTTATCAAGATTGTTACAACGTTGAACATGAACAATTAACATATTATACATGGAACGATTGATAGATTCATCGGTATCGGTTAATGCACCCGAACTAACAACATTTATTTTTTTCTATAAATTAATTCCATTAATTAATAGTAATAATCAAAATAAATAATATTAAATATAACAGAATTTAAAAAAAAAATATTACAAAGGAATATTTCGAGCGAATGAAAACAAATATAACTTATTTTCATATTACAAAATATTGGCATTTATTTGAAGAAATAATTTTTCATTTTGATTATTCGAAAATTTTATTGATTTCTTTTTTATAATTTAATAAATTAAGTTTGAATTTATTTGTTTGTAAAAATTATACATTTTTCTTTTCAAAAGCTATATAATTTAATTTAAAATGAAATTATAATTTTTACTAAAAAATGAAGTATTGCATACAATTAATAAGCAATGCATTACTCACCTTTTGTAAAACTAACGCATTAATCATTTTAGTATTTATAGTAATATCATACTCTATTGTTGCAAATAAACAACCATCAAGTGATGATCTCATTTGAAGTATACCACGATATGATTCAGTAGCGTTAGTCAAATATTTCAATGAAATAATACCAACTGAACAAAGTACATAATCGGCACCACGTGGATGATACATTTCTACTGTTATACCATGCTGAATTTTTTCTTTTTATAATTAAAAAATATGATAAAAATTAATGGTATTTGATAAATTTTTAATTAAAATAAATTTCGTTAATTCATTCCTTTTTTAATAGTACTGAAATACTCAAAATGTACTTACTGTTTCCAAATAATGAAGGAATAAATTTGACACAATAACATCATAGATTGTTGAAAAATCCAATTGTATTCTACAATTAAATAAAGTATTTTTGCATAAGAAAAACCGAATTTGTAGTCTATATAGAAAGTTGAATTCAATGGAAGAATTATGCATAAGTATAAAATAGTAATTTGTATAAAGAATATTGGTTTCACATCAATAATAAACTATAACTTTTGCTTAACACTTCTTGACTTTATTTTTTTAAAAGTTATTCATTTTACTTTCCTAACTACAAGATAAATGTTTTTAAACTATCCCACAATTTTACTATCTTACTATCTGCAACAAAATTCCTCCTAAGACGCGCAAATGGATCATTGCATATGCAATTTATATCATTCATTTTCAATTAATTATTGCTTGGTTTGATTGTATTAACTTGTTTGAACTTACTCAGGCCCATTTAACATTGGCGTTGTTTGCAATTCAAAATCGTAAAATTCAATTGCCAAAAATATAATAGGTCGAACAGTTCCAATTTTTGATAGGCCATGAGAGGTCAATACTATTCTCGATAAATGTAACATCAATTCATTTGTTTCCATTTCTTGCTTGTTCGTCTAAAATAGACCAAAAGGGAGAAAAAGCTGATAGACTGTTCAGCGATATATTTTATCAATTTTTCAAGCATTATCTCTTGAAATTTGATAAGATTAAAAGCTGACAAATTTAATAAAATTGAAAATTAGCAGCTAAATTACCATTCACTGCTCGACTTCTATTTAATTTGCAAAAATGACACGAATTATTGACATTTTAAGGAAAAACATTAAAATTTGAATTTATAATTAGGCGTAGTTTGCAGCTAGCTATTTTTTGTTGGAACTTGAACAATTCAGCAATCTAAATCTCTTCACCCTCAATTGACCTTACTTCAATCATTCGAATACAGGAAAGAAATATTCAAGATGATTTCAACTATTATCATGGCGAAATTATTTACCGTAGCACGTGGAATAATCATCTGATCGTCATATGCTAACATTTTCAATCGCATTTCTAAGTTTGTAATTTCAGCTTCACGTTCAGTTAATTTCATTACCAAATCTTTCATTTTGCATTCTGAATGTGCTTTTGTTTGTTGCAAATTTTGATTCAGTAAAGCTATCTGAAATTATCAAAAAAATTTTTTCAAATTGAACATTTGAAATTTTGATTTAAAAAAGAAGAAAAATTTTAAGTGTTATAAAATCTTTGCATAAATAATTTAATTGTTTTCATTTCTTCATTTCTTATAGTTGTATATGCATTTTCATACTTATTTGAAATCATTTCATTATGAATTATTGAATTCTGTAATCGTTTGAGGAAAGAAGCTTAGAAAATACGATAAAATATTAGTAAAAATAACAGAAATCCACATGGTTCTATCAATTTATTCATTTCAATTCAATTCTTATTATATTTAATCATTGAATAACAAAGTTATTGAAAAAATATTTAAAAATAAAATAAAATATTGCTTAAAAGGCAAGCAAAATTCATGCGAATGCAATAACAAAATTTATTACAAAATAACATATAAATTAAGCTTATAAATATGCATTCCTAAAAAGCATTTAAATCATCGTTTCCTATGAAAATTAAGAATTCGAATAATTAGACGAATACCTCTTGAAGATGCTGTTCATTGATATTATGTTGAATGAGTAGCATATTTCGTACCTTTTCAAGTTCACCATAAATTTCCATATACATCATTCGCCATCTGAATAGAATAGAAAAATATAATTAAGCCAAATATATTAAAATTAGAAAATAAGAAATAAATTAAATTTACTTATCGATGTGTTCTTCCCGTTCTGTTGTTGTTCCATTATCATCATCGTCATCTGATGACCTCTCGACAATATGCGCCTCAATAATTCGTGTCAAGTCTTCATATATTTTTACAAGACTGAAGTCTGTTTTATTAAATTTCTGAAATAGATGAAACAATTTAAAATCTTTCTTAACTTCTCTTCGCACTTATAATTCTTCACATTCTGTGTTCTTTAATTCTTCTTGTAGCATTGCAAGATATATCTTATCATTCAGTAATCAATGTGATAAAATGACAAACTTCATTTCCTTCAGAAAATTCCATCTTTCTTTTCTCAAATTCATTTTTTCGTTCGGCAATCCCATCGATGACAGTTTTTTCCTTAATTATTTGAGCACTTTGATGACTCAATCGTTCTTCTAATTCCAATTTTGTTTGCATTAAATTTCGATAATTTTGCTTTAATTGAGAATATTTTGCAAATAATTCGTTCAATTGCTTCTCCATCTCCAATACACGTTGATCATCGATCGCTCCTCGATACTTACCCTCTTCCGTTGTCAATCGTTCAATTGTTAATGAACTATAATTAGTGAGTGAAAAAATTTTTAAGTAGTTTAGCGTACTTTAGCTATCCAATCCATCCACACGTTTAATCTCTAAATCATTAGCTATTTAATTTTCATAAATATAGCATTGTGTATCTTTTATTTCTTAAATTATAATAAAGATATCTCAAATTATTATTGTTTTCCTAATTTTTCTCATTTACTTTTTTCTTGTTTAAATAATAAATTTTGTAAGAATTTGTAAAAATAAATCTATCTTAACAAATTTAATTGTAAAAAAATTTAAATTTAACATTAATGAATGACAAACTTTTGTATAAGTTTCTCATTTGCTTCATGCAACATTTTATTCTCTTCTTGTATCATTTCCATTTCTTTTTTTAAAATATAAACATTTTTCAATTGTTTTGCATCCATTGTATCGATCGTTGTTGTTTCATCAAATTGTCGTTGTAATTTAAATCCTTCATATTGCTTACTTTGAAGTTGCTCAAGCACTTGATCATATTCATTTTTAAGCTTTTCCAATTGCTGCAAATAAATGATAAATTAGCATAATTAAATTTTGATGTAGTAGAAATAGAAGAAGTGGAAGAAAGAAATTTTAGCTAAAACATTTAAATGAAATCAAAAATAAATTGATTGAAATATTTTTCAAAAAATTTTAGCATTTTTTGTTTTAGAATGTTTATTTTAGCATAAATTAAGTTAGCAATATTTCATCAAAAGCAAAAATTATTCATACAGAAAATTAATTTTAAAATTATTACGCTTTGATTTGTTCAATTAATTATAACAATTTTTCAATTATCTTTATTAATTCAATATATGAAAATATTTAATATAAATATTTAATATGAACTTATATTCAATAGAAATTTAATATGAACTTATAGTGAATAAAAATATTCAGTAAACATTTAATGTGAATTTATATTCAATATAAAATATTTAATAAAAATTTAATGTAAATTTAATATAAACTTGCATCAATCATTTTTTTCAAATGTATTTAATAGGAAATAAAATATGAAAGGAAATAATGTGTTGAATATGCGGGAAATTTAGCAAAAAAAGATTTGATGAATATTTTAATAAAAAGAAGAAAAAAACGAAATAATTTAATGGCTTACCTGTTGGACATTATTTAATTTGCATGTTAATAAAGCGCATTCGTCATCTTTTTGTTTCAATTCTCTGTTTAATTTGACGAAAAGCGTTTTATCCAAAAGTACTGATTTCCTTAATTATCTTAATCTAATGAATCATTTTTCACCTATCCTAATTTTCTCTTCTTTCCTTTTCATCAATCAATTAATTCATCTATATTTATAATTTCATGTTGCATAAAAAACATACGCTAAAAGTTTGCAATATCAACTAATTAATCAATCATTTTAATTTATTGGATAAAAATTAATTTCTTAAATTTTGAAAATTTCTTACTAACGAGAAAATGATGTACACGCGTCGAACGGTTATGAAATGGTATAAAAATGCTATACCCTTCAGTTTCATTTTTAACTTACCTATCGGAAATTTTTGGCACATCTGTTGCTGGTCTTTGCTGAACGTTGGCAAATTGTGTTGAAGAATTACTGGTAGTATGCCGTGGAAGATAAGGCCTTTGTGGTAAAGCTGATTGTGGTCGTTGTACAGGCGAACGAGCCTAATAAATGTTAGGCATTTTAAGCTACTACAAAAGTAAATATTGAAAATGTTGGCCAAAAAAAACAAGTTATTGAAATGATATGATAGCTGTAATAAACCTGTGAAGAAAGTGAGCATTGTACTGATGTTCCAGGTCTAGCATAGTTTAAGATTTGTTGTTTCAAATTTTTCAACTATAATTAAAAATTTCATTTAATTAAACATACATCATTGATTGGAATAAATAATGATAAGAACAAAAATTTTAGCGATCATTATTTATTATCTTGTCAACAATAAGGATCACAAGTTAACAGGTCATTGGTTGCTATATCAAAAAAACAAAAACGTAAGTGTAAAATTCAGTATACTGCTATAATGTTAGTTCTACCGAATCTTTTAAATGTAATTATATTTGAATTCAAAAGCTGTGCAATTACAGAAATGAAAAAGTGAAAAAATTTAAGTATCAAGTTAAATATTAAAATAAAGAGCCTAATTATAAAATATCACATGATTTAATGTAATGGTAATCAAATAGAAGATTTAAACTTGTTGGTTATTTAATAATCTCTTTAGAATAATGTTAGCCTGTTAAGTTGTCATATGAAGCCAATTTATTAACCTACTTTATTAGTGAGTAATCGATTTTCTTTAATTAATTCAGCATAATTTAAATCATCGTTGCAGTCTTTCCCATAAACGATCATACGTTTTATCTTTGCGTTTGACCTGTTGAAAATTTTGGATATACATATATATAATGCTGCATATGACATTAATTAACTAATTAATTAATTCAACTTACTGTTTTAGTTTGGTTTCCAATTCATTGTAATTTCGTTTTAAGCTATGATTCTCTTGATAAAGAACATGATAACGATCTTCTAACTCTTGCCTTGACCACTTTTCAATCGAAGGACGAATAACCATCGCTTATCATATCATAATCAATGAATATCATGAAATTACATCTCCTTCGTCTATAAGCAATATTAAGAAATGAAATATAAGTTTGCTTTGCAAAACTTTCTCATTATCATTATCAATTCTAATTTCCATTTCAAAAAAATAATTAAAATAAAAAGAAAAGATAAATTAATAAACATTTGAATGAACAAAATTACAATAAACAAAATTTGATAAACATAATAAAATCATAATAAACAAAATTTTAATAAACGAAATCATAAATAGTTATGATATAAGCATAATGAGACACCTAACTATGTATTAATTTATTAGCTGCTCATTAATAGTATCTTAAAATTTCTTTTCAATTATGAATTTTCTTTTATTAATTCATAATTATAAAAGAAAGGGAAAGATTTACAACAAAATGAAAAATATCTTAAAAATTGACCGATACATTTTTTATAACAAATATTAGCCATTTCCAACAATTAAAATCTATTTGTATAACAAATATTAGTCATTTCTAACAGTTAAAAATTTTTAATTTTTAAAACAGGAAATTGTTGTTGATGAAACTCTCAAAGAATGTTTGTTAAAAATTTCAACAATGAAACATTTTGTTAGAGAAGTTAGTAGAAATCTTACAGCCATGCGTGTAATGGATACCATGGCAACGGTTGGTTCTTTATACTAATAATATTACCAAACACTATTATTATATATTTTAAAAACATTAATTATTACTTATTTGATATAATTAAAATTTTCGAGGACATTTATTTAAAAAAAAAAGATATAGCTAATAATAATTTAAATATATATAAATTACTAAATTATATGAATAAAAAAGAGTTCGAAATAGAAAAAAATAAGTATTTCATTATTGTTATTTATTATTTCATTATTTAATTATTTTTTATTATTTCATTAGTATTTCATTGTTGTTATATTTTTATTATTCATTATTGTTATTTATTATATTGATTTTTTCGTTTTATAAACCATTTCTATTAATTAATTTAATAATTATTATAGTAACAAAAATGTTTTGTAAAAAAAGGTATGGATAATAATTTAAATCAATAAAAAATTCAAAACAAATAGAAATTAATTAATTATTGTTATTTATAATTATTGACTTCTTTTTTTGTTTTATAAAGTGCTTTTAATAATTAATTTAGCAATTATTACGGTAACAAAAAGAAAATAACAAATAAAAAAAGAGGATGAAGAGAAAAAAAGATTGAGAGTTAATTAAATTTTTTCTATTTTAAACATTCTAACTGTAATTTCTCAAAAAATTAGTTAAAAAAATAATAGCAAAAGGGTGGAAGGATGAAATTCGCATGAATGGAAGGAAAGATTAAATTGTTGCGATATACTTTAATTTTGCATTTCATTTGTTTCGCAAATATATTATAATTAAATATAGGAAGGCATAAATTTTGGATGACAAAAATAATTTAAATAATAATAATTTATCGAAGTTTGATATGATAGGTACAATTAGATAGGATTGTTTTATGATTAATTTTGATGAGATATCCATTTGAACATTTAATTATTTCTAAAAAAGCGAATGTTCAAATCGCCATGCTCTAATTAACTCATCGATTGCAAAACTCGTAAAAGCTAAAATAGATTTTTATTTTTTGCTCAGTAATATTAATCACTTTACATTTTAAACTTGTAGTACCAACTCTGGTTTATAATAATAAGTTAAAATAATTAAATAATTAAATATGACGAAAGGAATTTCAAATTTTCGCTACAGTTATGATAAGTGACAAAAAATTTCCAATAGTAAATAATACTTCCATTTATTTATTGAAAAACAACACATGACCATTTTTCCAGCAAAAGAATATAACTCTGACCATTAAGTCCATGCACTGTCCATCTATGTGATGATATATTCCAATTTCATCGTCTTTCATTTAAACTATACTTTATCGGATGTTACTGCTTATTTCGTTACTACTTATTCATAGCAAATCATCTATTCTTCTGATTAGAATTGATTGAAAGAATTGATGTATCAAATTCTGAATAATAAATTGGGTTGAATAAAGCTTCAAATATTTCATTTACCTGGTAGTTCTTTCTTCTCTTTATTAATAATGCTTAGAAAATTTTGTAGCTTTTTGAAAAATTCTCTTAATCAATTAATTAATTAGAAGTCATAGTAATATGTAAAATAGTATCAATCAATAAAACAACAATCATTTATAATTGATAAAAACATATTACAACACATATTTTATCATTCAAAATACATTTTCATTTTACGTATATATTTAGCAATAACCGAAACAGTTTGCATTAATAAGCGTAAATTGGTATGATTTCGAAAAAACAGAAATAAATAATACATAACACATAATGCATATGGATGTTCGTAAATTTATACATGAGATGATAACTAATTTATACGATTATTTGAAATATATCAGCAAATTGTGAAGCATTGAAACTGTCACTTTGAAAAGAATTTGCTATCACATTATGTACAAAATTAAATAGCTAATGAAAAAGCAAAAAATTTTTCAATTTGTTTATGTCCTCTTCTCATTGTTTTCGCAATATTTTTCTATTAAGAATATTTAAACTGACACTGATTACTTCTAATATTGATTGAAGAAAAGACTTCTCTGAGAAATTCTTAATATCGAAAATAGTTTTTGCAAAAAAGTACTTCATCAAAATGGAGCTCATTTCGAAATGCATTGCAAGATAATTAATTCTGAAGTATTTTGGAATTAAAACTGTTGAATTAACTATGAAATGATACTATTTGTTTAATTAAGTTTAATTACCATTCGTTTAATTTAATAATTTGTCTTAGAAAAAGGGAAAGGATAAATTTGCACAATAAGGTCAGACTTTTTGGATTTGACCATAATCAAACAAAATTCATGGATTTTGATAAATTCTTGGCCGCGATATTTGTAGCCACAATTTCTTACCACTTGCTTTCACTAATGCTACTGCTGAGAGCTGAAATATTCCAATTTAATATCTCGAATTTGATAAATACGAAAGAAAAATAGAAATCCAAATATCTATGTCTCAAAATAAAATAATTCATTGCAAATTAAATTTCCAAAAAGAATTTCCACTTCTAAAGATGAATTGTGAAATTCAGAAGTATTATATAACTTTGAATTTTTTTTTTTTGAAACTGAAAAAGTTAAAAATTAAAGAGAAGCTAAAAAACTAATATGGGGAAATTGTCATGCATGCAAACCTGATCAGTTATTGCTACTCCGTTAACTGCCATTAAACGGTCGCCAACTCTCAATTTTTCAGCTGCGATACTGCCAGGTTGTAGTGAAGTGACCAAAATACCACGCGTACGTTTACCGATTCCCATACCTAATTGTTGATCCGGAATTTTCTTCAACACCACTAGCAATGTATCGCTGTTCTCCTCATTCAAATCTTCGATAAGTTCAATTTCCTTACTTTGGCCCAAACTAGTCGCTGGTGAACTTTCCTCATCAGCAAAAGATGATTTCTGAAAAAAAACGAAAGAAAAAGAAATATTTAATTGTGGCAAGAACAATACAATTTATGTCTTAAACAATCAAAAATAAAAAAAATTGAATTGGTCAAATAAATTGGTGCGGAATATTGAAATTGCAATTAACCTGGTCTGCTCCACTACTAGATTCTTCTGTCACCGGAGATAGATCAGCACATATAATTTGTGGTGGTTGATTTTCCTCATTTTTAGATATTTGACATTTGGAAGTGGATGTAGATGTTGGTAGAAATTTCGTTTTCGGATCATTTAATGTTAACGAAACGGAACTATCTTCTGAAATTTGAAACTGTTTAAAATTTTTGAGAGATCTAAGAGAAGCACATTCAACCTAAATAGCACAGATAAAATTGAATTTTGAATAGACTTTTGCTTATTTCAAAACTTAATATCTTTTAGGAAAAATTTCCTATTCATTCTTTTACAGAAATTGCTGACCATTATTTGGCGCGAATAATTTGATTTCAGGTGTTGCTTTTATTAATTTCGATTGTTGTGTAGTATTGGATAAGGCAGCTTCTGCTCCTGCATTCACTTTGTTAGCTGCTTCGGTCAATTTCCAACGGCCAACTCTTAAGGTGACACGACCAGTACACGCCTAAAATGATTTGAGCGAAGATTGCATTGCTCTTTTCTATTCGCTGTTGGAGCGAGAATTAATTTATCAATAGATTTCTAGTATTATCATTTTTTCAGTAATAAAATATGACTGATTTTGATAAGACCTTTAATTTGGCTGCTACATCTTCCTGCATTGAACTTGCTACATCTTGGCCATTAACAGCGAGTATCTAAAAGAAAATGTTAGTAAACAATTCCTATCACTTTGTGCTATCAAATATATTACCGAAAAGCATAATTAAAATTAAACGAGAGTTGGCGAGAAGTCAAGAAAATTAATTTTAGAGCAAAAGCTGAGAAAATCACTCCAATAATGCAGAAAAATTTTTGCCTATTTTCCGTAAAATTTTTTAGCGGTAAAATTGAATCGTTGATTCGTAGTAGAAAAATTTTAAAATGATGCTGATAATATAACCTGGTCGCCCTGAAGTAGGCGTCCATCAGCTTCAGCAGCACCACCCTTAACTACTTCCGAAACATAAACACCAGGCTCATTTTTTCTGCCCACTATACTGAGTCCAAGTCCTCGACTTGGCTTCTTGGTAAGTTCCACTTCGAAAATGTTGTAAATTTGTGTCGGATCCAAAAGTGATAGCTGGAGGTTCACATCACGATATACCAGTAAAGAAACCTTAATTTGCAGAATGATTGATTTAATTACGGAGTAGATTTGATTGAATCAATTTCAATTGGCAGTGATTGAAAATCAAGTCCAAGCAGTTCTCAATCACTCTTTCATTTTCTAGTAAGTTATTCTTTAAAAAAATTCTACACTAAATTTTTATAGCACTTTTAGTAATTGTGAAAATTCGCATCATTTATTTCATTAAAGCTATCAGGGATTTAATTATTGATAGAATCAAGTGTAGAAGTTTAAAGATTAAATTTCATGTTAAGCTTCATTTATAATATCTCGAACAAAAAACCTAGCAATCAACACCGAATGTGTTGAACTTTGACCGGCTATATTAAATATATTTACATTTCTGATTTTTCTTTCTATCATTTTTAATGTCTATTATACAAAGAGATAAGTCAAGAAAAAAAAGATTTAGTCCCTAATAGTAAACAAACCTTAGCTGGTGTCCTTCTAAGTAGCAAAATAGCTTGTTCATGGCTTACACCACGTAGCGAAACACCATTTACCTAAATTTTGCAGCAAAATTAAATAAATGTATCTATAGATGAATCATCTGTTAACCTCTGAAATTATAAATTTCATTAGAGATTGCATTCATATACATATTCGTAAATAACTGGTTAAGTAATATACTTATTTACTGGTTAAGTAGTATACTTATTTACTTTCCGTTTCAATAATTTCACTTATCACTAGATATTAAATAAAGAAATTAATAAAACAAGAAGTATACCTCAAGAACTTGATCACCGGGTTTCAACCGGCCATCGATTGCTGCGGCACCATCTGCATACACTTCATGAATTACCACTGTACCCAATACCGTATCAGAACCACCAACAATGCTTAATCCCAAACCCTAAATTTTTAAATAGTATAAAATTTGCATCCAAACAAATATTTGGCATCTATTTAAAACTCAAATAAATAATCAATTAATTTGAAACATGAGAAATTGAAATACGCAGTTGTCCGGAAAAAATTTTTGACAGAAGAAACAGAAAAAAGGAAAAGATTTTATAGTTTCTCTATCTTTTTAAACACATTTTTAGGTATTTCAATTTTTTAAATTATTCATAAACAAAAAACACTCCCAACTGTACCTTTCCATTTTTAGCAATTTCGATAAGCGTTTCACGTCCAGTTTCAATACCATTCTGTTGTGATAATTTATTCTTTGCATCTATAAAAAATATCTATTTGTTAACTACAAAAATCAATATGTTGAATTTTTTTTGTTGAAAAAAATAAGATATGAAAAGAAATTGAATTAAATAACAAAAATCTATTAATAGATTCAAATTTCTTACCTGTAAAATTAAAAAAATGGAAAAATAAGTAAAAAAGAAAATGAAACGAAGAAAGCTTAATAATCAAAGAGGAAATGTGACCAATTAATGATGTAAAAGAATTGAAAAAACAATAAATATCTATAAATTCCTGTTAGCATTTCATATAATTTCTAATAAATTAAAAAAAGAAAAACTTTGAAAAAACAATTTAAAAAAAATTGAAATTACCTTCAGCGGAATGTTGCACATCTGTTTCACTGCTGCTACTCATTTGTAATTTGTTTCCAACCGTATTATTTCTATCGAATTTTCGTGAATCCAAAGTAATGGCCTGTAAATAATTTACTATTTATTAATGTTATGCATTGCTTACTTAATTCTTAGCAAAAATATTCAATGTAAAAGAATCAGATTAAACATTTTTTATATAATTTTTTACCCAAACACATACACACATAAAAACCATTGTTATGCTATCGGTACGTTTATTATTATCATAGGATATCATGATACAATAAGAAAATATGATATTTATTCTGTACTTATCTTTATAATTAATAAAGCTCAATTATATAACTTATTGTATGCTGTTATTATTGTAGCAAAAACTTCAAAATTTATTCTTACTGTCCTATTTGTAAATCATGTTAATTTTAATAAGAATATTTGCATATTTACCGAGAATGGTTTATCGCATTTTAATTATTAATGAATTTTTCAAAAAAGTTAGACTGAGGCAATGATAAGAGAAAGAAATGTAACACTTAATAAGGCTGTCAGGAAAAAAAGTAAATAAATTCTAGCAATTGTTATCACATATAATATACATAACTTAAAAAAATATTCGAAAATTCTCGAGTTAATCATTGAAAAGTATTGTTTTTTTTTTTAATCTAGAATGATAACACTTCAAAGAATGATTTATCAAACATAAATAAATGAAAATTTAATCATAAAAATTGATCAGAAAAACCTGCTAAATAAAAAAGATGAGATAATAAATCGTATGGATTCAAACATAATTTATGGCCGATTATTCAAATCGATTTTTTTCATTAGAAAATAAAACAGTTTGACACTTTGAATTTATAAAGAAAACAAATTAATCATCCTTCACGATGAAATAAAGTGATTATGACACTTTCTATAATTAATAGCATCTAATATTGCTATTATATATATATATAAATGTAAATTAGGTAGAAAGAAATTGGTATAGAATGTAAAAATATGAAAATTTATTGCTTGTTTTTATCACAAATAATTATATTAGTAATACAACCTAAAATTATTTTCAGCAAATTCGATATCTTAATTAGCCTAGAAATCATTGGGATTAAATTAAGAAAATGTTTCTACCTATTATTACTTTCAACAATCCTTTCAAATGTTCAATAAGTTAAAAAGAGAAGTGTAGCAATTCTTTCAAAATTAATTCTATTAATGTATGAGCAAATAAATCCTTCGTTTATTCGTAAATAGAAAGTAAAATTACTTAAATTAATTTTTAAACAAAAAGAATGGAAAACTTCAACATCCATTGTTGTTATTCATTATCAAGTGAAATAATATATCGAAAGAATTTTCAATATCAATTACTTCTTCATCAAAAATTTTCCACTATAAAATTTTTACAATTCATCGATCATATCAACATATGTTAGCAAATGATGACGTCACTATATTTCGGATTTTATAAAATTCAAAATAAGCCACTTGTGAGGAGAGATAGCTGAAAATCCATGCATATATATGTAAGAGAAATAAAATAACCTCAAAAGTTATAGCTTAAACTTAGCTATCCTTAAACTTCTAAAATCAATTCAACAATTTTTGAGAGTATTTTCCATTAATATATCATATCCATTCTCATAAAGTTTGATTAGTTGGTGAATATTAAATTCTCAAAAGAAGCAAAGAAAAAACTATTTTCCATCATATCGTTGCTATTCAGTTAATAGCAAAGAAACGAAACGATGAAATTATCTTATCGAATCATTTCTTTTCCTTTCATTTTTTTCTGCTAATTTTATTAAATTTGATGAATTTGAAATTAAGCCGTTTTTCCTCCCTAATATTAAATAATTTTTTGATATGCAAGCAGTTATTATTCAAATATCAATGAATGAATGAATTTCATCTCATTCATTTTTTCCTATTCGAATTAATATTAAACAAAAGCAATAGCAAATAGTATACTAAAAAGATTTTACACACTTTAAATGCTCATTAAAGAAGGATAAGCTATATTGTCAATAAGATGAGATGGAAAAAAGTTAGAAAAAGAAAAAGATTTCAAAATTTTAGATATTATATCAAATACAATAATAATAATATAATATCTAAAAGATAATTCTAAAAGAAAAATATCATTAGAAATTATTATTATATTTTTAAAAGCAATGAAGATAATGTTAAAATGCAAATAATAACAATAACAATGATAGTGTATAGCAATAATTATTGCAATGATAATGAGAAATTAATAAAAGCGATAAGCTCTATAAAACTAATAATCAAAATATGTTTGTTGTATAAATTTGGAAGATATTAATATTTCAAAAAATAATCATTTATGAAATTTGAAAAAAATTCGTTAGATATTTTTCAACAAAAAAGAAGGAAAAATTGGAAGAAAAACAAAAAGAGAATTCCGAAATTTTTGCTTTAAGGCAGAAAAATCTTAGATTTCTTTTCAACTAACTCTATCTTAAGAGAAATCTCAGATTTTTTTATTGAAAATTCTAATAATTGTCTGTCACTGAGAGGGAATGATCTAACGAGAGAATGCTTCCAAATACATAAAGGCAAAAATAGATGATATCTATCTGTCCACTCCTTACTACACTTGACATCATTCATTCCTTAAAGAAAAGGAATTCTTAGAGAAAAGGCAGTTATTTTCAAGAGAAAATAAAAGACCTTAACAAAATAAGGCCATAGTTAAAATTGATTTTGCTTTAGAATGAAAGAGAAAGAAAAATGGAAGAATAAAAGTGAATGAAGGACATCAATGCTTAAGGCTTAGTTTAAACTGACCATAAACCTCTTCTCCAAAAATGAAGTCAAGTAAACTGAACCTATCTGCCTGCAACATATTCCTAATATTGAATGTTTCAGGCCTAATGCAACACAGACATAACTCAAATGTCTCAGCAACACAGGCGAGATATCGAATATTTAAGGCTTGACGCAGCACAAGCATAATTGAAATAAAACAATTTATCATTTTTTTTCCAAATCAATGAACATTAACTTATCAAATTATACATTTCCAATAGGCTTGCTGCAATATTACGCAAATCAATAAATTCATTTTGTTGATTGAAAGAAATGCATTTTGTTGATTGAAAGAAATGCTACGTGAAATACTGAAAGATAATTTAGGCTCAACAAATAATTCAAGTAAAAACAACCTTATCGATTTGTAAATGAGCAAATAATACAGAATTCTATTTATTTTATATATTATAATAAGAAATCGAAATTCTTTTATTCAATACGTTTAAATAAAGAAAAAACAGAAACTAAATGCATTCTATTCTGCTTAGCAGTGATTGATCAGAATGATCAGAAGCTTTCTAAGGAATATGTCCTATAAAAATGATATAATTTAAATATGTCAACGATCAATACGATTCTATCTTCACTATTGGACGCATTATGACGAATGTTCGAATATTCTTAACATTAATTGGTCAATTCAAAAAGCGTTAAAATTTTATTGCCGCTATATATTCAATAAACTTCAATAATAAAAAAAAAACTGTAAATAACAAATAATTATACCAATAAACAAAAACAAAAAAAAAATCACCACAAAAATTAACTAAAATGACAAAATATATCAATTTTTGTAAAGTTAAAAACCATAAAACAGATCAACCACTTACACTAAATAACCAAAAATGAAATGGAGCTACTCCAGATTTTAACATAAGAAAAAAGAACTGTAATTTTCAACTATCAAAAACCAAAAAATAATAGCCATAATAATTGATAACTCAACCTGATAATATTGATGAATATAATCAGCTAATATTTTTATTTCATTAGCAGTAGTGAATTTGCGAATAACTTAATTTTTGTTTCAATTTTATTGCTAATTTATTCCACACAGGTGTGCGTAATCTATACAAAAAATTCATAGAGAGGAATGATTAAATTATATGAGGCAATAGCTTATCAATCACAAGTGATAATTACAAAAAAACAATAAGCATCAAGAAAAAAATCAGAAAACAATAATTAGTATATATTATGATCAAATTGCGCAAGCAAGCGTATCACTATTGTAGCAAATCCGTAATTTAGAAGTACTAATGACTATCAATTTCAAATTGATTTTTTCAACATTGGAATATTCTGCTGGCTTCAACGAAACAAAAGTACTACAAAATACGGCGTAATACGGGATTGAAAATAATTGCTTGTCTAATACATATCGACATGTGGGAAAAAAATTTTGATTAACTTTCGAAGTTATAAAGTTTAATTTATTTTGGACTTTTCTTAATGCTTTAAAGTCCAAAAGAATAATCAAATTTCGAAGAAATTTCAGAGGTAATACTCAATTTAAAAAATAATATTGTTTGCATTGATCCATTTTTTTTATTTTTTGCGAAAAAATAATGGAAAAATTGACTAATTTGAATGCAATATGAAGAGAATTAATGAAATTAAACATTTAATAGAAATATAATAATACTACCTTCAAGGCAAATCATTTGATAAATCAAAATATTTTCGTTTCATAAGCTAAACTTACCAGAAACAGAAAAAATTTAAAAAATTAACAAACCTAAGAAAAGTCGAAATAAATCTCTTTATCAATTCTTTAAAAAAATTTATTGAACAATTATAATTATAACTTATTTAAAGAATAAATGTGAACATTTTTTTAAGGAATGCATGCGCATTTCTTAGACATTACCGCTACCACTATTTCTCATCATTTTTTTAAATAGAAAGAATTTTTGAATTTAAAAAGTAAAAAAAGAAAAGAGTTACCAATGCTTCGAATCTTCTTAGTAATAACAATTCCAAAATGCCACTTTCGCAACATTCACGCATTATCGAAGAGGCATTCAAATGCGACAAGCCGGTAAGTACTTTTCCATTCACCTATCAATTACATACATTAGAAAAATGCTCAGTAATTAAGCTAGCTTAAGATTTTCTCTTCTCTGTTTATTTTCTCTCTTCCCTTCTCTTTTATTCGTCGTTTATCATCTGTAAATTTCATTTATTTTTACTTTCGCTATAAAAACATACCTCAAGTAGTTCATCACCAATTTTCACCGATAATGGACAAGTGGATTTAACTGCAACCACTAAAACAATCATCCGATCGCGATCACGATTACCTGCAAGCGAGAGGCCAAGTCCACCACGTGGCACATTATCCAATTTCAACAGTATTGTATCACCCGATAAATTACCATATTTTCGATTTATTTTATCTAAATTATATTAAATTAAGCATGTCAATGTAGCTCATCATTTGCGTGTCCAAGTTATGTGACAAATTCATTTATTTTTGCATCAAACTGCTAAGGATTTACTTTAAAAAGTGATAATAGAATGTGACGTGCGAATATCTAAAATGTACAAAAAAATAAAACACTTATTTTGATATTAATTGAAATTGAAATGATATTTCTTAATAAAATACCTTTTGTATAGAAGAACAGGTCTTCCTCTTCCGGATCATCATCATGCTTCGGTAGCGCAGCTGCACTATCCATATCAATTCCTTGTTTTACCAATTCTTTCCTTGTATTAACTCGTTTTCGTGATAAATTTTTCAGACTTTGCATCCGTTCAAGCTTTTCATCCTAAAAAATTAAATATTAAATAATTCCGATTAAACATTATTCCAAAATTTCTTTTGGTTCTTTCGTAGTGAATTCAAATTGCGAAGAATGTATTCATATATTATGAAATAAAAATGAAAAATTAAAGAATTAACCCTGAAGCAATGAGTCAGTGTTCCATATTTATGATTAACTAATTTGTTTATATTTTAATTTCTTGGAAAAATGTTTTTTGCTATTTTGAAAAATAAAAAGAAATACTTGGTTAAAAACTTACATCCATACTAATTGATGTGTTCTTGACAAGTTCAGTTGTATCATGTCTTTCCATATCTTCAAATTCGAGCTCGTCTTCTTTCTGTAATTTAATTTTCTATGCTACAGAAGTTAAACTTTAGTTTCTTGTTGTTTCTTCGGTTGCTGTCAATTCTTGAATATTACCGCCAAGTATTTAAAGAATTTAATTCCACAAAATTTTAAAATTCTGAAGAAAATCTTTCATTTAAACTGATTTATTAATGTAATACGAATATGTCCATGAAAATTCAGTGTTTAGTGGAAATGAGTAAATGAAAGATTTTCTTCAGAAATTTGAAATTTGCAAAATTAAATTTTAAAAAAGAAATAGCAAATATAGCGTAGAAATACCTTTATTACAAGCATTAAAATGAAATTTGCTAAATGATGAATAAAATTTGAAATGCTAAAATGAAAAAGAATACCTTAGTTGTAGCTTCCGGTACATTGAATGTGCTCATTAAGCTTGAACTATCACATTTTTCCGTCTTCCTCTTCCATTCACTAACACTTTTATCACTTTCATTTCTTCTTTCATCTTGCTCTTCGTTAATACCACCCTTTAAATCAATTAAAGCATTCGTTTGAGCAAAAATTATCCCACGGATATATCATGTAAATGTAAAACGGAAATAGTGCAAATTTTCGAAAAATAAAAAATTTTTATTTCATAAAGTTTAAATTTTTTACGGAAGGATACATTGTATAAAACAGAAAACTGAAATAACAAAATATCCAAAAGAATTTTACCTGATGCGATGGGAAACTACGAAGACTTTGAACAACAAATTTCACAGGATTTTTCGCATTTTTTATAACCTGAACTGCTTGTTCATGCGTAGCTTCACGTAAGTCTTGATCGTTTACCTGAAAGTTGCCACTGTAGCATAATTTATAGCGCGTTTTCGTTTTGTTCTCTTTTTAGTTTTTAATTATCCATTACTAGGCTAAAATCGCTTACGTTTACTTAAAATCTTAATCTTTTTCCGCTTCCCCATCTTGTTAGGAGCTTTTCCCAATTTCCTATTACATTCCGATTACCATTCACACTATAGTATACTTTTTCAAATTTATCTGACAATTTTCATATCACTTACACTAATCACTCGATCACCCATATTCATCATATTGGAAAGGCCAGCAGGTGAATTTGGTAAGACTGATTTGATAAAAATACCCGAGACAGTGCTCCTCGTACCAGGTTGTCCACTTTTATGACTAACTTCCACACGTCCACCAACGATACTAATGCCTGTAATGAATTCATTCAACAAAAATTTAAGTCAAATAATTCAACATTTAACAATGATATATTATGCCACTTCTTACTATGTGAAAGTGCTACTTCTTACTATGTGAAGGATAATTAGCCATAAGTAATAACAAAAAAGGTTCAAAAAAGTACATTAAGTGTTTCTTACATATGTTCTATAATATACTATTATTTTACATTTCTGTTTTACTTTTAGCTACGTTTATTCTTTTTTAAATTCTTTCAACTTACCAAATGATTGATTTGGTTCACGATGTAATATCACCGTCTTTGTTTGACCCCAAAATTTGGAACGACTTGATTTAGCTGGCTGTAAAAAGTACTCTTTGTTAGACTGGCTTTTTGACCAACTGATAAATTTTGAAAATGACAGAACTGTTCAAGTAGTTTTGAGTGACTTGTTAGTAATTACTAGTCTAACAAAGAGTACTTTTTTATAACAACCCAATATTGCTAGCATAACTTTCTGGGATTGATGATTTGCTAATCTTCGAGTAAATACTGGATCAAAGAAATATTCCGATTAATCTTATTCCAGCTAATCTTCGAGAAATACTAGGTCAAAGAAATGGACATATTGTAAGAAATAATGATATTCCAACATTAAAGATGTAAAGGAGTAATTGTATATTGAAATGTTTACTCCCTGGCATTCCATTTCGACTAATTAAAAGTAAAAATTTAGAACTAAAAAAGGGATGAATAGAATCACCAGATGTGTTTCGGATGAAACTGGTGAAGGCGACAAATCTGAGGGCACTGCTGGATTGATTAGTTCATCTTCAATCAAACTATTTCGTTCGACAGTTTCTGATAGCAGATTTAATTGCTCTGAGGGCACTGTGATTGCTGATTTTTTTTGCGACCTTGATACAAATGTTAAAAAATATAATTCAAATTAGTAAATTTCAATTCATTGCCGAAATAGAAATTGATAACGCACGGGTGGAATTTTTGAAGCAATAAAATAATACTGGATTTCAGAATCAATTTTTAATTTCTGAAGAGATAAAATTTAGTGATTTTGGTTAAGTAAGTAAAGAAAAACAATACAATGACCTACCCTTCATTCCTACATTTCTTCCTTTCATCCATTTCAGAATCTTTTTCTTTTATTGATGCTAGCAAATATTTCTTTCCGTTTTCGAATTGCGTTTCATTTATACATGAATTAGAAAGTTTGCTCTCAGCCAGCACCTGAATTTGGAAATAATTTCTGGGAAAATCTGTGGTTCAATGATTTAGTAAAGTTCCCGATTAAATGAAAAAAAGCGTACTTTTTGTGATGCAACACTTGTGGACGGTGATGTTTCGACTGGTTCACTCAACAAATTTTGCCAGTTCTCTTTCGATGCACCAAAATTTGTCACTTTTGTTAAATGCTCAGTAACTAATAATTCCATCCATACATCTTTTAAAATTTTCTAAAATGATGCATTCATTAAGTTCAAATTTTGATAGTAAGAAATTTTTAAAATTTATTTCACTAATTAAGTCTTCAAAATTGCAGATTGTCAAAGGAGAAAAATGGATAAAAAGTGCCATGATTCAGGAAGTGAAAAGACAAAAGAAAATGCCCAACTTGATGAAAACTGAAACATAAGAAAAAGAAGAGCAAACACTTTTCGGCCTAACGAAGAAGCTTAGAAAATAATGGCCTAAATTCAGCTTCCCATACCTTGGCCCAGTAAAAGATTGCTTCACCGAAAATCTTATACATTTATTCATTCACACTTTAATTTCTGGTATAATCATTGTTGACAATCTACCTACTTCCGATCTTCTATTAAGGCCCCATAAATCAAAGCAAAATTAGGTCTCGAAGAAAAAATAACCTTATATTGCTAAAAAGCAATTTTTTCATTTTCCTTTCATTTTATACTTCGAAAATCATTCTTTCTATTATTTTCTAGAAAAGACTACAAATATTTTATAGAAACTAATGCCCTTATGCAAATGATGAACAAGGCTATAAGGAGAAAATCGTTCATAAAGAAACAAACAAAATTTTTATGGAATTTTTCTTCAGAAATTCGCAAAAATAAAGATATATGAATAAGGGAAATTTTTACAAAAAATCATGTTAATTTTTTATTTATCCTTTTTCTTTGCTTTTACTGTTTAGATATATTTGCTGGATTGATTGATTATTTTTGCCAATTGCAAATTAGCAATTCGTCACTTAGCCATTAATTTATCACTGCAACAAAAAAAAGGATAAGAAATGAAAAACAATCCTGAACTGATCTGGTTTTATTAAAAGCCATTTTATCGTTTAGTTTCTTGAGAGGCTGAAATTGAATTTGAAACTGTGGAATGAAATGATAAGAACTAAAGAATTCTAAGGAAGTGAATTAAAAGTGATAGCAATTTCATTCGCATTGATTCTTTAAGTTATATTTATCAATAAATTATGTTTTAATTAAGAAGTTCAATATTTATTTTAGTCCAAAAGAACTTAGTATTAATATATTTTCATAAATAAGTGTGCTGCAAATTGAAACTACCGAATTTTAGCTAATTAAAAACATTATAAATTTCAAGAATTTTCTCAAAGAAAAAAGGAGAAAGATTGATTTTAAATAACATTTTAATGTGATTCAAATAGAACGATAAATTATAATATGCCAATTGGACAACTATTTTTGTGTTTAATTGGCAATTTCTGTATATGCTTTGAATTATATATTTTGACGATCTTTTCAAAAAGGAATTTAAGGAAAATATAAAAGTAAGTAAAATAAAAAATGCAATGAGCAATTGATTGAATCATTCAAATATCGCTTAATTAGAATAAAAATTGCAGTAGAATATTAAAATTATCAATTTCGTATATTGTTGATTGCATCATTTATGGGAAAAAAGAAAAAGAGAAATGAAAATGAAAACCGAAGAAAATATTATTAAATTGTTATTTAATACTTTTGTTATATCGCTACATTATTATAAAATTATGTCATTACTTAATTAATTGTATAATATTTTGCAAATATTTAAGATGAAATTTGCATTAAAAGAAATTACAACTGTCTTTGGAATTTTTTTAAAATAAGTATATTGCTTTCTTACAAGTAGTAAAACACGGATTGGTTAAACTTATCAGTTAAATTTAAAATTCAAATTTTTGCAGAAAAGTTTAGTGATCAAAAATTTTTATAAATTTTCGCTTTTTAAATTTTTATGTAAAGGCACGAATCAACAACATAATGCCCTAGTAACAATTTTAATGATTGTAGGAAAATGAATCCAAAAACATGATTAATACCAGTTGTTAATCATACTTTCCTAGAATTTTCACATTATTCTCGAATGAAAATTGCTTGCAATTTTGAATCCACTCCAATAGAAGACAGAGAGAAAAAAAATAAATTCCAACTATGAAATTGCTTCAAGAAATTCCAATTCCAATCCTGACATGATGATTGATAACAGGCTTTTCAGGCTTACAATCGCTCGAGTAACTTCAGATAAAAATGATAGTTATTGCGCTAAAATTAATAAATTAAAATACCAATAAACAAAACAAAAAAAATCAATAAATATTACTTGAACAAAATTGTAAACAAATTCTTCAATTGATTTTCCGTCAATTTGAATACTATCTGATTGTCTTTTAGCCGACTTTGGAGCATCAGATGATAAGGAAATTTCCGCATCAATTACATCGCTATTAAATGATCCTTGTCCTATTCCTGTCATTTGCTTCTTTTCTAGATATAGACTATGATAGAACTTCGGGAAAATCCTGGAAAAAGAAAGAAAGATAATAGAATTAAATCCGTTAAGATTATTAGAAATTTTGCAATAAATAAAAAAAGATTACTTTGTGATACAACAAATAACATTAATTCCTTCTTCCAATTTATTCTTCTTTTCCTTTTCGTTTCTTTCTTTTTTATAAAAGGTTTTATTTGAAATGAAAGTAATGAACGTTATTTAAGATATAATAAAAAAAGAAAAAAACAAATTACCTGGGTGAAAGTCTATTAACTACGGGTAATTGATAATCCGTTTCATGATGATATTTTTCTTTCCAAATTTTTGCATCCGAGGCAGTGATATATGTTATGCTGCAAAAAGTGAACAATTATGAAATTTAAAGAAAAAAATAAGAAAATGATAAGTAATTGAAAAATACGAAAAGAAGACAAAAGTTTCCATTAGAAAAAAGAATAGACTTAATTATAAGTCAGTAATTTTTATTGGCTTAATAAACCATCTTATCATATTCTTTTAGATAAGCCAACTGGTATTTCATTTTTGAATCTGATGAAGAATTGTTTATTCTCTAATTGCTCTCTCATTATGGCCTTTTTTCCAATTTTGTTGGCATTGTTTCAATGCTGATGACTTAATCTTTTATAAATAAAATAAAATCGAAATGTTTTCATCATCGTTCATTAAATTTTAGAGCAAACTTATTCCAAATTAATTGTATATGCTACAATTTATATCAAACAAAATGGATTTTACCTAAATCATGAAAAAAGTTTAGTGAGATTAGAAAATTAGTTTGTCACTACATTATTTCCAAATTGTTCACAAAAGCTGTCAATGGAAGATAATTTGGAAGCATGAAAAATTTCGGCTCTTTCCTTTTTTTATTTTTTGTTTTTCAAATAAATTGGATGTATTAAAAACTTACGTTGGGGATGAAAGAGAGAAATAAAATTTGATAATTGAATGGATCGGAAGTTTAAAAAAGTATTAGGGAGCTGTATATCGTCATGATCGAACTATTCTTGCTGATACGAAGTAAAATAAATGTTAAATTTAATCAATTGGAAGCGTTAAAAAGGAAGAACTTCAAAACCTCTTAAAGTTTTTTTCAAATTTTCGAAAATTTATCGCGGTATCAGAAGGAAAGAGAAAAAAGAAAAAAAATAAAACAAACTTGCACTGCGTGCCAATAAGATTAGTTCGCTTCAAAATAGCTCGTGCTTGCGAATTCGTAACATTTCGTAAACTTTCCATATTTACTTTCACAATATAATCATTCACCTTTAAATTAAATCATTTTAAATTAAAATGAAAAAATATTTATTTTCTTTTTCATCATTAGTGCTAATTTTAATTATTGGCTTTCAAAAAAAATTTCAAAACTATAAATTTCGTTTTTGTTTTTTCTCATTTATTTTGCTTATTAACTGAATTAATAGCATTTATTCTTATTGCAAGAGCATAACAGTAAATACGTATACTTTATAATACCAATTACAACATATATTTTTTTAATTAGGATATTTGCTCAAAATTATATCAAACGTTTTGAATTATTAATTTTTCGCAAAATATTACCTGAACTCTTCCATCGCGCCCTACAGCTTTTTTGCTACAAATACTCTTTACCTGACAACCATTGATACCCTTATCAATTTCTGCATTTAATACTACGCCTAAAAAAAATATTTAAAGCAAATTTCCTAAATTTCTTCTTTGAAAAAGAAATTAGTTAATAGACAAATTTTGCATAATCTTTTTTTCAATTCATCGAAAATTTATAAAAATTTTATACCAAGTGAAAGTGCTCCTTTTTGAATTTTAATTGATCGCTCCAAACTTGGCGGCAAATAAACGATATCATAGGCCCAAGAACCACGCAAATAAAGTGGTGAACCACAAGGTGATATTGAACGAGTTGAGCAAGGTGACGAACTGGTCATCGATAGATGGCTCTGCAGAATTATTTATCCGCTAATTTATTTTTCTAATGATGCAATCAAATATGATAAATTTATATCAAAGTCATTAAGAAAAAAAAGATTAATTAAGAAATCAAAAAGAATGTCTCTCAGCAATAACATAGATGACGTAAGAAATAACGGCTACATTATACTAAAGACAAATAATTATGTCGAAATAATGACAATTGTGATAAAAGATAATCGCAGTACCACAGAAGCATAAGATAACAAATATAATATTAAAAAATTGGAACAGCAATGTTGAAATAAAGACAATTGTAATATGAGCTAATCGCGACATCATCGTATCTTAAATGAAAAGAACAAAAAAAGTAATCAATTAACGGAATTATCGGGAATAATTGACCTAACATAAATAACAATCGATTAACTTAAAGAAAGGAAAAAAAGACAAGTCTTTTTGCTAGGACGCAGAAATTAACATATATCTTTAAAAAAGCATAGAAATGGAAGGAAAAGAAAAGCTTACTCCGTTTAATGATATATTACAGGCACGAGGTGTTGTTGGTGTAAGCGAACTCGAAGATTGATAACAGCTCTGAAAAAGAAGAAAGAAAATAAAAATGGAAGGGAAAAAAGTTGGAATAGTTTTGCTGATAATAGACTGAAAGTAAAATCGATATTGAAATGAAATTAGAATTAAAGAATAAAGAAAGCAATAAAAAAAGTGAAAGAATAAGGATAAAATATTAAAATGGAGCAAAATTATAATTTCGTTTTCTTAAACCAAAATTTTAAAATAAGTTGAAAAAGAAGATAAAGAGATTGATATCTTGACTGCATGAAAATTTTATGTTCGTTTTATTTATTTTACAAATGAATACCTTTACGATAACAATTGTCTGATAAATATAAAACGGGAAGATGTTATGATATAAAGCGAAGTAGATATAACCTATCGGTGACCATTCGTAGATTTAAAAGAAGAATTTTAAGAGACTTTTTTTTTGCAAAATCAGAATCTAAAAAGAAAAAGAAGTAAGAAAGAGGAGGAAAAACTGGTTCCAATGGACGATGAAAATAAAATAAATTTTAAGAAAATGAAAATTCAAAAGAAAAAATTTATAAAATGGATAACTTTAGGGAATGAATTTATAAGTAACAAAAGACATTTGATTTAAAACCGATTAGATTTGGAACAAAGTAAAATTGCGGAAATGAAAAACCTGCGGATGATGGTGTTGATGATATTTGGCTGCACCAAGCCAAACAGTTTCCTGACTGGATGTATTTGAAATTATCTGAAATTCAATAATTTATATTTATCGAAAATCATTCATAATTATAGGAAACTGTTAAAGAATGGAAAAACATTTTATATTTATAAATTAAATTCACTTTTGCAATCAAATGTTTCAATTTTATGCAAACAATTTGAATTTTAAGTAATTATGTATAATATAATGGGAAAAATTTCTTCAAAAATGAATTCAAAATTTTTTGAAATGAAATTTTTTCTTGAAAATTTGGAATGAAAAATTTTTATTTTAATTGGATGTTAACATTACATGCTGAAATATTATTTACAATTTCCAAAAGAACAAATATTCCGAAATAAATTTCAAAAGTGTTACATATTGTTAAGAATTTGTCCTTAAATTAATTAATGATAGGAATAATTAAATTGCATATAAGCAAAATCGTAATGTGTAAACTTTTCATCTCTATCGACAAATAATGCTAATTAATAATTATGATTAATATTAAATTGAAATTAATAAATTGAAAATAATAAATTGAAATTATAGAAAAGATCAAATTTTTCGTCAAACAAAATTATCTTCAAATTATTGTTGATTTATAAAGTTTTCATTAATTGAATCGAATTATTGCAATAAACAAAAAAATTATTTAACAAATAAAATGAACGTTTTATAGAAAAACGAACGAAATTAATTGAAATAATCTCATCAGAAATGACAATTAGATTTTCAGATAAATTAAATACATTGTAATAATATTAAAAGATTTTCAAATTAATTTAAAATGAAAATGATAATTTTATTTGATAGGAAATGATGGCGCAATTATTTTTCATTTCTTTAATCAAATAAGATAAAAATGAGGTAAGAAGCATTTGTTGTATGGAAAGATGAAAATATTGTTTGGTATTTTTGATAATTTCTTAATTACTTTTATTTTTTCACTTTCATTTGGCTTAAATTAGAGAAATAAAATGTTGAAAAACAAAATTGTGAAGTAATTATTAATTTAACCAAAATAAATTTACCACCCGCAAAATACTTTCTATAGTTTCTTCTTATTATTTTTACCTTTCTACCTAACATTCCCATCTTACAACTGCCCATCTTATGACAAACCTATATTCATTGTGATCCCATCTTATACTCCAGTTCTTGCAACCACTCATTTTATGGTTCTTATCTTACAACTCTGTATTCCCTTCTTGCTACTCAATTTTGCTTGTTCCATCTTGAAATACTATTATGGCTGATGTTAATTAAATTTAATATAAGTGTTGAATTAAAATGAAAATTCAATATTTTCACATTAACATTTTAAACTGTTACTTATAATCAAATAAATAATTCAAAATATCAAAGTTAATTTCAGAAAAAAAGTGCTAATTGTATCTTTTAAATTCACTTATAAAAGCAGGTGAAAATGTAAAATATCTTTGTTTGCATAACTAATAGAAAGAAGCAATTAGTGGGAAATTCTCAAATGAATGAGTGAATGAATGAGTAATTGTCACTAAAAAGTTCGAATTTAGGTGTAAATTTAAAGCAAAGCGTAGTGATGCAATTTCTTAATATGTTTTCGTTCATAAGGAAGGAATTTCAATTTCAATTAATATCAAGAAATGAAGTGTGAGAATCCTGTTGCTTATCCATTTTCGCTCTCTCCTTTCTTATTTCATCTCTTCATGATAAATTTTTAACAAAAAAGAAATTTTACCACTTCATTTTTTGCTGCAATTATAAGAAAAAATTTGTTTTCGTTTAACGATACGATTGAAGGTGTCAAGAAGTAATCTAAACTTTAGCCGTCATGGTTATGCACTGTTGAGTAAAATAAGCAAGATTCGTTGTCCTTTGGCCTAGTCATTATACTTTGGCATAACAAGTAAGATTTTGTCCTCTCCGCAATGCAACTTTTTTAATAAAAAATATATTCGATGAAATCTTTGAAATAATTTAGGATTGAAATCGATAAAATCATATCAATCATACGATATCTTTTGAGTATTTAAACAAATCAAGGAAATTTTGGTCACAATAAAAGCTATTAGAAAACAAAAGGAAGTAAAATGATTCAGAAGAAAGAAATTCATTACATTTTATTTTGTCAAATGACAACTTAAATTGTGATAATTTTCCAAAAATTGAATAGCATTAAAACGGAAATAAAAATGAAGCGTCTATTTTTAAAATTGGAAATTTGAAAATGAAACATTTTGCATTCTCTTTTTTACCAAATACAGCATTCGACACATATCTGCATATCATATATCTTCAGGAAAATGATATATGCACACAGAGATGAGTTTCAAAATTGCTTCTATTTAATGTTTATAAGACAGAATAAGAAAGGAATGAATTAATGCATAAATTATTTATGCATTAATCAAAAATGAATTTTAAGTATTTTCCATTCATTGGAAATTAATTGGATTAGTTTGAAATTTAACACAACAGGAAGAAAAAATAAGAAGTTGGTGGAAGAATAAGTTATATTAATTTGTTTTACCTTTTTTTACTTAATCCTAAATTTTGCTTTATTTAGCTACACATTTCAATTGAATTCCAATATATAATAAATCAAACAACTCGCGTTGTTATTAATTGGTATTAAATTAATTTCATTATAAATACATTTCCGTTATTCATTTTCATATTAATTTAAGCAAAAATTGCGATAATAATTCATTTCTGTAAAATGTAAAAACAAATATTTGTTAACAAAGTATAAAAGTAAATAAGAATTAATTGCGAAATTCTAATATAATTGAAAAATATGATTGCAGATTGTCATATGCAATTATTTTTTCTGCATTTGCAGGTGGAAAACAATTGCATATGCAAGCAAAGGTACATCTAATGCAGTTAGCATGCAGCTGAATTTTAATACTAGCATAATTTATTTATAATTTTATGATTTATTACAGCAAATAACGTTATCAATTAAAGCTTATTCAAAAGAAGAAAAAAAGCTTACTTACTTCTTTGCGATGATGTTGACGTGATCGTGAACTTCCTTTTGCGAGTACACGTTCGCTGCGTGAAATAAGCGGCGTATGACCACTTATTCCGTTACCACACTGTAAAAAATAGAAAAAAATTGAGCATTTTTAGATGCCTAAAAAAAATACATTTATATAGTCGAAAGTTAAGCCTTAAACCTATTTTTGCACTTACTTCCTTATCATTCATTCCTACTTCCTTCCAATTTAAAAATTCATCTTTTACTTACCTTTTTAAATTTTGCTTACAAAAATGAATACCTATGTATGCTTTCTCTCTCTCTCTTTCAATCTCTGTATTACAGAGAAACACTATTCTTCATGTCTATTTGAATGTTGGAAGCATTATTATTTTACACTCCTAATTAATTTCATTATTTTCAAACTTATTAAATTTATATTTCTCTCCTCCTCTCTTTCGTCTTTTTCTCTCTTTCCATCCATTCTTTGTTAATTTTTCTTCTTTTTCCAATATATTTCTTTGTTTTCATTTTTTCTTAATTATAGCAAAAAAAGGAAAAAAAAGTTTTATATTATCAAAGATCTGAAGAAATTAAAAAAAGTGAACTTTATTAGTTGATGACAGTTTTCAAAAAAATAATAAACAATGCATGAAATAATTGCTTGCGGCAAAATTAATTGGCTATTTATTAATTAGAATACTTTCATCGAAAAAATTATAACTTATTAACTATTAAAACATCAGGAAACTGTCAAGTAATGTTAAATACTTCCCATAACTTTTCCATCCATTCTCTTCAATCTTACTATCTAAAAAACAATTATTTCATTTTTGCATAAATAATAAGTTGCCAGGTATATTTAGAAAGAAAAAAATGAATGAGGTATAGAATTTTGAAAATATTTCAGAAGAGATGAAATGAACTTTCTAACTTCTAATCTTACAAATTCCAATTTCTAACTTTAAATTCTCTTAAAGAAGAATTCTTCTAAATAACTTTTTTCTTTACCATTCAATTAATTTTACTAAAAATTTCGTTATAAAAAGTCGAAAAAAGATTTTTAATGAATTAATTTGCATTGCCGACTAATAAATTCTAATTTATTTGATAGATTTTTGCAAATTTCTTTTTCATTGTTTTTATGCTTTATTTACTTTTGCTAATTATCCAATTTAACTAAAAATATTTCTGAGAGAGTAAACATAATAAAAGAAAATGCTTTGAACCATTTGATAAATCTTTAAAACATGAAAATATGTAAAAAATATTCTTCTTGACCTCTAATGATTTATAAGTCCAAAAGAGCAAAATTCGAAATTAAGTGGTTTGAAAAAGCGAAAATTTGGTGACAGTTTCGGTAGTATACTACTGCAATATTATTAATATCTGTAATTATGAATAAAATTTCCAAGGAAATGAAAAATATTACAAGTAAATGACTGTACTATAAGTTATAAGTTAAGTACTATAAGTTAAAATGATAATTTTGATTGACTTATTATGGATAGATACATGTTAGGTACTCAACAATTGACCTAATTAATGTTCATATGCAATTAAGAAGTTGGTTGAATTACCGGAACATAACTTAAATTCGCCTGTAATCGGTGAATTTTTTTGAAGGACAGATTGATTCATTATATTTAAAATATTTTTTCATCACATATTACAACTCTTTCTGGAATCTGTTGACAGATTTTTATCTTGCTAAAATGAACAACTTACATTTTACTTTTTAGTTAAATAATTCAATATTAACAACAATCATTATTTTACAAAAGAAAAAAGGAAAATGGAAAATAAAGGAAATCTCGGGAATTTTGTTGCTTTATTATAATTCTTTCTTTTTGCTGCAATAAATTGAGTAATTGAAAATTGAAATTTCTTCTTAATCTAACATTTATCAAATTAAACAATTTGCAATTCTTTCTTTCTTCCATTTTTTTAAATCAAAACTAAAAATTAGAAGATAAAGCGTTTGTGATTAAAAAGAATTTCCACAATTATAATTCATTAATTATTGCAATGTTTTTAATTTTACATAAATATCAAATTGCTATTATTTGGAATGGTTTCCAACAAACACATCTTTAAAGTGATGGATTTAAACGTACGTAACATTCATTAATTATAATTTAATACGTTGATCACATGTACACTGAATGTACAGTCGATAAGATGAGAGAGAAGGAAAAAACAAAAGAAATTCCATATGATTCTTATTGACACCGTTAAAATTTGCCTTTTTTCCCCTATTCATTTATAATTCAAAAAGGAAAGAGAGAGAGAAAATAAGAAAGATAATTAGCTAAAAGAGACTAAAGAATATCAATAACCCTTGAAAAAATATAATTCGTAATTTAGAAAATTTTGCTAAAGTAAAAGAATAGTATAAATCAACGAGATTATTGAAGTCTTTTATTTTAGGTGAAGCACTTCTCTTTCATTTCATTTCATTTCATAAATATAATACGTTATGGCTCATTAAGCATTAGGCACAAATTATGAGGCCTAGTTGTGACGTAAAAGGATAAATCAATAATTAAACGTTAGCATTTTTTTTTTTAAACTAACAAAATTAAAATTTCTTCAACAATAAAGAAAATAAATTAATAAGAAAGCGTTTTGGTATATTTTTTAGGCTTACAAAAATTTTTGGCTTCTTCGACAAATGTAATAAAGAAAAATATAAGAAAAAGAAAGGTACTGCAAACCTCTTCAATAGGTATTGGTTTTGCAATGCCTAATCGAACTAAGCCATCAGGAGCTGATTTCAGGATAGCTACAGCATATTCCAGTGTGCTGTTTGATAGATCCTCATCATTTACAAACATTAACCTATCACCAGGTATAATTCGACCATCAGCTTGTGCAAGCCCACCTGGTACTAATGATCGTACCACAATTACAGATTGTTCTGGATGCAGTGGATCCTGTAACAAAATATCACTAAGTAAATCATTAAAGATTTCAGATTAATCTAACACTTTATATATTTATAAAATAAGCAGCAAATCATTTAGGCTCTCAATTACTCGATAGTCAACAATTGAAAATCCTAAGCCACGACTATCCTTCTCCAATTGCACTATCATCGGCACACAGCGCCAAATCGCTAATCCATTGAATAATTGCAGTGATCGGGATCGTAAACGCCGCGACACCTGAAGTTACAGAAAAATTTCCGAAGCATTTATTTGAGTTTATGTGTGAAGATGAAGATGAAACAAATCAAAAACCTAAACGATAGATTAATCAAATAAATTTGACAAAAATTACGAATGTTACGACTCTTCTTTCTACCACATCTTCTCTCTACTTTAGTGCTCAATTTGATTTACTGAAATTGATACGATGTTTACAAATTTAAAAAAAAAATAAAATCTTAAATTATTAATTATAAAATAGTAGAAAGATAGTACCTGTTCCAATACAGCTCTTGTTGAATCTAAAGTTCTTGCTATACAACTTTCGGATTTAGCCTGAAATTACTTCTAATGATCGATTTTAATCGAGTTTCACGATATCATATATTTTTTATTCCAATATTGTATAGTTTGAAATATCATATATCATCTTCATTCCATAAACTAATACATAATTTCCGCAATATCGGATGTCTTATTTTTTCAGAAACATGTCGATGAATACGAATTGTCTTTAGCTTGTGAAATTGATAATTTTCATACGTGAAATTAAGAGAATGTAATGAAGCAAATTAATTGTATTTTTTAAAAAAGCAAAACAACAATAAAAAGAATGCGTTGATATTAAGTTTATGAAAGAAAAAGCATAAAGTAAAATGAGTGAATTTAATTTACATATATGTGGCGGAAAAGTTATCCGACCATTTCGATTAATTCGACTGAACGAAAAGAATTGATTAAATGTACGAATTGGTCAATAAATAATTAATGTAATTTATGAAAACCACGGAACGAATAAGCAACCTTAATAAGGCGATCGTCTGTGCCAGCTAATAAAGGATATGCAATTGGAAGACTTTCCTCAAGTCTTGGCATGAAAACATTCACAGTTTGAACTTTCCTTGCTACTGTAAGCCTAACTCGTTGTGCGTTTGTTGCAGCCTTAATTAGCGCTTGCCTTACGGTTACGTGTGATTCGCCGTATAATACCACTTCATTAGCCTGTTATCCAATACGTAAACATCAAGAATTATACTTGAAAAGTAAAGGATAAAAGAAATATTGATTGGACATGAAACAAACGGAACATTGTCATCATTTTTGAAAGTTAATCGATTGGGGAAAAATATTTACTAGGATTGCCATTTCGTCAAAGAACAAAAAAACTTACCTGCAGTAATTCATCACCTGAACGAAGAGAATTCGAGAAAGCAGCTGGTCCACCAGGTCTAAGTGAGTCAATGTAATGATGTGGACAAAGTTCAGCACCATTTAAAATATCCACTGTACCTTCTAACGAAATACCTAAACCACCATCATCGAATTTATCCGGAATCAAATCCACACTAATCACTTCGAATTCAGAACCCAAACGATGCTTCCAATAGGCTACCACATCACGTAGCGTATTCTGAACGTCTATTTCTTGAGCTGCCACATCCTATGTTTAAAAACAAAAAAAAATATTAATCAATTATTTGAATTATAAAATTGAGAATAAGATAGCTTAAATTTTAGCATTCTTCTAGGATATGAAAAAATTTTGACACTAATTTAGATCAAAAATTTAGAATTACCCTCTTAAATTGCTATTGGATTTGACCGTCTTAGAATGCTAAACTAAAAAAATAGTAAAATAGGATGGTTCAATAAATTAGGCTTAAATGATATTAATAAGATCTCTAATTTTATATGTATGAGAATGATAGAAAGATCTTTGCTTTTTTTGCAAATTCATATTTTTTGTGTATTTAATCATTTTTTAACTTTTAAATTTATTTCCCGAATACTAATTGTTCAGATAATTCACTTAATTTCATTATCATATACTATCACAAAAACAAAAGCTGTTAAGCAAAAAAATGATGATAATAAATAATACGAAGTGATTGCTTAGGTAAAAGATTGAAGGATTACCTACCTGTCTTTGGAGCATTGTAAGGCATTCAGCTTGCGGTGAACCAGGTAGAAAACGAATTAATTTTATCTTAACTCTTGTTCCGCTACCTACTAATGCCCGTATTGATTCACTATGATTTAAACCTTCCAATGATTTTTCGTTTACCTGTAAGGGATGAATAATAGTCATGTGTTGATGAAACCAATAAAAATGACATTTTCTCTTGACAGCTTGTAAATATCATTTCTCTCATTTTTCAAACAGTATAAATACGGCATAACAGATAAACTTTGATCTTTCTTTAGCTATAATTTAAATTTAATTGAAGACTAAGTGATTAGAATTTAAATTGTTTTAAAAAAATTTTTGGTCCTAATTAGTTTAATTAATGTTAAATCATTTTATTCATTTAAAATTTCAATTATTTCTTCTAAATTGAAATATAATATTAATAAAAGAATGACACAAACATTTCTTTTTTTAAAAACAATTTAATAAATAATATAGGGAAAACTAATTCAATGCTTGTTTATGCTACAATTTCGTCTTTTCACTGAAGCGTATTGATTTGTACAAATGATAATTTCAGATAGAAAAATAAAAATAAACCTTATCAATTAATTACTTAACTGATAAATCAATTGATTAACATAGATAGTTTAGGTAAGTTTGAGAATAAACGAATACAATCTTTTCTTGACGTATTTTATAATTTGATATTATATTACCATATTAATCCATAAAATTGTTAACTATTGATTGATTAATTTTAATATAAACAATAAGCAATTTCGTATTATCAAAATTTATATATTTTTAAATTTATTCCTTTTTCTTTTTCAATTATATTAAATTATACAAATATTTGTAAAGCTCACAGAAAATTCTTTCAAAACAAAGTAAAAGTATAATTTTAGCAGCAAAACAATGCTATCCTTTTTATCACATAAATAAAATTATAGTATAATAATTAATTTCTGAATTACAATATAACATTTAATTACTGTTTACATTATTTGAAATTAATAAATCAAAAAAATTTATGTAGTGCTAACATTTTTTTAATCAAATATTATAAATTTTAGTGCTATGATTCATTCCATCGTCAAAAATGTGATAGGAATGATTTGATAATTAGCAGTAATTAATAAATTATTCATTAACACAAAAAGAAAAATGATGGAAAATTATTAAAAATTATAGCATTTCGGAAAAAATATGAATATTTTTTGATTATTATTTGAAATTATAATATAATAATTAATATTTATAATAAATAAGCGAATGGATGAAAAAAAATTGCTGTGAATTAGCAGAAAATTTTGAAATTTTGAAAATGCAAGAAGTAAGAGTTTATTTTATTATAAAAATTATTAAATATAATTAAGAATGGTTTTTCTCTTTGATTTTCTTTTCTTGACCCCTTTAACCTCTTGACCTCTATTTCCTGATAGTTTGATTGATAAATTTCATTTAAGCATAATAAAATTGAATACAATAAAAATTTAACTCATTTCATTGATTTTAGAAGAAAAAACAAGCCAAATTTATGTTACTGATTATTTAAGAAATGTAAATTTATATGTTCCGTAAGGTAAGATATATTAGATTGGACTTTCAAAGTGATTATGCGGTCAAACTGCTAAAATGGTTCATCTAATCCGACTGACATTAATTCATATCATCACTGAAATCAAATTACATCAAATATTTTGAATCAATCTTTAACTTCGTAATTATAATTGTATTAGAAGTAATTAAAGTTTTAAATCCTTAATAACACAATAAAATTGCCTGTCATCTAGTAAGTATTGCTTAAACTATTCCAAAAATTAATTTTTAAAATATAAAAACTATGCTAAACTATTATATTAACAAGAAGGAATTCAATGATTGAAATTAAAAAATAAATATTTAAATGAATGTGCAATTATAAATAAAAATATTAGCGATATAGCATTAGTGATAAGATGTCTGAGATATAAGTGATAATAATAATAACTCGACAAACCATTATTTAATTAAAGAATTCGTACTGTTAATTTTTGTTTTTGATTAATCCAAGAAAATAAATAAATCTCATCCTATCGTCAAAATGAAATTTTGAAATAAAAACTGTCACAACAATGTAATGGAATACTTTGATTTTTCTTTTGTAAAAAAATAAAGATCGATTTAATTAGTTTAGTTATTTATTAATTATTAAACAGGAAGAATAAAATAAAATAACAAACTGAAATTTATACCTCGAAAATGAGATCGTTTAATTGTATTTTTCTTGAATGAAAAGCGCTTGAATTAGGCACCAACGATTTCACGAAAACACCATTTATCTCTTCTGAAATTGCATTTCAAAGACTCTTTAAAATGTTTATATTTAAAATGCTCAGTTGTTCCTGAAATTTTTTATGTTGAACTTAATTGCTATAATTCAAATCTGTCTAAAAATAGCTGTCTGAAAAATTCTAATAAAATTTTATTATCAGATATTTTTGAACAATGAAAGTTAAACAAAGAAAAATAGCGAAATTACACAATCATATATGTATAATAAACGAATAAATACTGTTGAAATAATAGTTTGAAATTTTTGAAGAGCTTTGAGAAAAGAAAAATGAATTTTCTTCTTTTATCCTACAATTGTGATCTCATGAAGATAAGCGCTTTTGACAAGATCATAGCCAATCAATAAACTTTCCTTTCGTTGTAATGTCAAAAAAAAAAAATGGAAAACGATGAAAAATTCCAACAATAAAAGTTGTAAGCTTAAAATGTTGTAAATTAATTAATTATAGCATTAATATATTTGATAAGCATTAAAAAGAAAATTTCTTTTTTTCTTTGTAAACTAAAATTTGGAACAAATTTAAAATTTTTAAATTTCAATTAATTGCAGATTTTTCCTTTTTGTAGGATAAAAAAACACAATTGATAAAATATTTCAAAACGATTTATTGTATTGAAAGTATTATATTAGATGTTGTGAAGATTTCAAAAAGAAATTTTGACTGAAAACTTTCTATGAGAAGTAATAAATGGAGAATTTAATTTTGTAATATTTTTTAGAAAAGTGGGAAGGAATTGATTATATGATTGAATGAAGCAAATTTAAATTATTCCAACAATGAATGGAAATTTCGAAAATTGAATGAACAAATATAAGCTATTCTGTAGTATATAAATTTTGAATTATTTTATCAAAAAATTTGCAATCAATTTAAGAAAAATTTTGAATTTTACAATTCAAAATCGTTAACTTATTAGCAATTTAATGCCTAAAAAGGCTGGTAAAGGCTAGCGATCCAATGGGAACATATTGCTGTCGTTAATGTTAGGCCTTTCTTAAGAACATATGCACACATGCAAACACACTTGTCTAAGATAAATATAACAAGTACTGCCTTTATTTAACAGGCCTAACATAAGACTCCTCAATTTTTTTTCTTTTTTGTTTTTAAATATAAATTTTCAGCTTTTTCTTCTCTGCAAGCAATGACTCTATCAAATTACCCATCCGATATTTCTAAGATTGTTTTTTCTTTCTTTCTTTCTTTCAATTCATTTATTGTTTTACTTTTTACTTCATATAAATTCAATTGAAAAGAGAAGAAATAAATTTACAATTAATTAAAAAGAAATTGAATGATATAAAAGAAAATATCTTAAATTAAACCTTTGTTATGAACATAGCCAGCAATTGTAATGCCAAGGCCAACAACAGGATCACGACATAATTCTACTTCAATTGTTTCATACTTACCAGCAATCCAATTTGTACGAGCAAATGTTGTTAACGCCTAAATATTCACAAAAATTTCAAAATTCGAAATATTCGTTATTTATTCTAAATATCTGTGTTTTCATCATTTTCATTGATTAATTAATGAATTAGTATGGCAAAATTGAAAATAATAAGAAAGCATACTACCAACCTAGTAAAATAATAATAACAATAATAATATTGATATTAATATTAATAATAATAATGATATTAATAATAATAATAAATAATAAATAATAAATAGTAGTAATAATAATGATGATAATATTAATAACAAATAATAGTATTAATAATAATGCTAATAATCATTTTTTTCATTGAGTTTAAAAATTTTAAACTATTTTAAATATCTTAATAATAGAAATTATTAACCATTTGTTGAAGCTGTCGAAGCGATCGAATACTGCTTGTATTTGATGAATTATATGAAGCATTCACTTTTGAAGGCACTTTTGAAATCGGTTCATTTCCTTCTAAATATTAAAAAAGAAACATTTCTCATAAAACTGACTTATCAATATTTTAAATGTTTACAACTAACATATCTCTAATAGTTGTGATAAATAATAAACGAATGAAATACTGAATTCACACAAAAATATATGAATGGTACTTTTTCAAATTGCAATAATAACAGGGCGTTCTTCTTTCTTGAATTTATCAGGCGATTATAGAAATATTTAAAGAATAGGTGAAAGCTTCAGAGAAATAAAGTTGTCCAATTATAATACCCAATTTTTTAATTTATATAAAAAGATGAACATAGTGATTTTATAATCAATTCATTCTTTTTTCATTGATTATTGGAACACATAAAATATTACTAATATTGAATAAATGGAAGAAATTTTTTAGTTAGATAAAATTAAAATAAAAATTAAGAATAACTATATAATTTAGACAATTGAAATGAGATATCGAAAATTAAAAACAATGGAAAAATTTTCAAAATAATCATTGTCCATAGTAATATCATACAATGAATCACCAAATTTTATGAATAAATTAAATGAAAAAAAATTTTATTCAAGTCGGACAATGAGTAAGTTTATAATTTTTGCCATTTAGCTATTATTTCAAATTTGTGCTGTTATTTAAATTTATAATAGTAACCATATGAATTTATCTATTGGTTTATTTATAAGCATCAAATTACCAGGTGCTATAATATCAGTTGCAAGTGTATAATTCACAAAAGTTATCCATAAACTTTACTTATTTCAAATATTTGTAGTAGTAACGCAGTGTACATGAAAATACCTGAATGTAAACTTCCATCTATATTATCGTTATCACTTCGCTGAATTTCATTGCAATATCCATTGTTTGTTAGTTCATCATTTCGTTCATATGAATTTGTTGGTTCTACGATAGCAGAAACTATTTCTGATGGTCCGGGATTTTCATCAGAAGTATTGCTTGATTTGTTTATCATTGTTGTTGCTATATTATCATCATTATCATTGTTATCATCATCATTGTCGTTACTATAATTGTTTCAAAAATAAAATTTCAAAACCTTCAATATCTGTTAAATTAGTTGTATCATTAATCGTAGCGGTATGTTTGCGAATTTGTTCCTCCAAACTTTCTCGACAAAGTGCGTCACGTGTTGTCATTATCCAACAGTCTAGAAAAATTAGTGTATTTTTTTTAGATGAAATAATATGAATTTATATATTTGTAAAATCTTTTAAATTATTAAAACACACACATGTGGCTAGAAATTAGTAATTGGAAGATATTAGCGTAAAAAATTATTTTTTTTAATTTTAATCTTTTTACAGTATAATTATTAATTTTACGTGTGGAATAATTTCAGATGTAATAAGAAGTAATTATCATCAATGAACGGATTTTTCTGTTTTATTTAATATTTTTGGTAAAATGAAAATAAAATTATTTGCTTCAAAGTGATAATACTATAAAGGAATGAATGAAATTTAAGTGGAAGTGATGAAATTGAAAGATAAGATGAGAAAAGTATTGAATTTCACGTAATTCCGTTTAGTTTAGCGGAAAATTTTAATGATTTCAACATTTTCAACACACTTCAACGAATTGAATTCATAACAACATTTACCGCGATATGTTTGCACCAAAATGCTACCATTAAAAAAATCAATACTTGAAATGCTAATTCCATTGAGGGAATTGCTCTCTTTCAGCAAATTAAATTTAGAATTTTCAAAACCTATCCAAAAGAATAAGAATGAATTTAGTTGTGAATGAATGAATGAACAAAAGAGATAAGTGAGAAATTTGATAAATGGAAATTAGAGGTTTGTTTCATTTCTTTTTATTCTTTCAATTTTTATAATTTTTTAAAAATTTAAAATAAATTAAACAAAAAATTTTATTAAAAAATTTAACGTAAAGTTGGGAAATTTTTATAATTTAAAGAAAAATGTTTTGAGAGAAAAGCATAAGAAAATATTTTATTTCTCTAAAAATTATCAATTTGAAATGTTTTTTTCAGAAGAAAAAAGTTTTGATTTTTTATTTAATTTAATTAATTGCACAATAGAAGAAATTCTTTGATTTCAAAGAAATTTTAAAATAAACAAATAAACGATAATTTAAAAAGTTTTAGAAAAAATAAGCGCTAATTATCAAAAAAACAAAAAAAATTACAAATACGAATTCAATCCTTGTTCTTATCATTACTAAAAATTATGATAATCAGAAAGAAAACTTTTCTAATAACAATAAAATAAACATTATAAGCTAGAAAAAGAAGAGAAACATCGCTGTCACTAAAAAAAAACTTTATCGCTTTTCATTGATGAATAATTACTGATAATGAAAATAATGATGGGATATTGATGATAACGATGGTAATAATGATAATGATAACAATGCTAATTTTTCCAACGATGGTGAAATGATATGCTTGAGATAGAAAAAGGAAAATAATAAAGCCTAAATTAGGTGTTTTATAAGTTATCATTAATGATTCGTATTCATTATGTTTAATGCAACAATTTTGTTGCTTTAAAATAATGCAACAATTTAATATTTTTTTATTATAGAAAGCTTGTAGAAAAAATTATTTTAATAAAAGAAATTATTATTTAAAAAATTAATTTAAATTAAAGAAATATTATTGTGGAAAGCAAACGCTGATTTTATTACAATTTTTCTACACTTTTCATTTTCATAATCTTCAAAGAATTTCAGAATTTTGAAGATTCAGCAATTTTCGTAATTTTTTCTCAAACGTAAAATAATTATTATAAATTGATAACGATGAAATTTCAGGATGGAAGAAGTGAGAGAAAGTTAGAAAACATTTGTGATTCAGAGAGAGAAATAAAATTTTAATAAATTATTACAAATTGTTATGTCAAAAGAATATTATAAATTTGATGTTTGAACGAAGTGAAAATGTTTTATTTAAAAGAAATATATGCAATAATAATGCTGTCAAGAAGAAAAATCATTTATAATCGAATTTGAACTAAAATATAGTAAAATTGTTAGGAAAAAAAGACAGCCAAAGATGGCAAATAAAGTCAAATTGGCCATCTCATAAATGATTATTGAATGTTAGCATACATATATATCTATATATATCATCAATACATTACATATATTTTAATTTAAATTTTTTTAAAAAAATAAAAGAATTTTGATTTTGAATTAAACGAGCACAGACACACACTTATACACATACACACACACACACACATACATACACACAGATGTAATCATGCACACACACAGACACAGACAAATGACAAACACACACATACACACACACACACACACACACACAGATATATATCATCAGAAGATAAGTGGCGCAAAACTAATAAAAACAAATAAATTATATCTCATAAAGATTGCGCAAAAAGTTTTTATTATGAGAGAAAAGAAAATAAACTTAAATAGAATTGAATGTCAATATGTTAAATAGCATAACATTGAATTGAATTATTATTATTATTATTATTATTATTATTATTATTATTATTATTATTATTATTATTATTACATTCTATCAATAAAAGAGATAGAGAAGAAAGAAGCAAAAAAAACTAATTAATATTTTATTTAAATGCATCGTATCACAACGGCTGGCACGAAGAAATGTATTACGAAGGAATGAATTAAGAAATGAAAACGATAAATTTACTATGAAATTATTGATTTAATTGAAAGAAAATATTTTCGTATTATTACCGGTATTTCTTTATGAAAAAAGTATAGAAATCAAACAAATAAATAATTCCAACATTTTTTAATTATTACCAAAATTAAAAAATTAAAAATTTTTTAAACAAATAAATAAAAAAGAAGTAAATCAAATTAATAGCAATAGCTTATTTATTGACAGTTTATTTAATTAAAAGGAAAAAAAGGTGAAAGAGAAGAGATAAAGAAGAAGAATTGACAAATTAGCATTATTAAATGAAATGGAATATTATAAATGAAAAAAAAAAACAAATGAATAATTTTTAGCAGCTAAATTTTAAATTTTAAAATTTCACGGAAACAAAATAAATAAAAAATGAAATCTAACTTTCACTCTCTTTACAGTTATCCGAAGTATGCGCCGGTCTTCCTACTACCAGTTCAACCAATGTACCGTGTCGCCGTAGTAAAGTAGCTATTTGTTGTGGACTCATTCCATTAACATTTATTCCACAAATCCTTAATATATGATCACCTGGGCATAGACGCTTATCCTGAAGAAGAATGCGATAACAATGAAGTTAAATTAAATTAAATAATTATTAAAATAAAAAAATAGAGAAAAAGGTGAGAAATTCTTATACTAAGTGATTATTTATAAATTTTTCTTTCGCACCTTTACAAATATTTTATTGTTTTATGTGAATAGGAAATTTTCTTATCAAAAAATTTCTTAATGTATTTTTAAATGATAAAAGGATGTTTTTCTAAGAGTAAAAAAAGAACCAAAATGTTGAAAAATTATTGCAAAAATTCTTTTTAAATTAGAAATGAATTTTAGACAAAAAATGAAAAAAAGAACAAAAAGTAGAATTTTGTTGCAATCCCTTAAATCTTACAATTATTAATTTAAAATGTCACTTTTAAAAAAAAGTTAATTCCATTTTTTCAATTCGAATCTGTCAGTTAAACATTTTAAAATGATATTTGAAAAAAGAGAAAGGCAAAATTTTAAAAATAGAAATTTTTAAAAGTAAAAATTGAAAAACTTGTGATATAATAGTTTGTGTGTACGCCAATTATTCATAACATAGTGTTTACCGTAATGAATAAACATTTACTAATTATATTGATAAAAATATGCTTCAGAATTGAATACAACCATTAGTTCAAGACTGTTGGAATTTATTCTTCTAATAATATTATTTGTGAAAAGGAATAAATTCAAATCCTCAATACACTAACGTAGCTAGTCGTGATGGATAATTCATTAATATATATCTTTCTCTCTTCCTCTTCACATAATCAAACCTTATCAGCAACACTTCCAGGAAGGATCGTTTTGACAACAACGCCACTTGAGGCACTACCAACAATACCAAAACCTAATCCAACTCCAGGAATATTTGAGAGATGAATAATTTCTACTTCGGTCCAAACACTCGTCAACTGCAATACGCAAAATTTCTCACAATTTAATTTAAAAGAATTTATTTAATTAATTTTTTAACTTTTTCTTGTTATCAAAATTACAAATGCAAAAAATTGATTGAAAATTATTCACATAACATTTCAAATTATTTATATTAAAATTAAAAAGAAATTAGCTCTAATAGTTACGTAAAACAAAAGTTTGACATGCAAAATTATTATTGCATAAATAATGGATAAATTGTTTATTTTCAATCAAAAAAAGAAATACACAAAAAGAAATTAATAACTCAAAATATTAACTCAAATTAATTAAAAATTAACTATTGCATTATTTGAAAGTTTTATAGGAATTTCACATTTCATTCAACCAACAAATAACAAACAACACTTCTCTTCAAATCGCAACTATCTTAGCGAAAGCATTTCATTCTTTTCTTTTGTTCATAAATTTTCTTTCGTTTTACCCATTACAACAGAGCTGTGTTAATTATGTGAATATTTTATGCAAAATAATAAAAGAAAAGTTTAGAGAAAAAGAAGAAGAAAAGAAAACATACGACCATATGCGGTGATTGACGCAATAATGTAACGATAATAATTGATTTATATTTTTTTGATTTGTCGTATACTTTTCTGCGGTCGTTAAAATTTTCAATAAGCTTTTCGTATCGATCAATTAATGTTGTTGAAGGAATGGAAGATGTAACATTCTCACTATCATATTTCCATATTGCATCCTGCTTAGTAGACACCTCACAATCATTATCATCATTACCATCATCATCATCTACTTGAACTAACACTAAATTTGAAACAGCTGTCAATCCTCTTTCTTTTGCTCTTCTGTTCTCAGTAATAGTTGTAGTTGTGGTAGTAGTAGTAGTAGTATTAGTTTCTTTCGTAAACTTTGAGCAATTTAATAATGATGACTTTGATTCTTTTCTCTCTTTCTTCCCGATGTTACCGATATTGTTGCTCTGTCCTCCTCCTTCTAACTGATAATAGTTCGTAGTGTTGCATGAATTTATCTTTTTACATTGATTAGACACCTGAATTTAATTTAAACTAAGAGAAAAATAAAAAAGAAATTAATTGTATTTTATTTAGTTAAAATTTTTTATTAAATTAATTACATTAGTCAGTTTTTAATATATTAATTAATTTCTTTTATAGTTTTATAATTTTGAAAATTGGTACTATTTAAATTGTTTAGATTTAAAAAGTAAATTTAATCGACAATTTAATTGAATAATTCAATATCTTATTACAGTATTCTTTCATTCTTTATGAAAAGAACATTAGATATAACATATTCGCTTTGATATTTATAAACAAAACAGGAAATGATTGTAATTAAAAGCTTCCAAAAGGTTATCAGAAATTTTGATAATCATTATGATAAAAATGTATACAGTTTTATCACTATGAATTGATAAAATAATAAAAATGATAGAAATTATAATTCAATTTGGATTTCAATAACATTTGTATGATAATACTTGTAAATTTTTATAATTTATTCAATTTTGAATTTAATCAATTTCTTATTCTCTCCACAATCTTTTATCATTCCTTAATTCATTCATTCATTCTTAGTTATATTTTTCCTTTTGTAATCAATTTGTTTTAAAATATATTAAATATACATAACTATACGCATATCTAATTTTTAAATAGTTACGTCATCATCCTGTATGAAAGATATTGAGGGAAGAAAATTCGTTTGTGATTTTCTGGTCGATGATAACGAATGAAGAAAATGCTGATTGAATGCTAAAATTTGATCACCAATATGAATTCGACCACCAGACCTACAAATTTTAAGCCATTTATTTGTTTTATTTTAATTTTTAGAATGATTTATGGCAGTTTGTACTAAAATTAATCTTTTCTTAAGTACCATAATTAATAAACAATAATATTAAAAAATTCAAATTATTGCATTAAATTTTAATGTAAAGAAAAATTGCAAATTTTAGAGAAAAAAATCATAAAATTGTTTACACTTTAAAATCAAACATAAACATAAATATTTTTATTAAAATAATCTTAAAAGTAAATCGGCAAATTGATTGTTATTCTTTTTTGTCTTAATGAATTAAAATGTATATTATTAATTTAAAATATATTTAAGAGAATAAAAAAGATATGCTTAAAATGTATACATATATGTGTGGGTGTATATGTGTGTGTGTGTAAGAGCCAAGATTTCAGCCAGGCCAAATTGAAACTTGGCAAATCTTTTTAGTTTGCTTTAGTTAGGCATATATCTATGGGTTGTTTATAACATCTATACAACGGCATGTGCCATCTATGTTAGCAGCCTATATTCCTTTATCTATCACAATCGATCACAGCTTTATTTTTATACAAAGATCAAAAGAAGCGGCAATATTTTAAATAAATTTTTATCTTATTTTTTTTTTCAACCATTCATTGTTTAACTTATCAATTAGTCATAATAATTATCACAATGAATTTTTTTCTGTCTAACAATTAAATTGAACAATGATACGATAATATCGGGTATGAATGAATGAAGGATTATTGATGGAGAAAGGAATTTTCACTTTATTGCAGTAAAGTTCCTTTCATCATTGATAATCATTAATAATTCTTTGTTCATAATTTGATGATTCAATTAGTTTATTTTATTTTATTCATAATTTATATCAATGAAAATTTGTAATATTTTATATTGGATTGAAAAAAAAATTAAAAAGAAGCGAATTTATCATTTATCATTAAAACGGTCAATCGTTTGATAATTTTCTTTTTCACTGAAGAAATGATATTTATGTAAATAATAATGAAAAAAACATTTTAATATTTAATATTAAAACGTATAATATTAAATATTAAAATGTTTTTAATATTTTAGTATTAAGGTGATAACTAAAGCTACTTTATTTCAACAACTTTAATTACTTTCTAATCATTACATTATTCGGTAGACTTCATCAGAAAGGGAGAGGAAGAGAGAGAGAGGATATATAAAGAGTTGATTTCTTATTTTATTGGCAGTTAAATAATTGATATTTTTAAAATGAGAAAACAAACGAATAGAATTCTACAAAAATTGAAATTATAATGAATGCTTTGAGAAATACAATGATTAAAACAAAACCATAATAATTATTATTATATAAGGGGTGATTAAGCCAGGAGTTAGGATGTTTCTTCATCAGCAAAATCCACAAATAATTATCATTTTTATCGCAATGAAGTTTAAAATTCCTTTCTTCATTAATAACTAATGTTATCATATCATTGTTTGATTTAACTTATTTATGAATACATCTGTTTTAACTATATCAACACTGATTAAAGTAGTTTATTATAACTATTTTTGCTGCATTTATTATTTCTGGAAGATCGTGCAAATATCAATCAATCAAAAACTTTTTATTAATATAGTACAAGATTATTGTGAGATTCAAGATTTCGTTAAGATTAAATAAAGCAAATTATACAGGGTGAGAGAGAGAGAGAAAGAGAAATTAAGAAAGAGTGATAACTATAAAATAAAATTTTAATATTGGTAATTAAAATACAAGAATAGAATTCATTACAATAATATCCTATTCTGCTTATTTTTATTTCATTTATTTATAATTGCTTAGTCTTGCAAATTGAATAATATAGCAGTCATCGCTTATCACTTATCACTTCATTGAAGTGATAAGTGATGATTTGTTGATTTATCACAAGAAAAAAAAAGAAATAGTTAAATAATGCTAATGTGAAAAAAAACGATAGCTGTTATAATAAATTAATAAAGATAGTAATTGATTACTGTTGCATAATTGATTACTGATAAAAGAAATGAACTTGTTGAAACTTTATGTTATAATTAGCGTCAACACTTGAATTTTCCAAGTTATTTATGGTAGATCATAATAAAAACAGTTATTTAAAAATATTCCTATTCTAAAATTATGATATTTAAAAAAAGTGAAAAAGAAGCTAAAAAAATTAGGAAATAAATTTCAGAATTAGTTGTTACGCCGGCCATTGAGTTTACTGACATCAAAGCATTTCAATATTTAGCCAAACATATATATTTTTTTTCATTAGATGAATAGATGTTGGCCTAGGCCTATAGCCTTAATTCAAATGTATGAATAATAGGAAATGAAAAATAAACCATTGGAAGGATTATTATTTCTTTTGACTGGTTTAATAGATGTAATACGTAGATTTTTATAAATAATAAATCAACAATTGCTTTATTATTTTACTAATTAAATAAATTATCAAAAATATGAAATTAAAATTGTGCAATAACAATAATTTTATCAATGGTATTCCAATACTAATCAATACATGCTATTTTATATATCTATTGCCCTTAAATACGAAAAACTATTTTAATTTCAAATTTATATTGATTATTTAAATAACTGAATTATTTAATAACATATCAACATTTATCCGTTCATTATTGCAAATATTATAACTCACTCAAATTTTGCAAATTTAATTTATGATTAAATCAAATAGCTTTATAAATTGTAGAAATTGAAATCATTTTACTAAAATTCTTAGCTTTAATTTTAACTAAAATAAGCATTTTTTAATAGTAATTATCCAACAAAAGATATTATCATTTAAGTGACAGCAGAAAACATTATAAACTTTCAAAGGGAAAGAAGAAGAGAAGATTATGAAATTTCGAATTCGATTTTAATACATTGTCAACTGAAATATGAACGAAAAATTCTAAGTTTGAAATTAAAAGAGAAACTTTTTGGAGGGTTCCTATTCTAATTTCAACTTGGAATAACATTGAAATTAATGACATAATTTTAATATATTTCATTTGTTTCAAACAGTAAACAACAATGAAGAAAAACAAAGTAAAAAGTTTAAATAATTTTTTTTGCAATAAAGTAACATGCCAAAAATAAGAATGAAAATTGAGGAAGAGTTTTAAGATGGTTTTGAAGGAGTAAATAAAATTAATTTCAAAAGAATGTTGAAGTTTTTAGTCGTTGCAATAATTGAATTTCATTTTAACAACACTATAACTATTTGAGTTGCATAAATTCTATTGCTTACTTAAATGAAATTAAAATTGAACAAAATAAAAGTTAAACAAAAAAAACAGAAAATCAAATAAATTTAGAATTTTATATTTTTACGAATAAAAATTTAAATTTCAAATTTCTATTATATTCCATAATTTTTCAACTTAACTTATGTGAATATAAATCGATCCACCACATTGTTCAATAATATTCCTAAAGAATCCTAAAGATTACATCAATTTTCACATACTTACTTTTTTTTAATATCTTTTGGCCCAATAATAATTAGACGCTCGCCTTTTTCGTCACACTTCACAACTAGGCCACTTATTTCTTGCGCTTCTTGACCAACAAATATCAATTTCTAAAATGATTTTAAAAAATATCACATTGCTAGAAATGCTCATCGCTTTTCAGTTATTCCATCTGCAACTACTATCATCTGTTGATCTAATTTCTTCTGGCCCTATTAACTATTAAATTCCGGATATATACACTGATAAGTAGTTAGCATATGAATTTTATAAATATTCATAAATGTTTATATGAATGCATAAAATATCTATGAGAATATGGATAAGGAAAAAAACAAAGAATTGTATTAAAAAAATTAAAATAAACATATGGAAATAGGGATACCTCTGTTTGCTTCACATGAGGTACCAATACATTTTCCAAATATTTGAGAAGGTTATGAAATTTCGAATTCGATTTTAATACATTGTCAACTGCAATATAAATCGATCAAATATCATGGGAAAAAGAATAGGTGAAATGTGTTAGCTAATTTATTGAAATACGACAAATGCACCTTTAGGAAATATGCTTCAGAGAAAATTGTTTGAAATTGCAAAATAATTAAATGAAAATTCTCTATTAAAAAAGTAAAGTTAAATTTCACCTAAAACTTTTGCCTTGAACAAATTTGAATAAGATGTTATACTTGATAAGCTAATGATTTATGATTATTTGTTCTGATAAACGAATTTGATAAATTTTACAAAAGAGAAAATGAAATTGATATCTTAACGATTTTGAATTTATATTATATAATAATTTTAATTAAATTTGATTTACTTTAAGATTTCATTCCAATATTGAAAATTTAATTTTATTCAATTTAAATTTTTAACATTAATTTACATATATTTTCCCACTCAATGTATTTTAAATCTCTTCCTCTTTCTTCTCTTTTTCTTCCAAATTTTGAAAATAAAATTTCATCAAAAGTTTTCTTTTTTTAAATGCACTATATCTTTGATGAAATGTTATGGAATGATCTGCGCAACATAACGTACATTTCAACGGGAAAAGATAAGAAATATTCAAGCCAAGCATCACAATTAGATTATTGAACAGAGCTAAAGCCTAGCCATAATCATCATCAGTTCTAAAGAAGCTCACCATCATCATCATTGTCCTAATTTAATTCATTGATTTCATTAGGTGTTCTTTTTTCTTGTTTATTTATACAAAATTTTGATATTAACATTACGCGGTTAAAATGAACGTAAGTGTAAACGTGAATAGTTTTATTTCACGTCTTTTACGCCTTTTTCCTTATCTTTTATTAGTCTTACTAATATCTCTATTTAATATATAATATCATTTTATAAGAAATTGCCAAATTTTAAAAATTATTTCAAAAATAAGCGTATATCATTTGACAATTTATTAATACTTACCTTATTTAAATGTGTAAAGTAGCAAAAAAGCGTAAATATTTGTGATAATTTAATAACTCTTAACTATGTTACAGACTGTACATCATATTAATATGGTATGATTTGCTGAAATATATAGTATGGTTTGATATAGTTTGATTTGGTGAAATGTAATGAATAAAAGATATTAGGAATTTTATAATTTCATTTTTGAAAAATAAGATAATGAAGAATAGATTTAAGTGTGCGTATATCTATCAATCTTTACTTATGCGTACTTTTTGTTTTTTATTTTCTTTTTTGCTAAATTATTATTTTTTCATTTTTCAATATTCGAACAATTTCAAAAAGTAAAAGAAAATAAACTAAAAATATTATCATTTCTAAAATTATATAATAATAAAAAATGAAAATCCATTTCACACATAATCATACGTATAATTAAATGTAATAATAAAATAAACATAGAATTCTTACAGAATAAATATTCTGCAAGAAATCAAAGAAAGAAAGAGAAATAATTTATTTAATCAATAAATTGAATTAAATATGAATTTGAAATAGTTTGAAAAAAAATTGAAGTTAATGTTGAAAATATAGATGAGATGAAATAGAGAGGAAAGAAATTGACATATGTATATATATATTATATACATATATATATTAGTGATAAAAGAGGAGAAAGGAAGAAAAGAAGGTAGAAATATATCAATAATACCAATGAGAAGGTAGAGAGAGAGAGAGAGTGAAATATTCTCATTAAAGTGATGAAAATTCTTTTTCGATCAGTCACTTAAAAGGCAATTTGGCCATCTTCACAATCGTCGCAATAATGATTGCATCAAATTATCAGAATTGTTTAAAACTATGATTAGCCATTTCATTTCATTTCATTGTATTAGCAGCTGGCGATAACGATAAGTTAAATTACTAAAAGTAAAACGAATAATTAAAATTTTGTAAAATATACTTTTCTCAATTTCTTTTTATTTAAAAAAATATTTGTGAATGAAAATAATGAGAGGAAGAAAAACAAATCAGTGTATAATAATTTAGCTATAAATGAATAGTGAAGAATAGTGTGCAATATTTGAAAAGCAATTTTATAAAATCAATTCCTTCCTTTCTTTTCTTTTCTTCTATCAAATGATTCTGTCGAATATCAACGCTTCAAAGACTTTTACAAAGATTGAAATGCATAAGGATAATGTTATCTACTTTTTTTCTTACTTTCTATATCTTTACATATTAGCAATGAGTTTTGTGAAGTTTAAGCAAAAATTTTTAAATTTAATTATTTTATTAATTAAATAATTTTAATATATAACTAACAACAATTGAGAATAACTATAATACGTTGGATATGAAAAATTTTGAGTAATTTTAATATATCTCATGATAACTGAAAATTTTTATATCTTTTAGAATGAAAGAAAAAATTTTATTTGAAGCATTTAGGAATTTTAATGTAATGAGTGGATAAAATAAGCATTTTACTAAATCTAACTTTTACTTTAATAACAATTCAGTAATCAATTAGTTAAATTAATAACTTTAATTCAATAACATTTGTTATTTATATTAAAGGCAGAGATGTTAGAATTATCAGAAATATATTAAACATTTAATAATAATAAAGAATAAAATGAAAGTATTCAGAGATAACATCGGAAAAAAGATCAAGTGACAGTTATGATTAAAATTGACGAAGAGATTTGCTGCTTCAATATTGAAATTTCAAGTGTACTGTGGTGGAACATTTTCTAGATAACATTCATAAGTAAAGTCATTGAAAGTCGTGAACATTTATTAATCATATGCTTAATATTTAATGTTCAAAAATGGTAAAAATTTTCGGAAGCAATTGATAGGAACGAATCATGAATATCTAATCTCTATTACTCTAATTAATTCCTGAAATCGGAATCAGAATTATTGATGTGCGAGATTAATCCTAATTGATTGATTACAACGTTATTGTTAAAAATGAATATATATATATATACCATGTCTTTCCAATAAGGGAGTAATGGTTACTTATGGTGGAATGAGCAAGAAGCCCATCGAGGCAGGGTTTTCTATAATTTTGCATTGATTTAAACCATAGTTGAAGTGAAATTGTTGAAAAAATCG